CTGACTGACAATCAACCTGTGTAAACTGAAGCCTCAGTGTGAACTTACACTTACTAGTAAACTGACTGACAATCAACCTGTGTAAACTGAAGCCTCGGTGTGAACTTACACTTACTAGTAATCTGACTGACAATCAACCTGTGTAAACTGAAGCCTTAGTGTGAACTTACACTTACTAGTAAACTGACTGACAATCAACCGCATGTCGTTTTTACTCGTTAGTCACCCAAGTCCCGAAAACGTTTGAATAAAGATAAGGATTGATATACAGGCGTTAAAATGATTATGACTTATTAGTCTCGTGTACAAATGGCGCTCATTTCGGTACAAATAAGAAATGGGGGGTTCGTGATTCTCTTCTGGAATATCGTGGGGGGATTTTCGGAGGCTTGCTCTATGATGGGTCTCTACACAACTATAAAAAGACAAAGTAATGCCCACAATGAACGTTTTACAAACTAATCGCCCTCGTCTTGTTTTTGCCATGGAAAATGAAAAAAAAAAAAATACCGCCCTGCCGCATCTCTTTTGAAAAAAAAATGCCTGAGAACCAAGTTATTAATTTCATTAGGCCGAAACTTACTGTTGGAAGCCCCGGTGTTAACTTCACTTACTAGTAGTAAAATGGCTGTTTGAAGCCTTTGTGTGAACTTATACTGACTTGTAAACTGGCTGTTTGAAGCCACTGAGTGAACTTCTACTTAGTAGTAAAATGGCTATTTGAAGCCTATGTGTGAACTTATACTTACTTGTAAACTGGCTGTTTGAAGCCACTGAGTGAACTTATACTTACTAGTACACGGGCTGTTTGAAGCCTATCTTGCCATCTGCTCTGTCTTGGTATGTAATATTGATCTGAATGCTGACACTAGGATTGCTACACTTCGGTTTCCAGCTTAAATCACATGCCTGGATCTGGACCTAGAAACCACAGGTAAACACTTGGTAATCAATAGGAAATTACACACTAAACAAGTTAAACAACATGTTAACACTCAAAAATCTCACTGACAGGTAAACACTGATAAACAGCAGGAGCATGCTATGATGTTAATAAACACATTAAAGCTTGGTAATTAACAGGAACCAACATAATGTTGGCAGCTGATGTAACTTGTATGATGATTCTGTGACGAAGTTGAGTCTGTGATGATAAGAATGTACAGAGTTTAGACTGTGACGAGGCTGAAACTGTGCCGAGACTTACCGTGATTGGACTGATGTTGTTCGGAATGTAAAGTGACTGTTTGATATAAACTTCCCCGTTATCTGATACACCGACGTATCGGGCAAAGGAGGCGGCGTTACCTAATACGCTGTACTTGAATTTGGCATTGTTCGTCTGTTAAAGAAATGAAAAAAACATTTAAAGACATTTATTATGCATCAATACACATTACTTAATTGGTAGATAAAACCATGCGAAGCAAAGATAAAAGTTGCATTTTCACTATATGCATGGAGCAGATTAACTAAAGAATGCTTTAAAAGCGTGATATCTCAAACAGATACAGAAACATTTGTAATGATAAGAAAAAAGCTGATGGGACAAGAAGTTAACGACTTACCGCAGCACTAAGAGGCTCTTGAGAGTCAGCATCACTGGCTGTAACTGTGACCAGTGATGTACCAGCTCTGTCTGTATCAGTTGCGCTCACTTGGAACCTATTAGGAGTAAACTCTGGCGCATACTTGTTGCGGACAATGTTCACAGTGACTGTCGCAGAGGCAGATTTGGGGTTGTTCGACGTGTCCGAGGCCACCACTGTCAACTGTAATGTACAAGGATAATGACAATTCACCAATCTGTAGAACTTCACCAAAGAAGTTTACAACACTCCAGCCCTATAGACATAAACAGGTTTAGCATAATTATAACTTGACAGGCATCGACAGTGAGCACTTAATTCAGAGAAAATATTAATTATCACACCCTACTCTCCTCAAAACTCACACTAAGTAAAGACTTACAACATTTTATGTTAAAAATAAGCTAAGGTGCATCCTTTATACAGCACTGTCAGTCACCATGCAACAATCAAAGACTAGTTTTTCTTAGGTATCAATGTGGACACTTACAAAGTAAACATCGTCAGCTAAATCTGTTGTCAGTGGTTGAGCCAGAATGATGGCTCCTGTTGTCCTTGTAACAGTAAAGAAAGAGTTGACGGTGTCCATGGAATATCGTAAGATGCCACTTGTGCTGTTGGCATTGTCGTTGTCTGTGGCTGTGACCCGGATGATTTCTGTGTCGATGTCGTGGTATTCTGAAATCGATAGATTGTAGGAGGGTCGTGCGAACACAGGTGGGTTGGCATTCCTCACAATATTGATGGTGACAGTAGCAGTCCCAGCTAATGGCGAGGCACTCTGGTCAGTGGCACGTACGTTTATCTGGCAATTAAAACGCAGATCATCAAGCATTTTATATAATCTTCTGACATTATCTCACGTAAATGTTTAAACCACAGGAAGCGATCAAAGTTCACTATATCCCTGCTTCCCCATGACAACAAGCTACACAATATATCTAATAAATACAAAAAGGAAAATAAATTACTTTGTACCTGTTTTTTTATACAAATCTGTACCAGTGTTACAAAGAATGTTCAAGTTTATGAATGATGGCACTGTAAATTGACTGAAGTCTGAAGACTGAATTATATACATGTTGGTGTACTTACGATGTATCTGGAAACCTGCTCACGGTACAGTATTCGGGAGGTGGTTATCATTCCGTTAGTAGGGTGTACATTGAAGTAGAGAGTGGACGGAGGTTTCGGGATGATGTCATACACAATGGGATCCTACAACAAAGAAAAACCTCAAACATTGATTGGTATGTATATACAATGTACATGTATACAATTTATTTGAGGTCTGAACATTTTAAATATATCTAAACAGCTCTTAACTTTTATTGACTTCAAAATTCATGTATGCCTTGAGTTGAAACCCCAAAAATATGCACAATATAAAATTGTATCAATCAATCTTTTATGTTATGGTGATTGATATATAGCTTACATAATACAATTGGAAAAGATTAAAAAAAAGCACTTTAAAATTGTTTGTTTTACAACAACTATGAAACAAATTGTTCCAATTTTTGGCCTGGAAGAAAGTGGGCAGGGGGTCTTCATGTTGGAGGAAACCCAGAGAAAACACTTGTGGTGACAGGTAGGTTACCCTGATACTTTTTTACGTCCAAACAGGATAAAAAGATTTAAATTGTCGTGTCTGGGTACTCACATTGTCAGCATCTGTTGCCAAGATCTGTAGAACATTATGACCCACTATCACCTTCTCATCAATGGTTGTCTCATAGTTAGTCTGTGCAAACTGCGGAGCATGAGGATTCCTTGTCACAATGACAGTGATCTTCACCTTACTTTGCAGGCTTGGCGAACCTCCATCTTTAGCAGAAACAAACATCTGTAAAAGAAACAGAAATGTTACGCAACAGATTTACAACATTGAAAACTGCTGATAGTGTATCTATTTATGAGTAAAAACAATAAATAACTTTAACATAAAGAGATTTGAAGTTTCAGATTCATGTTGGATTAGGTATTGGTCAGTAATAACTTTGATTTACAATGAAAACATGCTTACTGTGTAGCTCTGGGTGGTGGGGTCAGCACGTAGGTTTCCAATGACCAGGATGAGGCCAGATGAGGGATTGATGTAGAAGTAGTCTTTGCTGTAGATTGGCTGACTTTCTTGGAGATTGAAGAAGTATATAACATTTCCATTGTCACCCTGTAACCATATACAAACAATACTGGTTTTAAAGGAAATTCTTCTGGAATGTGTACAAGGAATTGAATGCACCCATGATTACATGAAGATGGCTGCTGTAACAGTGAAATATCCCAAGGTAAAGAGACTTTCTTACAGTGGATCTCTACAGTCTTGAAAAATCAGTTTTGGATAAGTCATACAAATGGCCACCTGTTGTTAACATAATCTCACACAAAGATAAGTACATCTGGGATCCTCATCCTATACCAGCTGATAAAAGGTTTGTTACTGTTGTAAATACACAAATGTGCTTAATGATCAACTTCTTGTGTAACAGGGTTTGTCTTGCTGAAGTAAATTAACACAAAGTGAACCAGGGCTGCACACCCAGTATTCTCGTACCCTGCACAATCGGGCCCTTGTACTGAATGGCAGCATCTGTCTAAAGGTTTGATTATTCTAATCAAATAGCACAAGTATCAACTGATGCAGTCGACTTTTGTGGTATGAAACTGAAAGTATTTCAATGATTTGGTTAATTTCAATAACCTGACTTTTTAACACTGAGACATGACCATGACAAATCAGGTAGCGAACAGGGAATGCTACCTTACCCCAATACATGCCTTCTAGTCACAAAACACACCTAAGCACTGTCAGTTGGAAGGTAAAAATGCTAATGGTTTTGTAGATACGTTGGTGCACACACTATAGGGTATTTTCATAAATCAGAGACAAGACTAATTAGTATCCAAAACAGTAAAAGACTCACAGTATCTATGTCAGTGGCGGATACATTTCCAACAATGGTATTGATGCCTGCATTTTCATTGATGGTAAAGGTGAGATCTCCGTGGTTGAATATTGGTTTGTTAGGGTTACGCCTGACCTGGACTCGCACAAGGGCAAAGTCAAACTCAGAAGGATCATTCTTTCTGTATGCGTAAACACGGATCTAAAAACAAAACAAACAGATCTCATTATTTAGTGACAGTATGATTTCTCATCACTATGGTAACACAGAAGTCTCATTCTCATCACTATGGTAACAGATACATAATTCTCATCACTTTGGAAACAGAGTTCTCATCACTATGGTTACAGAAAGGCAATTCTCATCACTATGGTAACAGATACATCATTCTCATCACTATGGTAACAGTCGGTTCTCATCACTATGGTAACAGATACATCATTCTCATCACTATGGTAACAGACAGTTCTCATCACTGTGGTAACAGACAGTTCTCATCACTGTGGTAACAGACAATTCTCATCATTATGGTAACAGACAATTCTTATTAGTATGGTAACAGACAATTTGCATCACTATGGTAACAGTCAGATCTCATCACTATGGTAACATACAATTCTCATCACTGGTAAAAAAAATTAGATAAATTAGAATGACAACAAACTACCGAAAACCTCGATACACATATATAGTCATACAGACAGACATTTTTGCAAAGTTTTTCTGACTACAACATATAATGAGTGAACCTACAGTGTAAGTGTTTGTTAAGCTGTCATCCTCGGTGAATGACTTGCTGAGGGTAATTCGGCCAGTAGCGTTGTTGATTACAAAGTGGTCTCTGGCCAATCCATCGCCTCTTATCTCATACACAATAGTGCTCTACAAAAAAACAACACGGCCATTAGTCATTAACGTGTCCTATTTAACAACACGGCCATTAGTCATTAACGTGTCCTATTTAACAACACGGCCATTAGTCATTAACGTGTCCTATTTAACAACAAGCTATGTGTCTTCCCATTGGTCAGTTAAGTCAAGCACACCTGGAATCGCAGTAGGTTAATCAATGTGCATTATTTTATAACTTTGGTTTCCCTCTCCTTCTTTCCATTGTAATGTAGACCTTGTAGAAAATGTAAAATTTCTATGAAATATTGGAAATTCGAATTTGTTTCTAACAGGTGAAACACAAGTGGTTACATCAGAAAATGACCACATCTGATTTGACCACTTCATGTAGAGCAGGCTTATAATTATTTGAGAATTTCCAAGGTTCTACAGATACTCACACCAGCCAATGGGTCCGTGGCGTTAACATCAATGACAGTATTATTGACAGGGTAGGACTCGGGATATACCACAAAGTATTCAGATTCACTAAAACGGATCTTGCCGACCCGACCAATTGTGATAGTAACAGGTACAGTTGCAGACAGGGAAGGATTTCCCATGTCTCGTACACCAACAGTGAACTGAAATAAACAAGAAAATAGTTACATACAAATCTTTATTTTATTTAGACACATAACAACGGATGAACACGTTTTTTTTACCTGCGAAGATTTTGTTTTGTTTTCATTTCTTTATGTTTTAATAACATAAACTAGCTTTTCAGGTGAAATATGCCGCTATTGTTGAAGCAGGCTAAAATTGCTGGTGATTCTTGGGTTTTCTTGATCTTCTTTGAAGTTTGCAACCATTACAAGGACAATATGATTTTAACATGATGTTTGTGTATTTTATATAGATACGTACACAATGTATAATATATACCATATAGTATACTGAATAAATTCTACAACAATGTATGCCAGGAAATGTTTGCCTCATTTGAACTTTTCCTCTTTTTCACCCTTTGTAATGAGGGCACTTTTATCATGACAGCAAATATTGGTACACACCACACCATTAAGGGTAACAGTATGTGAAGGGCAAACTCAACACTGGGCAAATATAGGGATTATGGGGATGACACTTTCTCAGTTCATGTTGTATAACATATCGCAGGGTGTTAACCTGCACAAAGGAGAAATGTACCTTCCACACGTCCTGGGGCTCCTCTGACAGACTGACTCGAGCTGAGATAGAACCACTAGTACTGTTGATCTGGAAGCGCTTATTTGCCTCCTCAGGTCCATCAAAGTAGTATACCAACTTGCTATTAAAGGAAAACTGGAAAAAACAATCGCAGAGCTTAGATTACACTTATAGTAGGAATATCATTCTAGAGAAGGAATATTATATTAGAGCTGAGTAGGAACAGTAATTTAGCATAGAAACATTGTACAAGGTAGTAAAATTGTACTTTAAAGTGGAATTTTAGTAGAAAATAAGAACAGTTAAAATGCTATACCGTACTATGGGAAAATATTTTGTACTAGGATTGAATCAGTCAAACTGAAACACAACAAAATGTCTTGACGCCAAAAGAAAATTGTTGCTACATCCAGATTTTTGCAAACTCTCTTCCAATTCATTTATTATGCTGATACTCACGGTTGGATCTGGATCTGTGGCTTGCACAGTGATGATGTTGCTGAATATGGCAACTGCCTCAGAGATTTCGGTGCTATAGCCAGTAGGACTAATAAAAGATGGGGGGTCGTTACGATTAATATTCACAGTAACAGTTGCAGTTGCGGTCTTGGGTGTTGCACTTGTGTCCTTCACAATAACACGTAACTGAAATATGAAAAGTCAAAACCTGATTATTTTAAAGAATGCAATTTTTGGCAGCTCTTAAAATATATGTATTACATACAAAATTAGTAGCCATTTTCATAATGACGCAAATAATGATACGTTACGTTACCGTAATAAGAAAGTGAATTGAACAGTAATCTAAGATACAATGAGATAAGTAGTATCAGCAAAGTCAAAGAGATGAGGACTTACGATGTAATCTAATGGTTTAGCTGGGTCAGAAGAAATGAGGTTGGATACAGTAATCAGTCCGGTATATGGGTCGATAGAAAAGTAGTCGTTGGCAGCCCTGCCATCTTCCAATGAATAAAACAAGCTGTTCTCTGGCATCTGTAATGTAACAGGAATGTTTTAAAGCAATGCATTGACATACTGACATACCATGTAGCATACTGACATACCATGTAACGTTATGTTAAAATTAGCTTATTGATTCAAGAAAAGTTGTCTTGGCAAGACTCTATCCATGGACAGACAGATGGACAACTGATTTAAGTATGCCCCTCTTAATTTCATTGCAGGGAGGTAAAAAAAAACTCCTTTGCTCTAATTTATCTCTTTTCTTTTTGAAAACCAGACTTAAATCTTCACATTTAAATAATAATTGCTATCTATTGAAATAGAAATTCACATCATCCCTATTTGCTCTTTACCGTTAGATCAGAATCGGTGGCATTGATATCTAAGATAGGTTTTCCGTTCGGGTCATAGTCATTGGCGAAGGCTGTGTAGCTTGCTGGAGATATTGTTGGACCGAAAACATTTCTGTTGATCTTGATAGTGACTGTGGCCTGGCTTTTTGACTCTGGTTCCATGGTGTCATAGGCTTCAATGAGTAACTGTGACAAGAAAAAACAGGTTGAACAAGACCAACAATAAACTGAAAATGTAGCATAATCTATCAGCAAGTCTTCTATGTGTTTGAAAGAGAAAGAAAAATATGAATGTAAAACAACGAGGTATCAGACTGATCACGGTCGGTAGAATATGGAGTCCACAGGACCGTATCAGACTTTCAGGTCTGACCTGTATAATTAACCACGCAAATGGTTTAAGCTATGCAATATAACTACAATTAACAGTCTGAAATGGTGTATAATGATTTACACAAAATCATTTGGTCAAATTTTCATCATTTTGTTTTCTAAGAAAAAAATTCTGTTGTTTAATTTCAAGCAACAGTACTGTCAACAATTAATATTACTAGATCTCTATATGTTAAAATGAAAACAAAATTCACAGGGTTTAAAATTCATATTTTTTTCTTCAGACTATCAAAAAAGTAAACTATTTCTGTAAATATAGAATTATTATTCTGAACAATACTACTTTTGAGTGAAAAGAATCAATAAATGACTAAGTATTCTAGTCACTATTTAATAGACCGGCGGATTTAGCTACCCATACAGCAAAACCTATCAGTAACACAAGTCACTATTAAATAGACTGGCAGATTTACCTACCCATACAGCAAAACCTATCAGTAACACTAGTCACTATTTCATAGACCGGCGGATTTAGCTACCCATACAGCAAAACCTATCAGTAACACAAGTCACTATTAAATAGACTGGCGGATTTACCTACCCATACAGCAAAACCTATCAGTAACACAAGTCACTATTAAATAGACTGGCAGATTTACCTACCCATACAGCAAAACCTATCAGTAACACTAGTCACTATTTAAAAGACTGGCAGATTTCCCTACCAATACAGCAAAACCTATCAGTAACACTGGTCACTATTTAATAGACTGGCGGATTTACCTACCTATACAGCAAAACCCATCAGTAACACTAGTCACTATTTAATAGACTGACGGATTTACCTACCTATAAAGCAAACCCTATCAGTAACACTAGTCACTATTGAATAGACCGGCGGGTTTACCTACCTATACAGCAAAACCTATCAGTAACACTAGTCACTATTGAATAGACCGGCGGGTTTACCTACCTATACAGCAAAACCTATCAGTAACACTAGTCACAATTTAATAGACCGGCGGATTTAACTACCCATACAGCAAAACCTATCAGTAACACTAGTCACTATTGAATAGACCAGCGGATTTACCTACCAATACAGCAAAACCTATCAGTAACACTGGTCACTATTTAATAGACTGGCGGATTTACCTACCCATACAGCAAAACCTATCAGTAACACTAGTCACTATTTAATAGACCAGCGGATTTACCTACCTATACAGCAAACCCTATCAGTAACACTAGTCACTATTTACCCTTAAATGGATATTTCACCGAGGATACTCACAAAGTAGTTGGGGAAGAGATTTGTGTTGAGGTACAGATTCTTCTTCACATATATAACACCAGTTACTGGATCCAGTCGGAAGTATTCAGTTCCTGGTTGGAAGCCTTTCACCTCAAAACGGATTGCTCCCTGTTGACAAAAATAAACCAGTTCAGTGAAGAAATGAATACGTTTCACTGTAAACTTGCCTGAAAGGTCCAGTGTAAGCCTAACAAGACTTAATGCATAGTACTTTATTTCCCATTGTCCAATAAGTTGTTATGACGGAGACCAGATGCAAGGGGGCTTTCCCACTTAAGCCTGGGTTACGACACCTTGTTCACAACTGTTGTGAACAAGGTGTAGTAACTCATAATGCACTAACATTACCAGTGGTCAAGCTGGCAATTAGTCAGCAAAACTGTCTGGGCAAGACCTTGGTATTTACATAGCAGTGATCATATGTAAGACCTTGGTTTTCACCTAGCAATGATCATATGTAAGACCATTGTTTTACATATCAGTGATCATATGTAAGACCTTAGTTTTCACATATCAGTGATCATATGTAAGACCTTGGTTTTAACATATCGGTGATCATATGTAAGACCTTGGTTTTCACATAGCAGTGATCATATGTAAGACCTTGGTCTTCACATAGCAATGATCATATGTAAGACCTTGGTTTTTACCTAGCAGTGATCATATGCAAGACCTTGGTTTTTACCTAGCAGTGATCATATGTAAGACCTTGGTCTTCACATAGCAGTGATCATATGTAAGACCTTGGTTTTCACATAGCAGTGATCATATGTAAGACCATTGTTTTACATATCAGTGATCATATGTAAGACCTTAGTTTTCACATATCAGTGATCATATGTAAGACCTTGGTTTTCACATAGCAGTGATCATATGTTAAGACCTTGGTTTTCACATAGCAGTGATCATATGTATGACCTTGGTCTTCACATATCAGTGATCAATGTAAGACATTGGTTTTCACATAGCAGTGATCATATGTAAGACCTTGGTCTTCACATAGCAATGATTATTGTTAGACCTTGGTCTTCACATAGCAGTGATCATATGTGTTGCTCAAGATTCCACTTATAGACAAAATGTCCTTTTAGGATTAAGAATTTTTGAGAGTGAGCTGAACTTATGGTTTAGATCTGTAAATGAAATGTTACCTGAATGTCAGGGTCTGTAGCAAGTACAGAGGTGGCAGAGGTGTTAATAGCCCGTGAAATCGGGATGGTCACTTCATAGTTGTTTTGTGTGAACCTGGGTGGTCCTTGTAATGCGGTCACCGAAAGGGACACAGAGGCTGTGTCATTCTTGACCGGATTTCGGGAGTCGGACACGAACACATTGAACTGAAAACAAATAGGTATGACACATCAAAAGTTGCCAATCTTATGTAAAAGCTAATTTGCTGTGTATGTTTTATTGTAGATATTATAACAAAGAAAGAACTGGCGAGATATGTCTGTTGAAGATTTGAAGTATACGGGTTAAAGAAAACTATCTGGCACTAGTTAAAATGTAGAAGATCAGCAGACAGTCACTTCACGCTACATATAATTGGAATTTTGTGTCATGGCAGGATATTCACTTTAGTCTCATGGCATTGTATTAACTTAAGTCTCACGACATTCTCTTAAATTTAATCTCAGAGCAGTCTACCTAATCAGTCTATTAAGTCAAAATTGTACAGTACCTAGCATGTGTTTATCTCTAACAATTATTAAAGTCTAAATAACTTTGGCATAAGAATGGTCTGCCATACTTACATCAAACCTGTTGGGTGTGCCGACCGTCTCGAGGGACTTGTAGAGAATGATGGCTCCACTATCTCGACTCAAAGAGAAGTACTCCTGATCAAGTGCGCTCATATCAGAGGTGTATGTTAATCGGTCCTGTAAGAGAATAGTGTACAACGACATGTGTTAACAGGGAGATTTGATGTAAATGGTACCAACAAGTATAGCATTACCATTATCACTTTTCTAAAACATTTTATTAAACCCCTTTCAAAGAAGTATTCCATAAAAATCACAGTGTGATGTAATTGACAGAATTAAATAACATACCGGTAACAGCATATTTCAAAGAAACACAATAAAAAGAGTAACATTAATTTGATGGTATGACATGATGCTGAGACTACACATATCTGACTATATGAATGTGTTTGAAGAACGTGCGTCAACAATTTGAAAATGTGAGATAACACGCAAGAGTGAATGATTTATTGTTTTAGATAAATTCTACATTTCTCAATCAACTGTTCTTGACGTCCCCATTAACCCTATTTGGTAACATAAAAAGTACCAGTAGCATCCTGCTGGACATTACAGAAATGATCAAGGCATCACCAGTCAACTTACCCCGTCAGTATCTGTGGCCAACAGCTGGAACACAACTGTTCCCAAATCAATGTTTGCCCGCACTGTATCAATGTAGGATTTGGGGTTGAAGGTAGGTCCTGAAGGATTACGGGTAATTTGCACCTTTAATTCATCGTATACTTTATTGCTCGGCCAGTAGCTGTCGTACACTTCCACTCTCAGCTGAAAAAGAATGCAAATGAAATTGTTGCCATGTTGTGATGTAAAAATAAAAATATATGCCAATCTTTTTGTTTGTGCAATTAATCAGTGCTAATTTATGAACGCAAACTTATAGACACGTTTCAAAATACCTATATCATTGTCGATGTAAACTTGTCAACAGTTCTATTGTAACAGCATTGTCAACAGTTCTATTGTAACAGCATTGTCAATGTGAACATTTCCAACATATTTGCAACTTGAATAAATCAAAAATGTGAAAATTAACCCAGACATGAAAATATCACTCCCACACAATTTTCTTATATGACACGAGGATGTTTCCTGCCTACCGTGTACACCATGGTCTCCAGTGAGTCAGACTTCGGTACATTGAGGATGGTAATTTGACCAGTGAGAGGGTCCATCTTGAAGAATGTTTGGGCTGGGAATTGTCCTATCAGCTTGTATGTCATATTGCCCTTGTAAATGAAAAGACAAAAGTCAGTAAATTCTATAGCCGAGCTGGATATAGAACATGCTAAGAGGAAAAGCACTGATAGATCTAGTGCCTCCTACCTTACCAGCTCCTATTTCAAATAAATCACAAAAAAATATATGAAAAAAAAGTAAATGCTTACTCGTTTGTCACCGTCAGTAGCTATCACATCAAACACAGTTGATCCAGAGACGGCATTCTCCTGGATAGTGATAGTATTGGGAAGATTGGTGAAGAATGGGTTAGCGGTATCTCTGGGAACAGTAACGGTCACAGTTGATCTGGCTGTCCTAGCTATGGGCACTCCATTGTCTGTGGCTTCCACTTGGACCTACGAGAAAAGATAAACGGTTACCATGGATACAATATCAGATATAGCCATAGCAATAACAGCCAACACTTTTCTGTTTTATGAAACAATCTAGATAAGCCAAGTCAACCATTAGCAAAACTAAAGAAAAATTCTCAGGTCTGCACACATTTTGTCTTTAGGTGCTTCATTGTGAAAAAAAAGGAGAAAAACAACTTAAAAAACAGTCATCCTGTGCTGAAAAAAAATCCAGTGTAATTTTTTTTCTGTGTAGACTCAGTGTGCTTGTTATAAAGTAAAAAGTAAACTGAGTAAGCCTCACAATATTGACAACCCAAGACCAGGTGAGCTATATCCTAAATGATGTTTTGTTTTGTTTTATATCATATAGACATCTAACGTCACTGTACCCAAATCGGGACACTTTTTAGATAAATATCAATGTTCTTTATACCTACTATTAGTTCAAAAAATGTTTGTTCATTTTTCATAAATAGATATTATCCACTTTTACATTTCTATTACAATTTGATCTTTCGAGTGCATGGTTCTATAAAAAGAACGTGAAATACCATCAGGGTTACTTAGGCCCTTGAACCTGCGTTACTGTACCCTGAAAGAGACACTTCCGGTATTTTGGCAAATATTTGGGGATAAACGATCAGTATTGGCAGACCATGAGGGTTATGATTAAATTTCTTTTCTAAACTAGCATTAGTTTTGATAAAATAGATACCCAAATAAAAAGGGTCGCAAAGTTTTGTTTTGGTAATTATTCTCATCTTTAAATTGTCCATGTAACGATAATCAGCAGCCAATAAATCTTATTACAGTTTATTTGTAGTGAAAAATATTATCAAATGAAAACTGTATAAATAAAAGTACTTCTTTGCATTGAATGAGTTTATTGGGCCGTTTTACCACAAGTGTCCCGTTTTGGGTACAGTGACGGTACACAACTGAAAGTCCTATAAAGATCTGAGTGAGCAATACCATAATTGCAAATGTAAAATGAGTAAGCTACATGATAATTGCTATGTAGATGGAGTGAGCTATGATTAGTGAGCTTCATGATAATTACCATGTACACTGATGAGTGAGCTATGATTATTATTATTATTATTATGACACTAGTGAGCTACATAATACTTACCATGTACACTGATGAGTGAGCTATAAAATGCTATGGAGATGGAGTGAGCTATGACACTAGTGAGCTACATAATAATTAACATGTAGACCGATTGAGCTATAAAAAGCTATGGTGATGGAGTGAGCTATGACACTAGTAAGCTTCTTGATAATTACCATGAAGACTGATGAGTGAGCTGTAAGATGCTTTGTAGATGGAGTGAGCTATGACACTAGTGAGCTATTACCATGTAGACTGATTGAGCTATAAGATGCTTTGTAGACTAAATAAGCCATATAACACTTACTGTGTAAACTTGAGTGAGGTCAGGATCAGTGAGCAGACTCTTCTTTAGTGACAGTCGACAGTCTTTATCTACCATGAAGAATTCCTGGGCCTTGGCGTTTCCAATGACGGAACAGACCAGGGTTAACTAAAACATGGAAAGCGCAAAGTTTAAATTCACATATCTACTTAAAAAGTAAACTTACATTTAAAATTTAATATATTCCTCTCACTATAAATTGATATCAAAGACTTTTTAATTTGTTCCACTTAATGGTTTCTTTATATTCATTGACATGATATTTTAAAAGGGTCCATGATTTTTGTGTACAGGGAGAGTAGGTTGTCAAGGATAAAAATGTTCTGGGCTTTGGACCAGAAACAATTACATTGCCTGGGCTATACATTTTCAGGGCCAGGGACAAGAAACACTTATGCTGTCTGGATCATACATGTTCAGGGCCAGGGACAAGAAACACTTATGCTGTCTGGGTCATACACATTCAGGGCCAGAGATGAGAAGCACTTACACTGTCTGGGTCAGACACATTCAGGGCCAGGGACCAGAAGTCGGGCTCTGTGCTCTGTGGTATTTCCACTTGGATGTTGGTTGGGTAAAATGTGGGACCGTTCAGGTTCCTAGTCACATCTATTACAACTGTACTAGTTCTTCTCAGGGTGGGTTTGCCAGTGTCATAGGCTACAACTTTTAGCTGCCAAAAGCAACAAGTCAGGATCAATACAAACATCAAAAACACAGTTCACTTAAGCAGAGTATGGCACCTTTTACATTTGAAAACCAGGTTTTTTTCTCAATATTTTCTTAATATTTTCTCAATCTTTTAACCATTATAAGAGACTTTTACCTAAGACTTCTGAAAACGATGTTGAAAAACAGGACAACTGATAAATTGTCGGACAAAAATAAGATTTATCAGTACTAATTTTGCAATAGAATCTGTCTCTCAGAACACAGGTTTATATCCTAATACTGGCTAGAATTTCTTATAAATGTCATATTGCCATCAGCATTTACTTAAGGTCACAAGAATCATATCTAATCTGTCAGATTCAAACAAACCAATATGACCCCCCCCCCCCCCAAAAAAAAAGGTTTGAGCTCATAACTTATCAACCAATCAGAATCCCCTAGGCCACCTTGCATTTGTTTAAAAACTATGAAATTTCATGAAAGTTCTACTTGCTGGTTTAGTTTAAATCAAGTTATTCACGGAAGAACAAAGAAAGCAAAGCAGATGTGTAATCAGACAGCCATTGAAAATGTACTAACAGTTTATTAGACGGGATTTTCAAATGCAGTATACTTACAGTGTAGCGCAGGAGATTGAGGCCATCTGTTCTCAGGTCCTTTTTTATGGTAACATCCCCAGTCACATTGTTCACAGAGAAGAAGCTCTGGGCTGGGTAATCGCCCACAGTCTCGTATACAATCTCGCCCTGGAACACAAACAGACACCCAGTGTTACCATCTCAGTCATTGCCATGAATTTATCATCATTAGACAAAAATTGAAAATTTAACATAGAAAAGCATACATATTTTGATACCAGTGACTGGTGGTACCAGTGTTGATGACCTTAGCACACTAATGTTGATGACCTTGACACACTTACCAGTGTTGGTACTCTTGTGGCAAGCACAGTTGTCAGTCGGGTCCCCACAATGTCAGACTCTAGGGCAGAGGCTGAGTAAGAGTTCAAGGTGAACGATGGCAGCTGTCCTCGCACTATACTAATGGTTAATTGAGCACTGCCAGTCTTTGCTGTTGGGTATCCATTATCTGACACAGATATTTGGCACTAGAAAAAAACAACAGGCTATAAGTACTGTAATCTGATCAAGGATAAGAATATAGCTGTAGACCATTAGTACTGTAATCTGATCAAGGATAAGAAAAGAGCTGTAGACCATTCGTACTGTAATCTGATCAAGGATAAGAATACAGCTGTAGACCATTAGTACTGTAATCTGGTCAAGGATTAGAATATAGCTGTAGACCATTAGTACTGTAATCTGATCAAGGATAAGAAAAGAGCTGTAGACCATTCGTACTGTAATCTGATCAAGGATAAGAATACAGCTGTAGACCATTAGTACTGTAATCTGGTCAAGGATTAGAATATAGCTGTAGACCATTAGTACTGTAATCTGATCAAGGATAAGAAAAGAGCTGTAGACCATTCGTACTGTAATCTGATCAAGGATAAGAATACAGCTGTAGACCATTAGTACTGTAATCTGGTCAAGGATTAGAATATAGCTGTAGACCATTAGTACTGTAATCTGATCAAGGATAAGAAAAGAGCTGTAGACCATTCGTACTGTAATCTGATCAAGGATAAGAATACAGCTGTAGACCATTAGTACTGTAATCTGGTCAAGGATTAGAATATAGCTGTAGACCATTAGTACTGTAATCTGATCAAGGATAAGAAAAGAGCTGTAGACCATTCGTACTGTAATCTGATCAAGGATAAGAATACAGCTGTAGACCATTAGTACTGTAATCTGGTCAAGGATTAGAATATAGCTATAGACCATTAGTACTGTAATCTGATCAAGGATAAGAAAAGAGCTGTAGACCATTCGTACTGTAATCTGATCAAGGATAAGAATACAGCTGTAGACCATTAGTACTGTAATCTGGTCAAGGATTAGAATATAGCTATAGACTATAAGTACTGCAATCTGATCAAGGATTAGAATATAGCTGTAGACTATTTGTACTGTAATCTGATCAAGGATTAGAATATAGCTGTAGATTATTAGTACTGTAATCTGATCAAGGATTAGAATATAGCTTTAGACCATTAGTGCTGTAACCTGATCAAGGATTATAATATAGCTTTAGACCATTATTACTGTAATCTGATCAAGGATTAGAATATAGCTATACACTATAAGCACTGTAAACTGGTAAGAGTAAGAATAAAGCTATAGAATTTTAGCAATGTAATCTGATAAAGGGTTAGAATTTATAAAAACTTCTCTCAAAGAATGAAAACTTTTGAACATTTTTGAACAAGTTTTTAATGTTTTAGTTTGTTTAGAAATACTTTTGTGTTTTATTATGATTGTTTTTTGACCAGTTTTGAATTCCACTTAAAAGTTAAATGGTCAAGTTCAACATTTTGGGGAAAAGGCTACAGATTTATAATGTCAATCAACTTGTTTTTTAGATTTAATGAGATCTTAAACACCATTGTTTAGAGCTTATAATCAACAGTCAAGCTGTCTATAATTTTAATATTCTCAAAATTATTACAATGGAGCCACCAGTTTTCTTTGATATTCTCAAATGAAAACAAAAGCAATTATGATTTCCTAAATGTTTAAAAACAAAAACTATACAACAAATTAGTTAATGTTCTCCAACAATGACAAAAATTATGCTACATACGTTGTACTGTGTGTCGGACGTTGATTGTTGGTCCTCTTTCAGGTATACGACAGCGGTGGACGATACAATGTAGAAAGCCTCTTTGCAGCGGTCGTTGCCAGTTAGAGAATACACCAGTGTGTCCTGAAACACAATCACTTTCAAGTCAACACTTTTGATAAATTTAGGCAAAGAGTAAAAAAAATATAAGACAGAAAAAAGACATACATAATGATTAAAATGCCACATAGTAATCCAACACCAATCCTATGCATCGATACATTGAATAAAATATGAAAAAAGTAAAATTTGAAGTAATTTAGTAAATTGAAAATGATAATCATATAATCATGGTATCATTTAAGTCGAGGAGAGCTCCTCAAAATCTGAAGACTTCTAATAGTAACTGGAGTATTGTTGAACATAAATATATTATAGGCACATTAAAGATGATGTTTTTTTACATTATGTATTGAATGCCAGTTAAATTTCTTACAATGATCTTACAGTGAGGTGAATTCTATAGTATTTTTAGCAACATTCATTGGGGACAAATCAAGATCATATGTAAGGTAGAATCATTGAGTACAAAATGTGAGAATCCCCTACATTGTCATTGTCACTAGCAATCATCTGTATGACACTGGTGCCTAATGGGTCGTCTTCCTGGACATCAGCAGTGTAGGCGGACTGTGAGAAGAATGGGAAGTTAGGGTTCCTCTCCATAGTGATCACAACCAGACCCTCACTCCAAACTGTCGGGTTGTTATTGTCATAGGCGCGCAGCGTCAGCTGATAACAAAAATGTTTACATATGATGTACAGTACCACAACTGGTTATTGAATCTACAACAGATTTAAACTACACCTTATTTGAAGTTTGAATACAACCAAAATTGGCTGTCATTAAAAATTAACTTCAAATTAATTCCCTATCTGATATCCACTGATTGTCATCCTTCCCTGTCTTATATATCCACCGAAACCAAATTCACAGACAACTTACTGCATACACAACAATTGTAACCCAATTTAAAGCATCCGTTTATCAGAGAACTTACCCTATACTCTGCTGTACGATCGCCTCGCAGGTCCCTGCTCACATATATTTGACCAGTAGTTGAGTTAATAGAGAAGAAGTAAGGTGCTGGCGGGGTTCCCACGATCATGTAGCGAATGTCTGCCTGAGGAAGCACTGGGTTGTGGGTTGCAGTAACTCTAACCACATTGTAACCAGTGCCAACATTTTCTTTAAGGTCCACATCATATTGAGAGACGGAAAATACTGGAGCTATGATCCTGTTGACACTTACAATAGCTGTCACTTCTCTGGTTTTGGGAGGATTGCCCGAGTCTGTTGCTCTGATTGTCATCTGTTTATGATAACAAAATATCAAATGAAAGTCACAAAGTTTGTAATATCAGCTTACACACTGAATTCAGTCCAAACATAACCTAGTTGGTACAGTTTGTGACTTGCGAAGAAAGACAGATGATGAGTTTCACGTAACTTGTTCAGATCTAAGATGAAGGACAAGACAAGGTTGCCGCTGGGACAGGTTAAAATTTATCGAAAAAATACTGAAAAAAGACAATATTTACCATTTATGACAGAGTGAGATGAATATAAAATAACCAATTGAGTGAATTCCTCACAGAACTTTTTTTATAAATTTGAGTTCAGACTTTTTTCAGACAGTACTTCTGGGTAAATAAAAGAGCTCTCCCAAGAGAGGTAGCAAACTAATGTACAACAGTACAAAATGTCCGAGTTCAGTCTTTCTGAGGGATAAAAATGAAGCTGAACTAGACTGACAAAGAAACACCTGTTAATTCTTATACAGAAAATAACATGAGGAAACTTACAGAGAAAGACTGTGCAGTACTGCTGATCAGTGGCTGACGTAGGTACATGTATCCAGTCTTGCGCTGCACCATGAAATATTGTAGTGACTGACCATTGGCCTGTGTGTCACCGATAAGATCATACACCACCTCATCCTGTAAACAAGTCAACAGGTCATTGCAGGTCAAAGTTTAAAAAATAAATGGCTACACCGAGTAGGTAGCTAATCATTCCTAAAGATAAATGGAGCCTTTTGAACGATGACTTATACACATCACTATTTTCTTAACCAGGTACTATTTGTATTTCCTATTATAAAGAGTTCCAAACTATCAAACATCTATCTGAATAGTGAACTGCTTTGAAATTTACTGGTTAATTCTTCAGATTTGTCCAATTGATTACATACTGGGTTTACATTTCATTGTTCAGATTGGGAACACATTCTGTGACATCAATGTTTCAAATTATTTTAATCTGGCAATTACCGAATACTTGAAAAGACCCACAAAAAATACAAGAAAAAAGCAAAATGTTTTTATTCTGTGTTTTATCAGCTGAAAGACGAAGGTGATGATTTTTGTGACAATCACTAATATATCATACAGTGCTATGTAGCAGGCCACTATTGGTCTCTACCATCTGAAAGTAATGAGGACAGAAATCCAGGCGACATTCATTGAAGACCTGACATAAAATATGGACTTATTTACCCGATGTATTGGTGACTTACCCCATCACTGTCAGTGGCTGTGATGTTAAAGATTAGTACGTTCATGGCAGTGAGTTCACTGATACTGGTGAAGTACTGTTGTCTGTCAAACACTGGGAAGTTGATGTTACGTCGTACATTGATCGTCAGCGTCATAGTACCTCGCAGATTTGGGTTAGCACTATCATAGGCATCGATGGTCAACTGAAAAAACCATCAAACACTGATAAGTAAAATAATTTATGTAATAACATCAAATACAGTAAGGACACTATACCATCCCTAAGACAAAAATTAACATACATTTGTCAACTTGAAATGTTTGTCTGATACTTACAATATAGGTACTTCTTGCCAGTCCATCTTCCTTTAAATCCCTTGTGATCTTGATGTTACCACTTTGATCAATATCAAAGAAGGTTTGTGATGGGTAATTCCCTGTGATCTCGTAAGTGATGTTTCCCTGTGCCACAGAAATGTATTATGTTTTATCCTACACTGACAATACCGTAAATTACAGTTCACACAATCGTGATTACTTAGGATTTCCATTCCAATCATTAACTTCAATGTTTTTTATCTTTCATCCTCCTACTTTTTTTCTCACCAATTGAATTTATTTTCGCAGTACATGATTATTTCGGTATTCAAATCCCCTCTGTGACCTTTCATAATCCTATCTGGTATATCTCACGCCATCTCTGTTTCTACTTGGATAATTCATGTTATTTGATATTGATGGAACAAACTGTTTTCACTGGTAAATTAGGTTAGTATTAAAATTTGATGGTGACCATGGTGCATAGCTGCTTCATAGATTTTCTTCTGCTCTGCCTCTCAATACAAATTACACTGTTCATAAGAGAAGTCCCCTTTATCCAATACTCAAGCCACTCTTCCAAATCATTAAAAGTGTGTCCCTCTTGCTCACCATCAGTATTACCTTCCCCCATTTATATCCTTAAGGCTATATACTGAGGTGATTCCTGAGTTACATACCCTCAAGTCAGAATCAGATGCGGTGGCAGTGTACAAGACAAAGCCAACTGGGTCGATCTCATCAATATTGACAGAATCAGCAGAGTTACTGAATACTGGCACTGCTTCGTCTCTGTCCACTGTTATAGTAACCTGTGCAATGGCTGTTTTTTCAGGTGTACTTTGGTCTGAAGCTCTCACATTAAGCTTGAAGGAAATAATGTCAGGAGATCAAATTCACATTCACATTACAATGTAAGGAGATCAAATTCACATTACAATGTAAGGAGATCAAGTCCACATGACAAGGTGAGGCGATCAAATTCACATTACAATGTAAGGAGATCAAATTCACATTACAATGTCAGGTGATCAAATCAACATTATAATGTAAGGAGATCAAATTCACAGAACAATGTAAGGAAATCAAATTCACATTACAATGTAAGGAGATCAAATTTACAGAACAATGTAAGGAGATAAAATTCACATTCACATGACAAGGTAAGGAGATAAAATTCACATTACAATGCAAGGAGATCAAAATCACATCACAATGTAAGGCGATAAAATTCACATTACAATGTAAGGCGATCAAATTCACATTACAATGTCAGGAGATCAAATCAACATTATAAAGTAAGGAGATCAAATTCACAGAACAATGTAATGAGATCAAATTCACATTAAAATGTAAGGAGATCAAATTCACATTATAATGTAAGGAAATCAAATTCACAGAACAATGTAAGGAGATCAAATTCACATTACAATGTAAGGAGATCAAATTCACATTAAAATGTAAGGAGATCAAATTCACATTACAATGTAAGGAGATCAAGTTCACATTACAATGTAAGAAAAATTAATTAACAGAACAATGTGAGGAAATTAAGATTATCACAGTGATTAAATTCAGCTAACAATTATTTAAATAGGATCTCTCAGGCTTTGAACACATCATCTGAAATATTTTGGATATTTGAGATACTAAAGGAAAAGATCAGTCATGTGAATAAACGTCTACTCACAGTGAACCTTTTGTTGGTTGTTGAGCTTAATGATTTGATGAGGGATATGCCTCCATTACGAAGGAGGTAGAAGAAATCTGTATCCCCCGACACCACGTTGTAGACCACTGTGTCCTATAATCAAACCAACACACAGTCAGTCAACATGACAAAAACAAATGGCAGATTATTTCACAAAATCAATTCAAATATTCAGATAAAAAAAATGAAAAAATCATTTTTATATTAACTTCGAAACTTACATTAAATCAAATATTTGATGATGTCTAATGTCAATCAATCGAGCACAGTTTGTCTTGGGCTTCATGCTGTACTTACGTTGTCTAAATCTGTGGCAAGTACTGAGCCAACCAATGTACCAAGGGACGTTTCATCTGTGATGGAGAATGTATATAAACCAAAGGAGGTGAAGACAGGGGGGTTTGGATTCCTCGTCATATTCACAGTCACTGTACTATTGACAGCCATGGATGGGATCTCAGAATCATAAACCTGCACTCGTAGCTGGAAAACAAAGAGTCAATGTTTACGACAGATGTTAGATAGTATTAAGTCGGGAGCTGGAACACTGACAGGCTCTGCCATGTGCCTGACCGACACCCGCAGTCATTTTTAAGTAACAGTAACCTTGACGTTAATATTTTTTTCAAATACTTATTACATATCTACATTTCACAGCGTATCACCATGTCAAATTTCAGAAAGATGAGTCTTTCGGTTTCCGAGAAAATCTCCGGAAACAAAAGAGTTGATGGACAGACAGACAGACGAACACTGTGATTACTATAGGGCACCTGCATCTCTAATGCAGGGCCCTTATGAAAGTCTTCACTCTTAACTAATAACACAGAAAAAGAAGAAGAAAATCTCAAAAGCTGTCTAAAAATATCAATTATTTCTCTTCTTTTTAAAAAAAAATTAATTGAAAGCTTTTTAACTTTTCAATGTCAAATTTAAGTTGGAATTGAAAATCTCCACTCTAAACCGATACAAACAATAAAAATTGGAAAAAAAAAGAAAAAACCTCCTCAAAAATTGCCAAAAAAATCCCCCCCCCCCCTTTTTTTAATCTCAATTAAAAGCTTTTTATCTTGCACCATCAGCTGTAAGTCAGAAATGAAAATCTGCACTCTTAGTTGATAAACACAAAATTTGAAAAAATATCAATTGTGATCACATTTGGTCTTTCAAACAATTTCAATTTCCATATCATACTGACTATATAGTTGAGTGCTGTGTCAGTTCTCAGGTCAACCCGTGGGGAAATCTCTCCCGCAGACGACAGCTGGAAGAAGCTTGGTCCAGCCCCATCTCCAATTAGCTTGTATTGCAGGGTTCCACCAGTTTGCTACAAAATAACATTATTTTTTGTTGATATTCCATTTAAACAAAAAAGCATCAGCAATTTAGAGGGATACATTTTAATCAATTTTCAGCAAAAAAAAAGGCCCAATTAAACTTGCAAAGACCCTGGTTAAACAAACATTTACACATAAAAAAGAAAGTCATTTAGGTTACCTATATAGACCTGTTACCTATCCCACTCACATCGATATCACTGTCCGTGGCAGACACTGTAAACAGGCGCACATTTACACTCGATTTCTCTGCTACATTGATGATTGCTGGAATGTTGTTAAATCCAGGGGCTTGATTTGGATTGACAAATACAGTCAGCGTTGCATTTTTTGTTCTTGGTGGACTCCTCTGGTCACTGGCTTCAATGGTCATCTGTCAATGAATAGTTACAGGTTCATGTACACATCAATTGAGCAATACAATCAGCACAGGGTGTAAACAGGACAGTCTGAAATCTTCAAAAGAAACTTGTACTGTTTTTTTTTAAAAAAAAATTCAAAAAGAAAATCTTGATTTACGCCAAATATCTTTCAATTTTTAATTATTTTTTTTGTTAAAACCAAAAGCAAACAACATAATTGAGATGGTTGGGCCTGCTGTACTTTTAAACAGTTGTGTGCGACTTACAACATAGGTGTCTGGGGCTGGTCTGTTGTAAAGGTAGATAACTCCAGTATCGGGAGTAATGTAAAACTTGCTGGTTGCCTCTGAAGGACCCAGGATTGAGAAGCGCATAACATCCTACAACAGGACAATGTCACATATCAAGAGAATATCTACATTTTTAACATAGGTAAATCAACATCTTTTAAAGATGCTTTTGTGTGATCTATCAATGAACCAGACACAAGTTAACCAGGTGTTAAACCTACTATTGTCTCCTCTTTAACGAGTAGAATACATTATCATGGACACTGAAAGATTTTTTTCCATTTCTAAATTAATCTTTTTCAGTAAGTTAATTAAAGAAACCTATCTAACATTGGAAAGATCTGTTTGTAGTTACATCCCTATTTCAGTAAAAATAATGAACATATAAATTGAACTAATAATTCAAAGCAAATATAAAACAATCTAGTAAGTAACTTTAGATTTTTTTTTTAAATATAAAATTAGTAAGAATTAGAGGATAGTACTGGTTTTCATACTCACATTGTCGGAGTCAGCAGCCGAAACAACAAACACCGATCTCCCGAATGGATGGTATTCATTGATGGCTTGATTGTAAACACCACTGGAACTGAAGACAGGCTCACCAGGATTTCGAATTACACGAATATTCAGCACGGCGAAGTCTCTGTTATCCGGGTAGTACGAATCATACACAGCAACATACAACTGTTGGATTAATAATAATGTATGTAATAATTAGTGTTTCGGTACCACAGCTGTCAGTGGGAGTTCTACGGTACGGCTCTACTCGTCACTACAGATCTTTTGTAACAATGCTATAGTAACAATGCTATAGTAACAATGCAATGCTATAGTAACAATGCTTTGAATTACAGCTGTGAAGCAACAAATTTGTTTCAACAACACATAAACATGAAGAAATCTAACCAGGTCTTAAAAACAACATCAATTATTGTGTCACGATGGACAACAATGTACTCACAACAAAGTCTACTTGAGAGGTGGTCATCAAATCCTTGCGGACATAAATAGCGCCATTGATGTCCACCCAGAAGTAGGCCATAGCCAGTCCATCCCCAGTGACGATGTACTGCAGGCTTCCCTGTCAAACACATAACAATCTTATTCAAATTCAAATTCTTCATCCTTGTCCTTGTTAATATATCAGGTGACAGAACCAGAAGATCGTGATAAATAGTGATTTTGTTAGATTTGTATGATGGCCATCCTGAGGTCTAACTTTATCATCTATTACGAATTTGAAGGTGGTAGCTAGCACTATAATTTTCAAGAAGTCAGAGACAAACATTAACATCCATTGAAAAGTAACAGCTGAGTTGCATCACATGCTAGAGAGATAAAAGCAAATCAGTGTTAAACTAATTCTTAAAAACACACTGATAAGCCCCTGTGTATAAGTAGCATACCTTACAATATTACTATTGAATCAGGTTTAACGTTACGTAAAGAAGACATTTTTTGGTGAAGACATTTACCCTAAGGTTGCCATCAGAAGCTGACAATCTGTATACGGCCTGCGTGTTGTTGATAGGTTCGGTCTCACGAACAGTTGTAGAATAGTTTTTCGGGAATTGGAAGGCAGGATTCGAAGTGTCTCTCTCAATGGTAATGGTAACAGTAGCTGTTCCATACTTCTCTGGAGTGCCTTGATCTCGGGCACGCACGTTAAACTGGAAAAGTCAATCATACCGTTTTTGATGATAATGCAAAATTATTCCTTCACCTAGATAAGGTACTTATAACCACATTAAGACATCTGGTTTTTTTCTCTCTGCACTCGATATATATTCATACAATACCGATCGTGCATTAGTGTCAGACCCTCTAAATGATAGCATTACGCACAGTGCCTCAGTCATGTATGAGGACAGTCAAAAACTGACCGTTGTCAGGTGAACATTGCAAATTGTTATAAAGAAATAGCATTATAATGAAAGGCACTTTAATATAAGCTATTTCAGTTCGAACGATGATATCTTCATAAAAAAGTTACTTGTAATCATGTCAGATATCTTCAAACTCTATGCTATACTCACACTATACTGGGCTACAGGTGCTGACGACTTCAAATCTCCAATCACACTAATAATACCGGTTTCGCCATTGATAAAGAAGAACTTCATGGCTTCTGCCCCAAGTGTGTCATTGACGATGTTGTACCTCACCTCATCCTGCAATGAGGTTTATATCACTTTACTACAGGGAAATATGTATTATTATTTTTCCTTTTTATACAATGGGAATAATATGGTTTTGGCAGAAATTAAATGCAAGCAGTAAATCACCATCTACTACCTATCATAACAGTACAACATTTGTTACCGTTACAGCACAGTCCATTAAAATTATTAACATAACAGTACAACATTTGTTACCCCTACAGCACTGTCCTTTAATTATTAACATAACAGTACAACATTTGTTACGTTACTGCAGTCCATTAAAATTATTAACATAACAGTACAACATTTGTTACCCTTACAGCACAGTCCATTAAAATTATTTCACACTCCAACAAGAAGAATTCTCACCCCATCGGCATCTGTAGCAGTGACAGTCATGACCAAGGCTCCTGGGCCGTAGGTCTCCGGAATAGTGATAGTGAACTGGGCACTATTTGTAAACTGGGGCGGAGAGGGATTGCGGACAACCGTGATAACAACGTTAGTCTCTGCTTTCAAGCCAGGGTTAGCTGTATCATAGGCTTCTACGCGCAGCTGTTTACAAAAATAGTTCAATACAATCAGACGTTTATAGGATTTTTTTATATATTCATTGGGATATGAAAGAAAACACAGGACTTAAAACTTGTTAAGATTTTGCAATGTAGCCTGATGATTATGAAAAATATCCACTCAACGCTTGTAACTAACTTTTGCGTAGAACTATTTAACAAAGATATGTTTTAACAAAAATGTATCGAATTAAATTGATGATAAACGGCACTACTTACAGTGTATACAAGGGTCTTGTAAACATCAAGGCCGAGATCACGTGAAACAAGGATTTGACCAGTTGAAGGATTAATACTGAAATGGTCTGGTGCAGGATATATTCCAACAATCTCATATGCAATGGTCGAAGACGTCTGTCATAAAACAAAACAAACAAATATATACCTTTCATGTTTCAACAATGTAAATCCTGTTAAAATGGAGAGAATCAGCAATCTTTTATTTTCATGTTTTAACAATGTAAATCCTGTTAAAATGGAGAGAATCAGTAATCTTTTATTTTCATGTTTTAAACTGAGATCAAATTCAACAAAGAGTAAAATTTTCTTTAATTCCAAATTTCAAAAAAGATTTTCGTCTTCAATAACTTTTTTTGTAAAACATTTTGTAAGGTCTGGAATCCGTACCAGCTTTCGTTACTAGACTCGCCCCCTAACCTGTAACAAAATGGTGGATTATCAATGCGTTTAAGATGAGGTGTAACTCTAGCGGGTAACGAACAGGTAACCGTGAACAAATGTGTTGTTTGTCTTTGTTAAAAGATATACACATCTTTATTTTCGCAGCATTATGAGTAGTTGACAGCTGATTATTACCGAGAAATTGGCTTGTATTCAGCAATAAACAATTTGTTGACTTCATAATGCAACTCTGTAGTGTGGGTCCCCAATGGGGATTGTTTCTGGTTAAGAATTTGTTTAGTTTCTCTATAAACAAGTAGATTTTATAGAGATTTTTAGTGAAATATCCATAATAACTTGTACAAATCTTAATAAATATTTGGTGATGAATTTACAAATGTTTGTATCCAATGCACTTGCCGCCATGTTGTTTACATTGTTGATTACCAAACGCAACATCTTGCAGGAAATTTAAGAGAAAAAATAGGTAGCATGATGGACATGTATGCTCTGCACCTATGAAAATCTTTCTTATCAACAAATGGATTCAATAACCACCTAATCGGAACACAGGTAACACAAAAGTTTCTTGTCATCTGTACACGACAACGGGGATAGAGCGGCATATATTTTTGTCATGTGAACACGACAACGGGGATAGAGCGGCATATATTTTGTCATGTGAACACGACAACGGGGATAGAGCGGCATATATTTTGTCATGTGAACACGACAACAGGGATAGAGCGGCATATATTTTGTCATGTGAACACGACAACGGGGATAGAGCGGCATATATTTTGTCATGTGAACACGACAACGGGGATAGAGCGGCATATATTTTGTCAGGTGAACACGACAACAGGGATAGAGCGGCATATATTTTTGTCATGTGTAAACGACAACTGTACGGAAAGAGTTAAGACGAATGTTTAGCGTTTTTTGTGAGAAAAGTGTTTTGGCTTGAGTTATTGCGTAAACAAGCAAAAACTAATGGCAAAAACGATGAACGTCATTGCTATGTCAAGTGTGATATGCCAAAATGCGGAAAGTTGAAACTCGACAGAAAAACCTGTAACATATGTTAAACATTTTTGCTTCTAGCATTACCATACAAAATTTGAAAGGAATTGATTAAAAAATATAAAAAGTTCTTGCATTTACTACACAATGCCCTTATTGGGCAAAGGGGCATAACTCAATCAAAAATGCATGTAAACTTCTAAAATGTGAACTCGTCATAGCTATATTGGTATGCAATATGTGTACCAAGTTTTAGTTCAATCAACCCAAGGGAACTCAAGTTATCACAAAGAAACCTTGTTTCGGAAGATGTAACCGACACCAACAAAGTAATGACTATATGTCGCCTCGCGTTACAGTTGACACAAAAATCATACAAACATATATCACTCTCTAAACCAAATTTTCATCAGAGATTACATACCCCTAGATCATCATCTAAAGCTGTGACCCTTTCAACCTCTGTCGTCAAGTCATGGGTAAAAAATATGGTGGAATCATCATAGGGCTCATTGATAAAGTATGGCCGCTTATCTGAGGGGTTGCGGATGATGTCGACGATCATCTGAACGGAGGTGGATTGTCCTCGCTGGTCAGATGCTTCAATTGTCATCTACAAAACCAAAAATGACAGCCTAACACACATTTGAAGTTATTATGAACTTAGATAGCTCAATGTTTTTCCATTTCATGCTGAGGTAGGTTCCGGAGCCTTCACAATGCACCGCTGCGATTTTTAAACTCTGCATTTAATACAATGTATACCTCGGGAGTTTTTAACGATGCTGTGATAACCAAACCATTTAAACATGTCATTTCATAAATTACCCATTATTTACATTTTGTTTTTAGTCATATCAATAGTATATTGTATATAAATAAGCCCTCTGCAGTAGAAATGTACACACAAAAATCTGTTTGGAAGAAATTTCAGTTTTACTTATTCTTTTTGTTTTAAATCACATAAGTGGTTTATATATCTATACATATATATAAGTTCTCTGAAGTTCTGTGACCATCCCCCCCCCCCCCAAAAAAAAAGCACTGGTAATGCCGCAGACTTACAATGGTCCTGTTAAAAGTGGCAGCCGTCAGCAGTCTTTTGGTGGTCAGTAGTCCAGACGAAGGATCAAGTAGGAAGAACTGGTCACCATTGTTGTTGGAAGATACAATTTTGTAGGTCACCACATCCTGAAATCATAAAACGTATGCTATCATCATCTGCATCATCATCATGACAAACTGCTCGAGGACACAGCCATCAATCTAACTCATGGTATTCATGTATTCAGTGTTGCTTACAATTTAAACCATCACATTTTCTTTACAGCAGAAAATCATAACATAATTTTTGCTGAGTATACTTCCAAATAAAATGGTAAAATTTCCAACATTTGGTCTAGCCAGCTTAGGTTTGTTATACAACTTCTGATTTTATGAACAAAATACCAAAACAATTTTCACACTTCTTGTTATTCATCCTATTGTAGTCATCAAGTCATCCCAGACAAAATCTGGAAAGCTTTGGTTAAGATTGACAAAGAAAATATTTCTCTATTTTCAACGCCTAACAAGTGTATCTTGTACATTGTAACTATTGACATTGTGTGCTAATTTAACAAGCTATATATATTCACGATATTTTTTCGAAAACACTATTTTCTTTTTGTGTAGATGGGACAAATTGACATTGCAGGTAAAAAGAGTAAGAACTGTAAAATAAAACAATGACAAAGTTATTTGTGGCTTATTCCCCAAATTAACAATGTAGATAGGACGTTCATCTGTAGAATGTGTTTAGAAAGGGGAGGAGTAGGGGAGCGCCTGTTTCATTCCTCAGTGAAAATGAGCCTATGTTAACTATCAAGTTATGTTTCACTGACCAGTGGGTCTGCATCTGCAGCTCCTATAGACATCACACTTGTGCTGATGGAGACGATTTCATTCAACTGTCTATAGTAGTTTGTGTTGTTGAACTGTGGAGCATTCGGGTTTCTGTTTACTGTGACAGTCAAAACAGCAGATCCACGTTCTGATGGGAACAGAGAGTCGTACACGGACAATTCCACCTTGAAACAGAAGCAATTTAATCATCAAGTAATTATTGACATTGTTTCCTTGTCATAATAGCATAGTCATGCTGTGACAGTAACAGACATTCATATTTTAAGACAACAATCTGTAGGCCCCTTTTGCATATCTGGTTCAACCGGTTTGTCCGTTTTTAAATGCAACATTTTCGGGTATAAATCCTGGCAGACCTGCAATGCAATGCATAATTGGAGACAAAAGTATACTGAATACCGGAAACATTTGGCCCATCAGATATTCACCCTTCACAGGTAAAATCCATATTCACCAGGTGTTCATTTTGCCCTTCACATGTAATCATCATTAATAGGGGATGCTGCATACCCAGATTTGCTGCCATGATAAATTCACCCTCATTGCAGAAGGCAAAAAGGTGAAATTAAATGTGCTGCAAAAATCTCCCAGTTTACACTATAGCCTTAAAACCAGTTGTCAGTTTATAAGCAGCTTAAGGGCCCTAAAATGTCTTCGCTGTCCACAATTATTTGAATATTGATTTGAAATGATAATGTTTTTAGGAGAGTTCATGTGTATCAAGTTTAAGTTAAAAGATAAAAAATTATCAACAAAAAAAACCTGCATTCCAAGTATACGATAAGTTTACTTACTCTGTAGGATACTAGGTTACTTGAGTCCTCCCGCAGGTCTCGGATCAGTGTTATCTCCCCTGAACTACTGTTCATTGCGAAGAAGCCTCTTGCTGGATATACTCCTGTGATTTCACGGACAAGCACACCCTGATAACACAGACAACTTGATGACACAATTGACCTTGGAAACACAATCAAGTTGATGACATATACAAGCACACAATGAAAAGTAATTGATGGGACACACAAAAGGAGAGAAATAAAATTGACAGAAGAATTATTCTACAGCAGATGCCAATACTGTAAATAAGCCACTCTCAAGCTACATATTCACTGAATGTCACTGCTGACTACTATTTCTCTCTCACCAAACTTCACCATCAACATTATTAACAGTAAGACATCCAACTTTAATCTCCGGTTTCTGGTATGAACATTACATCAAAGTGTTACAGGAATATGATTTACCGTAAGATCAGTGTCACGAGCGTTAGTCAGGTAGACGCGTGTGCCAACTATGTGTGTCTCCTCAAGCTGAGCAAAGTACGGAGCATTCAGGTAGACAGGGTTGGCATCTAAGTCAATGTTGATGATCACGTTAGCAAAGCCGGTTTTCTCGTTTACTCTTCGCTGGTCACGTGCAAACACCGTGAACTAAAAAAAGATAAAGTTTTGAAAAATTGATAATTTCTTTACAATTAGGATCACAAAGTACAGCAGCCAGGACTTCTTTATGTGAGTTCCTTTGGCTAGGATTGTATTAGGTTATAAAGTAATTGTTTTGTTTTTATATTTGGGCTTAATGTGGGAGGAAACTGGAGTCTCCGACAATCTTCATGTTGAATTGAGTCTTTGTCACTAAACATATAATACTTTACTAATTTTCTCCTCACAGAAGCTCATAATAACCACTTTAAATAACATGCCTGTATTACACTGATTTGATATACTGTAAACAAGAAGCAAAATTCAATGTGGACACAAGACATTTCGATTTTAAAAGACCTAACGGGAAAAATTCAGTGACGTCTAAAATATTACAGTACAGAGCATGTTTATGATTAAGAAAGTGAACCGACACACAAATGATGTCAGCTGACTTACGTTGTACTGGGTAGAAGGTGTGTCCTTAAGGAGTTTGTTGAGGAAAATGTTTCCCGTGTCACGGTCAATCCTAAAATACTCCAGACCAGTAGGGGTACCTGTCATTCTGTATACAGGTACATCCTGAGGAAAAACAAAAACATGTCGTTTTATACAAGCTAACAGTACCTCTACTTAGTTTCCAATACAAAAGTTACCCTTATACAAACACCAGCAAAGTGTCGTTTATCTTCTGTTATAAAACCACCAGCAAAGCCTCGACTACCTTCACTTAAAACCACCAGCAAAGCTTCGACTACCTTCACTTATCTTCTGTTACTAAACCACCAGCAAAGTGTCATTTACCTTCTGTTATTAAACCACCAGCAAAGTGTCATTTACCTTCTGTTATTAAACCACCAGCAAAGTGTCATTTACCTTCTGTTATTAAACCACCAGCAAAGTGTCATTTACCTTCTGTTATTAAACCACCAGCAAAGTGTCATTTACCTTCTGTTATTAAACCACCAGCAAAGTGTCATTTATCTTCTGTTATACAAACACCAGCAAAGTGTCGTTTATCTTCTGTTATACAAACACCAGCAAAGAGTCGTTTATCTTGTTACACAAACACCAGCAAAGTGTTGTTTATCTTCTGTTATAAACCCACCAGCAAAGCTTCGACTACCTTCACTTAAAACCACCAGCAAAGCTTCAACTACCGTCACTTAAAACCACCAGCAAAGCTTCGACTACCGTCACTTAAAACCACCAGCAAAGCTTCGACTACCGTCACTTAAAACCACCAGCAAAGCTTCGACTACCTTCACTTAAAACCGCCAGCAAAGCTTCAACTACCGTCACTTAAAACCACCAGCAAAGCTTCGACTACCGTCACTTAAAACCACCAGCAAAGCTTCGACTACCTTCACTTAAAACCACCAGCAAAGCTTCGACTGCCTTCACTTAAAACCACCAGCAAAGCTTCGACTACCGTCACTTAAAACCACCAGCAAAGCTTCGACTACCTTCACTTAAAACCACCAGCAAAGCTTTGACTACCTTCACTTAAAACCACCAGCAAAGCTCTGAATATCTTCCCTTATGGAAAACCAAGCTAAGCTTCATTGTTGTCCCACAGTAACATTAAGGTAAAGCCATGTAAATATCTTCCTTCCCTTTTTACTCTTGACAGTTCCGAGTTATATATATATGTATAGTATACTCTGATGAGCTAAATGTTTTAACTTACTCCATTGAGATCAACAGCTGTAGTGTTGATAACCATCACACCATAATCTGACTTCTGGTCAATAGTGACAATGTAATCACGCAGCAGGAAATCCGGTGCAAATGCATTGCGAATAACATTCACTGTCACATCAGCTACAGCCCTGTACTGGGGCTCACCAGTGTCATAGGTCGCGACCTTGAACTAGAAAAGAGGTTAATAATAACTATACAGTATCACATGTAACATTCAGGGAGTTTTCTGTTCTGACTTTATGTTAAAAAAAATAATACTGTTGACATATATTGTTTATGTTGATACACAAAACCTTCATGTGATGTTAAACTTCTCGGTTTTACGAAACCATATTACATACCTTAAAATCAATGTTACAACAGTGAACCAGAGTAGTTAATAAACTTCAATAGTTAACAACTAATTTACACATAAAATGGGCTACCTATAAAATGTACTAGTAAGTTTAAAGTTGAACACTTACTCTGTATATAATATCTAGCTCACTGAAAACAGACTTAGCTAGAGTGATCTCCCCTGAGGTAGTATTTAGGGAGAAGAATGCACTTCCTGGCGCAACCACTTCAAACACAACTTGTCCCTGTAAAGATAATCATTTTTCTACATAACAAGAAATTTTGATTTTATTGAAAAAATATGTACATACTTGAAGTACATTTACCAGTGCTTTATTTAAGATCAAAACTATTTCTTTTTCTGCAGTATTGTGTTTGAAACTCTCCTCAGAATTAAATGAAAATGAATCATTGTAATCATTAAACCACAATTGTCACATCTAGTTCTTCCAATCAATTTGATTTCACAAGATGAATGTGTTCACCTCTGTTCTCAAGAACAGTCAATGATGAAATCAAACATCTCAATATTTTTTTTTTAGGAATTTAATAAGGAGACATATGTGTTTTTTTACACAGAGAGATTCTGTTATACATACCAGAGTAGAGCTATCTGTAGCAGATATAGATAAAACACTGGTGCCGGGAGTTTTGTCCTCATTGATATTAATCGTGTATGGAGTGTTCGTGAAGGTAGGAGCCAGTCCTTGTCTGTTGATGTTGATTGTCACTGTAGTGTTGGCACACTTCCCAGGTGTTCCTGTGTCACAGGCTCTCACTCCCAACTATAAGTATAACAGGTGTTCTATTGAGTGTAGGTTACAATTTAGGTCAATAACCATACATAACTTACAAAAACCTAACAGGTCATCAAACTGTCCATACAATGATCTCACTGTCCATACAATGATCTCACTGTCTATACAATGATCTAACTGTCCATACAATGATCTCACTGTCCATACAATGATCTCACTGTCTATACAATGATCTAATTGTCCATACAATGATCTAACTGTCCATACAATGATCTCACTGTCCATACAATGATCTCACTGTCCATACAATGATCTCATTGTCCATACAATGATCTAACTGTCCATACAATGATCTAACTGTCTATACAATGATCTAACTGTCCATACAATGATCTCACTGTCTATACAATGATCTAACTGTCCATACAATGATCTCACTGTTCATACAATGATCTTTACTGTCCATACAATGATCTCACTGTCCATACAATGATCTCACTGTCTATACAATGATCAAACAGTCCATACAATGATTAACTGTCCATACAATGATCTAACTGTCCATACAATGATCTAACTGTCCATACAATGATCTACCTGACCTTCATTCATATTACACTGCCTATGGTGATCCAACATCTCTAATAATGATATCACAGGCATTAAAATACCCTTCGCAAACCTTCCATACACCAAACATACAATGAATCACATGACAATGTATGTGGTGCTTATTTCTGTGACATACTTACAACGAAGCGTATGATGTCCGTGTTGAGAACACTCTTTCTGAGATACATGCGTCCAGTTTCTGTGTCTATGTAAAAGTAGTCGGCAACACCCTGATCCAAGGTCCTCTGGATCTGTTCATCTACTATATCGTAGGAAATTACATCCTGTAACAGAACAGAGGGTCAGCAAGCAAGTTTAACACCTACAAGGCCTTTATTCAACAAATATTCCTGATGGAAACCCTTTCATTTAAGTTTTCCTAAAGGAAAGCATCCTCAGAGTTCAGGGGAAATCTTATAGACATTTTCCTCAACTTCAGTAATGCTTAGTTTTCTGTGTGGAGAATTTTAAGTTAAGCAATTTCCTTAAGATAAAGAAAATATGTGGAACAGGGGACAGTAAGCTAATTCATATTATATATCATAAAGACGTTTTTATAGATTATAATACAGTATCAATATTTGTACATTATACATCATAAAATCTATTTTATAGATTACAATACAGCATCAACATTCATATATTATACATCACGAAGTCTATTTTATAGGTTATATATGATGCAGCATCAAAATTTGTGTAATTACTCATTATAAAACACTTATTCTTTTGCAGCTGTTTCTGGTCTGTGTTTTTAAGGAAAGTGTTATTTTACGTGACAAGAAATCTAGGCTTGTTCCCTTAAAGTCCTAAAAAATATGAACATTTTTCTGCAGATGTTGACGACTGAAACCTTACTATTTTTTCCAATGCCAGGAAACACTTACATGATTGTCATTGTCTGTGGCCACCACATCAATGACTGATGTGAAGGGTTCGTGGTCCTCGCGGATGTTGGTGAAGTATTGCGGGAGTGACCAGATGGGGGGGTTAGAGTTACGGGTGATTGTGATCGCCACTGTAGCTGTTCCCTTTTTGTTTGGTCGCAAGCTGTCATAGGCCTCAACCATATACTGAAACAAATATTGCATCATACTATTTCAAATGTAACAATTCATTTTGCAATAACTTTTACTGAAGTAACTAATCAACAGTTATCTCCCTTGATTAAATCAAAGCTGGTTTTTATTTCCTTTAAAACAAAGGTAAAGAAAACAAACAAAAAATAACGTACAAATAAAAAGCCTTGTAAACTGCTAACTGGTTTTTGGATATAAAAAGAGTGTGTTTTTGATTAATGAAACAGAGAAGATCAGGATAGAATTTCCCCTGCCAGTCACAGAGGTGTCTCCCCTGTGAGCTGTTGAGGATTCCTCTGTCACCCTATATCTTATGATTTCTCTATCACTGACAGGAATGACAGATAGCACATGGAAAAAACAATACTATGACATTATTGAAATGATCATATATGACGTCACAATACGCTTTCCAAGGACAAGGTTTAACATTTATATGTAAATATTTTTCTCTCATTAACTCATAGGGGGGAATATTCTATTAGTCAACCAACTTCTCACCGAAATTCTGTTCTGCATCAATACTAAGTGTTTATAGTGAGACTTTTTCTTTGACCCCGACACAAACAAGAACAATGAAATGAGGATATATTCACCGTAAATTGGCTGTATTGTACAGCATCTGGTGTAAGAAGACTCTTCTGTAGTGTTATTTGTCCACTGTCAGGATCCACCGAGAAGAAACTAGGTGCAGGGTAGTTACCAGTAGCCATGTATTTTATTGTTCCCTAAAAGTAAAATGGAAAAAAATGAAGAATAAGGTAATATTACACAAAGTTATTTCAAACAACAATGATATAAAAGCAGCTGTTCAATCCAATGGATTTATAATTACCTGTAAATCTAGATCTGTAGCCACGATAGTTCGAACTGCGTCATTCACTGCTGTTGTCTCAGGGATTATCACAATATATTTGTCGTCAGAAGGATCAAAGTCGGGTGTATTTAGGTCCCTCAAAACATTGATGGTCACAACCACTTGTCTTGATTGCTGCGGCTGTCGGTCATCCGTAGCTGTTACTGTCATCTGTTACAAACACAATTGGTTAAAGCTGTTAAAATCAATTTATTCTTCAGTTTAACCCTTTCACCCCTATGTAGATATGGATGAGTCCATCATGGTCTACAGTGGTGAAAGGATTAATGGGCTATTGTCATATTACCTTGTTTATCAATCTATTATTCTTCATAAATAAATTTGTAAAAACATTCCTCAAATATCAGCAAATCTGCTTCTGCAACACATAACCATATCAAAGATGAACAGTCCTGAATTTTTTTTATAACAAGATATAATCACAATACACCCCAATATGAATCAGTCTTGTTAAACTACTGTAATCATAGCTGCATTTAACCTTAAAAATAAAGAAAACAATGTAAATATTTCTAAAAAATCTTTTTATTGATTACACAATATACAACTACGATAATATGTTATTTCATCAAATTTCAACGTAGGAGCAACATTGTCAACTATAAAACTTTGTCTTTGTCAACAAGATTCATACCTTCAGTTATAAATCCAGACTTGGCACGACAAAGATCTTCAAATCAGAAGCCTGATGTTACATTTGTTTCTTTCATTTGTTTTGAATCAGGATTGACATCAAATGTTGTTTTCTACAAATTATTCCTGATTTAGGTTTGACAGCATTCAATCAGTAAAGGTGTGAGGACAAAGACAACTCACCTGGAAAGAGAGTCTTCGATTTGGGTCGTTCATCAGGGATGATCTTATCGTAAGCACACCCGTTGATGGGGCCAGAAAGAAGTAGGGGTCAGCTGGAGAGGGGGAGGCTACATAGGTCATCTTGTCCTGTAGGAAAAAGGGAGCAAAACAATGCAATTCTTATCCTACATTTTAATGCCACAAATCACAGATCTAGTGTGTAGCACTAATCACAAGTCTTACTATTGTAGAAATAGGCCTGAAAACGGACACATATGTATTACTATTGTATAAAATAGGCCTGAAAACGGACACATATGTATTACTATTGTAGAACTACTCAACTGTACATAAACTGCTAAAAGACCTTCAAAATTCTTAAAATTCTCAAAATTTCATACTTTTTATATCCTTTCCAAAAAGCATAACTTTGGAGAAAATATAGAAGCCATTTAAGTTTAGATTTTAGCAGACATAAATAGGACAACTCACATTATCTGCATCCGTAGCCAATATCTGTAGAACAGACACTCCTACTGCAATGCTTTCGTTGACCGTTATGGAGTAGGATGTCTGATTAAAAGCGGGGGGATACAGGTTACGTAAAACGCCGATAGTCACTGTGGCTGTAGCACGGTCATTTGGATACTGAGAGTCGTAGGCCTCCACTACCAGCTGTAAACCGACACATTCATATATTAGTCATTTTTCATCTGTATTCACGTGCACAGTAGAAAATAGGAAAGGTGAAAACATCAACCAAAGGTTTAGATATTCACTCGTGTCAGAGTGATTTGTGACAGGGTTCAAGAAACAAGAGGCCCAGAGGGCCTGTATCGCTCACCTAGATATCTAAGCAATCATGGCAAAATATTCTCCAAATGAGATCCAAGGGAATATGCCAGACCCCAAGGCCAATCCTTGAAGCATATCTGTATTAGATTTTTCCTGTCCAGCAATTTTATGTATGGTTATGGGGTGGGGATTTCAACTGTTTCCAAGATGTGACTCAGAAACTAGGTCCCTAAGGTTGTGGCCAGACTCCAGGATCAATTCTAATATCATGACTGCATTCGTCTCTTTTTGCCCAGCATTTGTATTTATAGTTTTGGGGTGGGGATCTTAACTGTTTCAAAGTTATGACCCAAAGGTTAAGTCTGCAAGGGTGGGGCAGATCCTGGGGTCAATTCTAATATCGTGACTGCATTTGTCTTTATGCCCAACAATTGTATATATAGTTTTGGAGTGGGGATCTTATCCATTTCAAAGTTATGACCCAGGGGTTAAGTCTCCAAGGGTGGATTGCATTTGTATATATTGTTATGAGGTGGGGATCTCAACTGTTTCAAAGTTAAGACCCAGGGACTATGTCTCCAAGGGTGGGGCCAGACCCTAGAGCCATCCTGGAAGCAAATGTGCATTCTTCTCTTTATACATGTACTCAGCAATTGTATTATATAGTTATACTGTGGGGATCTCAACCATTTCCAAGAAATACACTTTTTTTGGCCCCACCCCTTAGCCCAGGGGTCAGCCCCACCATTTGTACAATTTTGAATCCCTGCCTCCCATGAATGCTTCCGACCAAATATGACATAGCATCCATGGCAAAGTTTTACAGAAGAAGTCGTTTATAGCATTATAGCCAAATTGGGGGGTCAGCCCCACCATTTGTACAATTTTGAATCTCCACTACATAGGGATTCTTCCAGTCAAATATGGCTGATATCCGTCTCTTAAGTCCAGAGAAGAAGTTGCTTAAAGCAATATAGCCAAATTGCCCCCTTTTGGCCCCGCCCCTCAGCCCCCTTGGGGGGGTCAGCCCCACCATTTGTACAATTTTGAATCCCCACCATCTAGGGATGCTTCCAGTCAAATTTAATTAAATTCCAATCAGTGGTTAAGAAAAAGAAGTCGTTTAAAGAAATTGTTGAAGTATGGACGATGGACGGACGCCACAGTATGGCATAAGCTCACCTTGGTCCTTTGGACCCGGTGAGCTAATAAATTATTTTCAATATTTTCAGCAAGCTCAAACACAGACAGGTCAGCAATGAGTTCGCCATGTGCCGCACCATACCCTTCTCCCCACTCTTGGGTCAGTTTTAGAAACAGTAACATTGATCTGGACTTTTATACTAACATCTATTTACACCTATTGTACATGTATCACTGTGTCAAATTTCAAAAAGATTACACATTTGGATATTGAGAAAAGGACAGTACCTACGTTCTATTAATAGTAACAGCGACCTTCACCTCGATCTTGGAGAATTTTTCAATCCCTTTTGCTCATTAACATTTCGCAGGGTATCACCATGTAAAATTTCAGAAAGGTTAGTCTTTCAGATTTCGAGATGATCTCGGGAAATGAGATTGCGGACAGAGAGACAGACAGACGGACAGACAGAGAGACAGGCCGAACGGCCAGATGGACAGACAGAGAGACAGGCTGACAGACAGACGGACAGACAGAGAGACAGGCTGACAGACAGACTGACAGACAGAGAGACAGGCTGACAGACAGATGGACAGACAGAGAAACAGGCTGACAGACAGACTGACAGACAGACGGACAGACAGAGAGACAGGCTGACAGACAGACGGACAGACAGAGAGACAGGCTGACAGACAGACTGACACCAGAATGAGTACAGGGTAAATGCAAATCTGATGCGGGGCCATAACTACCAGTATGTATCAACACAAAATATACTTCTAGATGCTTTTAATGTCTTACATTATAGGCAGTGTTGGATTCATATTTCAGGTTGTTTTTCACTCTCACAATTCCGGTACTGACATCTACATTGAAGTAGAAAGGTGCGGAGTTATCTCCCATCACTTCATACACAATTCGTCCCTGCAAAAACAAAGGTCACAGATGTAAGCAACAAAACACGAAGTTCATTATGCATACTGTAAAATTGGAAATTCTTGTGTATAGAAATATTTGTGATGTAAGTCTCTAAACTGTTTGTGGCGTGGAAATTTGCACCTTGGCAATGGCTCCGAGTTCTGTATATTGCATATATCTACCAGGTATATTTTCGTGAATATTTTAACACTAATTTACTCAATGTGTGTATTTCCCCTTTTACATTAACCTCTTTGTAAACAGCAAAACATTTTCATTTTTTCTGAACTAGGCCATTTTCGAAAACTAAAAACTACCCTGACAGCCAAATCATAAAATACTGTCTAAGAACCAATGATTCTTACATACCTAGTTTTCTTCTTTTTTTTCCACTTTTTTATATACATCGTTTTTTGATTTATTTTTTTTTTTTCATTTTTACTAAAAATGTATTTATCATTTCTTTACTTTAAGGTAATAGGATTGTGTCGCCATTTCTCAGTAGAATTTATTCAAATTTTGTAGTTATATTGCTTTGAAGTAAAGAAAATATTCTGCCACAAAAAAATATAGGTTGTCAGAATTTTAAGGATTTTAAATGGAAATTCATGTAAAAAGGAGTGAATTTTGAAAAAAAAAAAGATTTTTTTGCAAAATAATGTCAATAAAAATGATACTAACATAAATTAGTATTGCATTAAAGTATATCAATTTCATAAATGCTGAAATTGTGTAAAATTAATTATCTTTAATTGATTAAAAATTGACATTTTATAATAAAACCATATACACATAGTAAGTGCATGCAAGAGTTATCGTTCTTGAAAAACTTCACAGTAGTGAAATAGGTAGCCGGTTTCCTGAAGTACAGAAAAATGAACACATGTGACTCATTGATTAAAAAACAACTGAATTAATGCCTGGATTGCTTTGCAATACTTTAATATTGAAAAAACATATTCATCAGTTTAATATTAAACATTAGAATATGCGGAAATTGTGATACTGGTTCCCTATATTGGATTTTCAACTTCCTATTTCCGCTTAGCAATACACTCCTATGACCTTAAACACAAACACACTTTAAGTTTTACACACTGGTATTGATACCAACAAACAGAATGAGTTCTGATATCTAAATCTATTACATTTTCAGAGTGAGATACTCAATTCTATGAATCAAATATTATCAGTGATATTTTTTGCTCAGCCACTTACTAAAAAGTAAGTCATATCAATTCATCAACTTCAAGACACAACCATTGATCATGGAACTCACCCGCAAGTCGTTGTCTCGAGCCGTCACGGTGATGACAGATGTCGATACAGCACTGTTTTCGTTGAAGCTCTGCATGTTGTACGGAATGTTTTGGAAGACGGGAGAGAAGCTGTTACGCATCACGACGATATTAACACTAGCAGTATCAGATTTCTCAAACGGATACCGCTGATCACGAACCCTTACAGTCATCTGAAAGGAACACAAACTTGTCAATCATCATATTCACTTGAAGTCTGATACTGGGATAAAATTTCTTGATAATATTTTTTTTACTTTTCTTTCTCAATTTCAACAAGATTGAAAACTGATTATCCACTTAAAAGGAATTCATTTCACTGTCATCATTCATTTGTTTAGAAATATGTTTCTGTTATAACGGTTTACCTGATAAGTGCCTAGCTTGTTGACATCATTCTCCAGATCCTTAGCAATTCTAATGTAGCCAGTGTCAGGATTGATGGTAAAGTAAGGCAGCGCCTGATCAGAAACTAAAGTACCAGTTGACAATAGTTCATATCGTAATGTGTCCTGAAATACAAATATCTTCGCAATTTCAACCCATGATTATAAAGTACCCGTTTTTAACACAAACACATAATTAATGAATAACAATGGTTTTGAAAATAGGCATCATTTCAAAAGGTTGTATTCTTAATGAGAATTAGACCCACTATTGGTCGCTGATATTATTTTTCTTCTTTAAATTAATTTGTCCTACGGAAGCATACTACACAATATCTATATAGAATAAAAACATAAACCTGCCCTCAGATCTTCCGCTTCAAATGTGCAGAAGATCTGACAGATTTATGTTTTTATTCTATATTTTTTTTCACAAGGTTTGTTTATTTATTATCTACTATATATACATGTATAGAGTAATAGACCAAAATGAAATAACTAGGGTGAAGTCTTCCAGCCGGTTGACCTGCAGGAACCTTATTGTGGTTAAGCCTTTCACCACTGTAAACCATAATTGACTCACCCAGATAAATGTATGGTAGAGTCTACTAAAGTTATCTAGGGGTGAAAGGGTTAAGACAGACATAACAGATCAAGGGAGACAACTTAAAGGAGGGACCACTTACACCATCTGCATCAAAAGCTGTGATGTTGACAATGTTGGATCCCAATGGCTCATACTCCCAGATCGTGGCGCTGGCCCCATTGACACTTGGTGTGTTGATGTTATGGGCTACGTTGACTGTCAGTGTACCGGTGGCCGTCTTCCCCGGACTGCCAGAATCATACGATGTGAGGATCACCTGTGAAATAACACATTTATAAATACATTGTCAAGTAAATTACATGTTCAGTTTTTTCAATTAACACATCCATCAATGAATGCTGTTTTTATTTAACACATTATTTCATCAATAAATCTGTTTTTAAACAAGGCATCTAACCATCAATTAATCCTTTTTTTTATAAGGCATCTATCCATCAAAGATTTCTGTTTTTGAACAAGGCATTAAACCAGCAAATATTTTGGTATTTATACAATTTATTGATCCATCCATTTACCCTTTTCTAATTCAATATATCGACTCATCATGTTATTTTTACATTACTCCTGCTCATTAAAGCTGGTCACCTTTAAAAACAAGAAATTTCGTAATTCTTTATTTAAACATGTAATTAAGAAAAGTCTTAGTTGAATTCAATGGTTTACTGTATCAACAAAAATAAACTTACTATATATTGCTCAACAACATCCAGTCTGAGGTCGTTCTGAACGAAAACCTCCCCAGTTAAGTTGTTCACTCGGAAATATCTGGGTGAGTTGAACTCTCCTATGATGTTGTAAATCATGCGTTCCTGCATAAAAATCAAAGCATTGAAGCATGACAATCAACTAGGATCATATCAATATAAAACACAATAGATAAAAACAGACAATCTATTGTTCAATAATGTAACGAATCACTACAACAAAAATCATATTTAATTCTGCTCTTTAGAAGTAACCTACATACCTGCATGTCTGGGTCATTAGCAGAGACAGTGAATATTGAATTTGTCAGTGAGTTTGTTTCCTGGATATCTATGGCCGCGGGAAGGTTTGTAAAGCTAGGCTCCTGGTCCCTGTTCACTATAACAACCACATTGGCAGTATCCTGTTTGCCTCCTGCATCTCGTACCAATACCGAAAACTGCAAAAGAAAGCCAGTGGTCACCGATTTACACACAAACTACAATTATGGTAAAAAATAGACTGCAATGTAAAACTTTCAAAGATTTAGGAAAGAAAAAATATTAGAAATATACGTGGTAAATGTATACTTTTTGTTAATTTACTTACTGTGAACTGATTAAAAACAGATGAAGTCAAAGTTTTCCTCAAGGAGATGAGTCCATTCTCTGGATTGACGTAAAAGTAATCCTTATCTTGTTGGTCGACTGCGTCATCCATGTAGTAACCAAGCTTGTCCTGGTAACACAAGTCACACAATGTCTCAGGAATAAAGTTGTTAAAACCATTGATTGGACAACTTACTCTACACCGCGACAATTTTGCATCCAGTGTTAATTTCATCCTCGACATGTAACTACTAGATATGATTTGATCTGTATTTGACATGTAACCACTAGATATGATTTGTTCTGTATGTATTTGATATGTTCTGTACTAATATTTGCTCTCATGATAAATTTGCCGTCATTGTGAAGATTTCCCAGTATCTTATATCTCTCAATACAAAGAAGTCTTGTTTTGTTATTTCAATGCTGATACAAGGCAGAATTCATAAGCCCGCTAAAGAGAAAAGGAGTCACCGTACAAACTGAATAGTTATTGGAGAAACTTGCTGACAGTGAAATTTCACAAACTTGTGAAACATGACTGTCTGTAATATTTTACCTAACTCTCATCATCTGTCCTCGACATATTTTCAATTTACTAAATCCATTTATAAAAGCAACCAACACTCATTTGGGAACTACCATTAACTGACATATAGCTGGAACGTTTTTGGGTAATGGGGCATTTAGATAGGACTAAACAATTATGAAGTGCAGGAAGCAGACAAATAACTCACATTATCAGCATCACTGGCATTGAGTTGGACAACTGAACTTCCAAGAGGGAAGGTCTCCGCAATGGTCCTAGTATACACATCTTGCGAGAAGACTGGAGTAGCAGGATTGCGGTTGACTGGTATTGTCACAATCGTGAACACACGGTTATCAGGGTAGAAAGTATCAAAGGCAGCAATCCTTAGCTGTAATAGAAATGGTGTTGATGATTCCTTCATAATAAATAAACACTAAGCTTTCATTGTAGAAATCATTTAGATCACTTCAAATTACAACTCATTTTTCATTTCATTTTTTTAATTATAAATTGGTTTAGATTCTATCATATAATTCACATTTAAATACAATGCATGGGTATAGAGGAATGAATGTAAATTTTGTGAACAGTAACATCTTTAAAGCATCTTTTATGGGAATGTCAAGAAAGTAAGAAAATTGAAAAAATCTTTAAAAAAAATGGATTGTTAACAAAATCGATATTGACATTGAACTAATACCAAACTAGTTGGCCAGGTAAATGATATATAAAATTCTATACACTACTTTTCTTCATTTATATACAATGTTTTCAAAATGCACTTCCTCCATAATAAAATGAAAAACAAAATCAAGATTAAATACAGTTAAAATCAACAAAAATGAAGTCAAGCTGTCAAAGAATCTTGTGAAAAACATTTACAATCATCCACGAGTGTTTCAGTTATAAGACACATGAGCCATCTCTGTGCTGCTTATACACATAGAGGTGTAATGTGTAGGGTACTGCTGGTCTACATGACATGGACTGTTACATGCTTTATTTTTACACATTATTTAATTTTAATACCTTAGCACATTAATGAATTAACGCATCCAGAAAATATGCAATAGAGAACAACGTACAAGAATTTAAATTAGCGCATTCATAATTTTACGGAATAATTAAAAGCTCAAAAAGCACTAATATAAGACTACCACTTATATATTAACGTTTGAAATATATTGTATTCAAGCAAATACATTTTATGTATATCTCCCTAGATAATAGAAATACGATGAATGATCAGAATAAAACATAACACTTTTGTTATCATTGTAACTACTATATTCAGAATATTTCAATGAAAGATTCATACCTTATCAACTTTAGATGGAATATTATCTTAGCTATTAAACGTTTATTCATGGTGGATAGTGTGCGTGATGTTAAGAAACATTAACACAGGACCCTGACACCTGACTGTATTGTCTGGGTCAATCAAATGTTTGAAATGTTAACTTAAAATTAAAATAGGAATAGAACAGGTTACCTCGTATGTTCCTGTCTGAAGACCATCACTGGTGACCTGCTGGGTTACCCTCACCTCGCCGGACGTCAGACCAACAGAGAAGAATGAAGGTGCTGGGTAGTTTCCTACCACAATATAGTTGATTTCACCCTGAAATCCAAAAACAATGAGAACTATGCAGACTCTTTGATAACAACTATAATTGCATGTAATCAAATAACAATATTATTTAGCATGGGGGATGTACATTCATATGTAAAATGGAAACCTAGGGGCTACACACACTTCAAATACTCAAATGTAAAAAAAAAAAAAAAAAGAACACTACAGATATTATGTTAAATGAATCTTGAGATGTCATTTATACAATTGAAGAAAAAGATAAACAAATATATGACGAGTGACAACGGATTTAAGACAAACAAAGCTGTTTATGGACGAGAATAAAATGATCACCTCTAAATCATTATCTGTAGCTTCCACGGTATCTACGAGCTCCCCGAGTGGTGCCACTTGTGCTATTTGCCGACCATAGTTGTTGGAGCTGTATACAGGTGGGAAGTTGTCACGGTTGATGGTGATGGTTACACCTGCAAGATTGCATTTTTGTGGTTGCCGCTGGTCACAAACCTCAACGGACATCTAAAAAATATGTGTCAAAATCTTCAGGTGTAAACAGGCATTTGATAAAACCAAGCGTGTGATCACTTTTAAACATTTATATCTTCAGATAGAACAAAGCTTGTGATCACTTTTAAACATGTATATTTTCTGATAAAACCAAGCTTGTGATCACTTTTAAACATTTATATTTTCTGATAAAACCAAGCTTGTGATCACTTTTAAACATTTATATCTTCAGATAGAACAAAGCTTGTTATCACTTTTAAACATGTATATTTTCTGATAAAACCAAGCTTGTGATCACTTCTAAACATGTATATCTTCAGCTAGACCCAAGCTTCTGATCACTTCTAAACATGTAACTCTTCAGATAGAACAAAGCTTCTGATCACTTCTAAACATGTGTATCTTCAGATAAAACCAAGCTTGAGATCACTTTTAAACATTTATATTTGCTGATAAAACCAAGCTTGTGATCAATTCTAAACATGTATATATTCAGATAGAACAAAGCTTGTGATCACTTTTAAACATTAATATCTTCAGATAGAACAAAGCTTCTGATCACTTCTAAACATGTGTATCTTCAGATAAAACCAAGCTTGTGACCACTTCTAAACATGTATATCTTCAGATAGAACAAAGCTTCTGATCACTTTTAAACATGTGTATCTTCAGATAGAACCAAGCTTGTGATCACTTTTAAACATTTATATGTTCCAAGTTGTTATTAATTTGACATCATTACTATATTTTACCGAATCAAATGCCTGAGTGCCGTCGGTCAGGGGTTTCTTTAACGTGATTATTCCAGTAGTTGAGTCAATGTAGTAAAATTGCAGAGACGCAATGCTGCCAGTGAGTCTGAACTGTATATCATCCTGCAAGTACAAGTCTTCATATATACACAAGGTCATCGTTAAATCAATCATAACAAATATTTACCTCATATATTTCATTGCTCATCCTGCAAGTACAAGTCTTCATATATACACAAGGTCATCGTTAAATCAATCATAACAAATATTTACCTCATATATTTCATTGCAAAATATTTGTTTGATATCAATTACAATTTTAGAACACGTGCTGCTTTATTAGGTACTGCGACATGAACCCTTGCCAACCTGATGTATATAATTTGTTTATTTTGATTTGTATTTTTTATGGCCAATTCCACAATTCAAGTTATTCTGGACCAAACATTACTTAGATCGATATTTTTACTGCAAGTGAGAAAATGTAAGCATGGTAATAAATTTGATTTTCATTTTATGAAAATAGGTGTGTGTAATAGGTGTGTGTAATAGGTGTGTGTAACTTGGAACTTTCTCTCCTTCGTTTGTTGCACAATATGAACATGGGGTCAAACGGCAAATATCTTTAACCCTTTCACCCCTAGGTAACTTTGGTCGACTCTACCATACATTGATCTGGATGAGTCCATTATGGTCTACAGTGGTGAAAGGGTTAAAAGACTGTAAGAGCTGATTACACATAATTCTGAATCATTATAGACCATCAAATAATTAAAGGAAATAACTCTTACACAAACCTTTAAGAATGGTAGCCTATCATCTTAAATCAATAATCTAGTATTAAAACATAGCACTCACTCCATCAGAGTCCGTAGCATTTACATCCACAATAGCTGTGCCAAGTGCCAAGTGATCATAAACAGTTCGGGCATACGGTTGGTCTAAAAATCCAGGGGCATTTGCATTGCGGCTCACAAATACAGAAACAGTAGCTGTGGCTTGGTTTTCAGGGTAGACACTGTCATATGCAATCACGTGCAGCTGTAAAAAAATATGTTCACAGTACCCTTTATATATTTATTATTTCTTTTTCAATAATTAGTTTACTATTGATGCTCCATCCTTTGATAAAAACAATTATACTTTGTAGGCATACTTTGATAACGACAATTATACTTGATAGCCATACTTTGATAACGATTAATATACTTGATAGCCATACTTTGATAAAGATAGTTATACTTTGTATCCATACTTTGATCACGATCACTATACTTGATAGCCATACCTGATAGTCTTGCTGCAAATCTCGTAGTAAGAGACCTTGATTCTGAATGGACAAATAAGCAGAGGTCTTGTTGATGTAAAAGAAGTTAGCTGCAATACTGTCGTGGATAACGTCGTACATAATCTGTCCCTGTAAGAAAATAAGTTGCAAAAGTTGTAAAACCAGCTCAGCAGGACAGGGGGTCAATAAAAACAAAATCTCAATGTATATCATTATTGAAAAAAAAAAAAAAAGCAAAAAAACCCGGTTTTGCTTACTCTTAGGTCTCCATCAGTAGCCACAATGCTGGTGTAAAAGACGGTGTTATCCTGGCTCTTCTCATCCGTGTTGGCATTGTAGGGTAGGTTTTGGAATACAGGGGGAAATCTGTCTCGCAATATGATGATATGGACACGGGCCAGACTGGTTCTCTCGGGACTGCCCTGGTCGGACGCTTGCACATTGAACTGTCAATGGTAGAAATAGTTAAGTTACACCTATATGATGAATTCTCTCTTAGGACAAGGAAGTGCCTTCAGAGGCAAATGATTTATATAATAAACTCTGCTTGTAGCAAATTAATTGATGAGATTCCTTGGGTTATCTTATAAAACTAGCTGACTGTGACTTATAGCAAACAAGGAATTTCGCCTACCATCAAAGGAATTCAGATTTCATTTTAAAAATTACAAATAAATTAAATAAATATTTCTTCTCAATTATACCTAATATAACAAATGAGTGTCAATTTGGACACAAGCTATACATATGTAAATATCCAAATTGATGGTTGGAATAAAACACCAGGTTAAACAGTTTCCCCAAAGACTGGTGGTTGGTTATCGTGTTTATCTTGCTCGAGTAAGTTAATTTTCAAATTGTAGACAAAAGGTTTACTGAAATAACAATTTGAAAATCAACGAACGAGAGTTAGACAAACATGATAATCAACCATCACGAGGTTGGGGACCTTTTTCTCTGACAACGTTTAGATATTGTATCTAGAAATCCTTGTTTTATTTTGGAATACCTTATTCCTGTTTTGATCAGGAAAACAATTGCCATGACCAATGACGTCACAATGGAAGATGATGTGAGAGTAAGGAAACCTAAAGTGGTGATGGGAAAAAGACATTTGTGTGACCGGGACACTCACCGAGTAGTTGCCAACACTGGTTGAGGTTAACGGACTGTTGAGAGTGATGGCACCTGTGTCAGCATTCACAAAGAAGAAGTCGGTGTAGGGAGCACCATCTACCATAGTATACTTTATCTGGTCCTGAAAAAGTAACAAAATTGTTTCAAAACGACATGAAATTGAGAGTCATTCGGAAGAAATAAAGAATAGATGTAAATGATGAGTTGAATGGCAAACATTACTAACAGTAACACTCCAAGGGATTCCAAATCAGAATATTTGGCTTGATCGAGTGGTCAAGATGCCTGATTATTGATGGTTTAACAACTGTTGCCCAAATCTCAGATCTGTATTTTTTTCTGACCTGAATAATACCCGAGATACACAATAATGTTAAATAAACATTGGAAAAACATTTATTGAGAAACAACGTTGAATAAACATTGGAAACACATTAATTGAGAAATAATGTTGAATAAACATTGGAAAAACATTTATTGAGATATTATGTTGAATAATCATTGGGAAACCTGTATTTACTCAGAAAACAAACAGCATGAAGAGCACACATTACATATATAATTATCAGACTTCCTGAACATGGCCTCTGAATACAAATTCAAATAAAATAGCAAATGTTTTACCGATAATTTAAGGGGTCACATGTTTCTTATGATGCAGGCATCAATAGATCGATCATCAAGACAGAACCATCTACATTGTATTATAACTTAAAGGTAGAACCATTGTCAAAATGACATTTCCCCCCCTGGATCAACAATATACAACGAAGACAGTGTCCATGACTTACGTTATCTGTATCCGTGGCAGTGACCTGCAGGACTGTTGACCCCAGAGCCCGTTTTTCCTCAATGCTGGTGGAATAGAAAGCTGAAGCTGGGTCAAACACAGGACCAGCCTCGTTCCTCCTTACAAACACATTGACGGTAGTAGAAGCTGTTTGAGTGGTCACATCAAAGGACACGGCCTTCACAAGCAGCTGTATAAGCACAAAATACACATTTTATTCAAATACTTGATTTTTTTTTCCCCATTGAAATATAATCATTCTGTCAAGAAATCTATATAAAATACTGCAATTTAAAGAGAGCTTGAAAACTCGGATGTTTTATTAAGCACCGATATGATTTTTCAGGAAGAATGTATTACATAGTATTGGAGAAAAACCTAAAAATAAATACTGACTGTGGGCGATAAAAGAACAACTCTGTACACACAACTTTACACTGCTGATTGGTATAATCAATACCAGCAATAATCCCTCACTTACAGTGTATTGGTTGAGCATGGAGGCATCTGTTCTCAAGTCTTGTTTGACCCGGATGTCGCCGCTAGTCGTATCAACAGAGAAGTAGGTAGGACCTGGATCTCGCCCAGTCAGGGTGTATTCAATGCTTACCTTCAAACAGTATGATAAATATTAAGGTTTGTAAAAGTTAACCTGAAATTACAAGTCATCAGAACAGTTAAAAGGTGTGTAAATTTCAGATCTACTGAATTTGTCTGTCTTTATGGTGTCTTTATAAACTTACCATCACAGAAACTTTGTCTGACTTATATAACCAATCAGATTTTTTTATAATTTTTGACATGTGATTTGATACCATTTTAGACAATTTATATCCCCTGGACAGGTGACAACAGGAGTCACAAAGAAAATTGCCCTGGTAAAGCAACAAATAAACTTACCCCTGGAGAGGCAGCAACACGAATGACAAAATCATTGACTGGAGCATTCTCACTCTTAGTAGCATTGTATGCAGGAAGACCAAAGGTCAAAACACCGGAGCTTCGTAGAACATTGACTGTTAATGTAGCAGTAGCTCTTTTTACAGGCACGCCCTGGTCCTTCGCAATAATGGTGAGCTGAAACAAATGCATGTTCTATATTATATCTCTACAAATATGCATGTTCCAAGATTATAGCTCTTCAAGTATATATGTTCTAGATTATAGCTCTACAGGTATACATGTTCTAGATTATATCTCTACAGGTATACATCTTCTAGATTATAGCTCTACAGGTATACATGTTCTAGATTACAGCTCTACAGGGATACATGTTCTAAGATTATAGCTCTACAGGTATACATCTTCTAAGATTATAGCTCTACAGGTATACATGTTGTAGATTATAGCTCTACAGGTATACATGTTCTCAGATTATAGCTCTACAGGTATACATGTTCTAAGATTACAGCTCTAAAGGCCTATATGTCCTAAGATTACAGCTCTACAGGTATACATGTTCTAGATTATATCTCTACAGGTATACATCTTCTAGATTATAGCTCTACAGGTATACATGTTCTAAGATTATGGCTCTACAGGTATACATGTTCTAAGATTATAGCTCTACAGGGATACATGTTCTAAGATTATAGCTCTACAGGTATACATCTTCTAAGATTATAGCTCTACAGGTATACATGTTGTAGATTATAGCTCTACAGGTATACATGTTCTAGATTATAGCTCTACAGGGATACATGTTCTAAGATTATAGCTCTACAGGTATACATGTTGTAGATTATAGCTCTACAGGTATACATGTTCTAGATTACAGCTCTACAGGTATACATGTTCTAGATTACAGCTCTACAGGGATACATGTTCTAAGATTATAGCTCTACAGGTATACATGTTCTAGATTACAGCTCTACAGTATACATGTTCTAGATTACAGCTCTACAGGGATACATGTTCTAAGATTATAGCTCTACAGGTATACATCTTCTAAGATTATAGCTCTACAGGTATACATGTTGTAGATTATAGCTCTACAGGTATACATGTTCTCAGATTATAGCTCTACAGGTATACATGTTCTAGATTACAGCTCTACAGGGATACATGTTCTAAGATTATAGCTCTACAGGTATACATGTTCTAGATTACAGCTCTACAGGTATACATGTTCTAGATTATAGCTCTACAGGGATACATGTTCTAAGATTATAGCTCTACAGGTATACATGTTGTAGATTATAGCTCTACAGGTATACATGTTCTCAGATTATAGCTCTACAGGTATACATGTTCTAAGCTTATAGCTCTACAGGTATACATGTTCTAAGATTACAGCTCTACATGTATACATGTTCTAGATTATATCTCTACAGGTATACATGTTCTAAGATTATAGCTCTACAGGTATACATGTTCCAAGATTATATCTCTTCAAGTATGCATATTCTAGATTATAGTTTTTTTATTTTTATATCTCCTAATAATGATATTCCGCCATACTTATAAAATAACCTGTACATAATGGGTAACAGTTTATAGAATATTGATGATGATTTACCTGGTAAATGTTCGCTCCTGATGCCACGCTCCTGACCAGAGATACCACCCCAGTGTCCGGGTTGATGTAGAAAAATTGATCACCACTGTTGGTTCCACTAGTTATTTCATAAACCAGGAGGTTATTAGGTGCCTGCGGAAACAGTATTATTTTATTAACATTCTGTACATAAAAATGGATTATGTATTTCACATGCACAAAGTGTATATTTTCAGTGGCAGAATCAAGAGAAAATCAAATATCGCAACAATCCTTCATAACCTTTTAATAAAAAAAATATCAATATTTCAAACTTACAAACTCATCAGCATCAAGTTGAATTGATAAGTTTATGTCATTTACATGTACAAAGTGTATATTTTCAGTAGCTGATTCAAGAGAAAATTATACATATCGTAAGAATCCTTTAGAACCTTTTTTTCAATTTTTTAAACTTACAAATGCATCAGCATCAGTTGCATTGATATTTGCCACAGAACTTCCAACAGGGAGGCCCTCAGGGATGTCTACTGCAAAGGAGGTAGCATGTAAGAATGTGGGATCTCTCTCGTTTCTCTTCACGCTGACAGTTACTGTAGTAGTATCCTCCATTGGGGGGATACCATTGTCCTTCACATTGATCCTTACCTACAAACAAAAGGATTTTTTATCTCACATTTTTTCATTCTGGTGCCTGTATCTTTTTAATTCGTGATATTACTAAAATCACACTCAGCACAGCTAACTAACTGTGTGCTATACTGTTATTCAGGACAGGTTTTTTACAAAAAGGAAATATCCAAAAAATAAGACAATATCTGTAAGATATGAATGGTTGGCCATTTGGCTGACCAATACATAGTAACAATTACCTTTGCATTGACCTTGAAATACAAACTCACCCTAGGTATTCCCATATTCAGAAATGAAGTCAGTGGAGTCCTAACAATAAACTGATGGGACAGGAGGGACATTGGGCATATATGCCCCTCTATTAACTCATTCACCCCTGAAACCACATTTGAACTCTTCCAATTCAAAGGTTGGAATAGTTCATTATTAAATTTCAGGGTTGAATGAGTTTACTTCACCTGATATGGTTATTTTTTAGTAAAACAGTTATTTTCATTTGTTTAGTGAAATATTTCATTTGTTGGTGATTGACCTTACCAGCTTAATACACTAAAACCTTGATTTAATGCCCCTTTACACTAAAACCTTGATATAATGCCCCTTTACACTAAAACCTTGATATAATGCCCCTTTACACTAAAACCTTGATATAATGCCCCTTTACACTAAAACCTCGATATAATGCCCCTTGTTCCATTGCCATACTGCCAACATGCCTTGTTAATGATCTACTTTGCCATTTCCACTAATAAGCCAATGTTTTAGGGTACAGACTGGCCTTAGTCTATAAAAAGAACTGTCCAAGAAAGCCAGATATCTCATTATCTAGCCTGTCTTTATAGAAACAATGATGGCTGGATTATTAAGGCTTTTGTTTTGGCATCCTTTTTTATTCTGTTTTTAAAATAAGATTTTGCACTGAAGGTGAAATTAAAAATGGTCATGACCTTGACTAACTTTGAAAAGTGAGAGTGATGCTGAAAGTAAGCTTATCTTTAGTTGTAACCTTGACTTACCTGGAAGGTGAGGGCTGTGCTTAAGGTGAGATTACGAATGGTCCGGACCTCACCGTTTGTAGGGTTAACAGAGAAATAAAGGAGTGCGGAACCATCTCCAATAATTGTGAAGTTGAGGCGGTTAAACGGATCCTGTAACAGATGTGTAGCTCACTAAGACACATTTCACATAAAAGCTAAACATCCACGAAAAACACAGCTGATGTTTACACCGTCAACATTATTATAACTGAGAATCACAACAAGGATAAAGTCTAGTATTTATTTCAGATACAATCATATCCTAAACCAATACCAAAATAACATGTAATCATATTTTTGAATTGTTAATTTGTGATAAAATACGTAAGGCCAACTTACATCACTGTCCGAGTTCTGCACAGATGGTTGATAAACAAGCGTGTTTGGAGGATCAAACTGGCCGAGAGTTCTGGTGTAGGGTTTCTGGGTAAATAATGGCTGGGTGTTCCTCACCACGGTCACCTCTACTGTAGTAGGATTGAGCGCCGTCAGTGAAGTGCTTCCCATGTCACGTGCACCCACTTGGAACTAAAACAACATATAACGTTACCTCAAAAATTCCTTCATGTGCATGCACTATCTACTCCATGCTCCTCAAACAACAGAAACACACCTCCTGTATCCATGTCACACTCACAGCAAAAATGCCATGTTTAACTCCACCTACATCAGATGTACCCCACCCACAACAGAAACACTCCTTACCCATCCACGTCAAAGAGACACTTATTTTGCTTCATGTATATGTTCCATTCACACAAGAAACACCTCTTTATATAAACCTCAAACACACACACACCTCTATCTCAGCATCCTTGCCCCACCCACATCAGATTTCCCTGTTCATGACCAAGTCACAACAAACAGACCCCTTTCATTCAGAACCCATTCGAATAAGACATACCCTTTTTATTCATGCCCTACCAACCCAGATCAGACATACCCCCATTAATCTGTGACCCTGTCACATGATATCCCCCCTTCAGTCATGACCTAGTCACAACAAACACATTCATTTATTAATGCCTTATAATTACCTACAACAGATTCACGCCTTCATCTGCACCCCATCCTGAACAGACACACCTCTCTATTGATGCCCCACCAACAAGGAAGGTACACCCTTACACGAATACTCAAGTCACAACATGAAAACTCAAGTCACAACACGAATACTGAATACTCAAGTCACAATAGAGAAATCCCTCGTGTCCCTGTTTTGCCCATGTCCCACCCCGACAGAGATAACCCTGTATGTTTTAGATCATCACCCACCAACCAGAGACGTGCCCTGACTTACGCTGACGGTAAATCTTGTGGCTGTGTTCGGGTAGTCCAGGAGGAGCTTCTGCAGCATCACGCCCCCTGAAACTGGGTCTACACTGAAGTAACTATCAACATTGGTGTCCGAAGTAATCAAGAAATAGCGCACATCTCCATTAGGACTCTATTAAACAAAATAAATAAAGAATAAATAAAAATATTTGTCAATAAAAGCCATGGACCTGAATAGATCATCTGTTTCGAATCATAGCAGTTGCATGATCACATGCACAGAGTGTGTCATACATGAAATACCTTCATTGAGTATATTTATAATGATGACATATCAAATCCCTTCCATAGATTTATCCTATTTTAAATACTTGAAGCTTTATGAGTGAAACTAACTTTATTATTTGCCCAGTAAGTTAATAACAAGACACATTAAAAATTTCCCAATTAATTTTCATTCTTTTGTTACTTTATTGTGGGAATTGTGTATCTGGTAACTGATGATTTTTTTTAGTAAATACTGATCAAAATGCACATAAAAATCATCTTTTGAACTTGCACACAATTTCTTGAGAATGCATTTGATTGAAAGTTGATTATAGAGGTTTTAGAGTATTCTTACACCTGTAGAACAGACTATATCATTTCGTTTTAATAAAAGTATTTACAATAAAAAGTAATTACAACTTACAATATTGTCAGCATCTGTAGCGGATATTGTAGTGATGGACTCCCCAACATTTTGGATTTCAAGAATTGTTCTTTGGACAAATGGGCTGGACATAACTGGTCGGTTCAGGTTCCTGTTCACAACGATGGTCAAGACCTCATCTGCAAATTTCCGTGGAGTACCACCATCCAGGATACGTACGCGCAGCTATTGGAAAAATTAGTCATGTTTACTGGTCCATAATGTTTTACCAACATTACGAACAAAAATAAATATTAAAATAATTGGAACTAATTGGATCTAAAAGCTGTGGGATAATGGGATAACCCAGTGTTTCTCCTTGGATCTAATACTCACACACATTCATACAACTTACTCTGTATAGGACCAACCAATACCCGAAACCTACCTAGAACCAATTTTTGGTTAATAATATCAATATCACTCACAATAAAAATTAACTTGCAACATTAATAACTACCTTGGGTATTTAAAAATTGTGCAAACATTCATTGAAATCAAAGTAGTCTAGACAAACTAACTTTCACAGACTGTCAAACCATCTGACAACATGATTCCAGGATAACTACCCATCCCATTGGGTTACAGGGCAAGTGGTCCGACAAAGGCCAGCTTATAAATCAGTAAGATATTTACAATTATGATATTAACTGCTACCATTATTTACCTCTTGGTTTTTAAGCAGTGGCATAAAAAGTTACGATGAATACAGAAAAACATATTACCATGTAAATGATGTTTGTGTCCGTATTGATGGGTGTTTTCACGCTGACTGCTCCGTTGCCCGAGTTCACAGAGAAGTAGGTGGTGGCGGCGCCGTCGCCAATGACCACATATTCTATCAGGTTAAATGGTGACTGGAATACACAACAAGCACATCACTGTAAAACGAGTCTGAACTTACTACCAGGGACAATAATGTTTTAACAGATCATGTTACCACCCTAATATTTTTGATGAGGAAAAACCAAACTTTTCATGCGAGACAATAACCATATTGTATTTACATAAGAAACACTGCATAGTATGCTGATTGCAGGACACTTTAAAAGATACTTAACTATTTGTGATGTTTGTTTTAAATAATAGAATACATCCAACTTTGTTATCTATATTACTGCATATTATTGAACCTGTCATGAAAATGAAGAGTTTTCAATCGTCCCTGTTACCCCTCCACTACTTACAAAAGTGTCATTGTCGCGGGCTCCGATGTTGTAAACTGTTGAGCCCTGCGTCACATTTTGGTCGAGGCTGAGAACATTGGGGAGAGTAGTAAATTCCGGGGGAAACTTGTTGCGACGTACGTTCACAACCAATGTACCCTCAACGCTTGATCTACGAGTTGGCTCTCCACTGTCCCATGCCATCATCTTAATCTGTAACACATCATTTCAAACACACTCAGCATTTGAGTGAATACTTCAATTTTGCACTAAAAACTCTAGATTAATATTTGAATTTAGCCATTATAACGCTTTACGGAGTATTTTGTTTTGAAAATTAACACTTACAAAACTTGATAAGAACTTAATGTTAAAGACATTCTGGTAAAATAGCAAAATCCACTGTTTTTAATCAACTTGCTTAATTTCTATTTTAGTTTTACATACCAGGTGGAAGGTAATTCTGGGTGATCAAATATAATCTACTTGGTGAAACATATAATATAGTGTAGCACTTATTATTTTATTACATATGTACAGTTCAAATAAATAAGTAATCAAAAAGGAACAACAAGTGAACACAAAAGGACAAATAGTTTACACAAAATGACAACTAGTTAACACAAAAGGACAACTAGTTTACACAAAAGGACAAATAGTTTACACAAGAGGACAAATAGTTTACACAAAAGGACAACTAGTTAACACAAAAGGACAACTAATTTACACAAAAGGCCAAATAGTTTACACAAAAGGATAAATAGTTTACACAAAAGGCCAAATAGTTTACACAAAATGACAAATAGTTAACACAAAAGGACAAATAGTTTACACAAAAGGACAAATAGTTAACACAAAAGGACAACTAGTTTATGCAAAGAGCAACTAGTTAACAAAAGATGATTTTTTTCCTTACTGTATACTGTTCCACGGTGCCAAAGATGAGACTTGACCGCAGGAAAACCTGTCCATTGGCATCAACTCTGAATTGGTCAGTGTTGGTAGTGAACTCATAGTAGACTACATTATGAGGGACCTGTGATGAGAAGAACATGACATATATTGTTATTAGTATTCATTTACATTACATGTGACATCACATTTGTGACATCATTGTCATAATGCTGGCAAATAATAACTGATACCCACTGTAGTAGGTACCGAAATACTACAACAATTATTTTATCTACGTGTTAACGGGTTTTCAAATTCGAATATAAAATTATTATACATGTGAACATGTGAACTGCAATTTGTTCATATGTAGTTCTGAGCAGGATTTAAAGACACAAGTGTACAAAAAAATGTCATTTTGAAGGAACATCAATTTATTTCATAAACATCTTTTTTTGACTTAATGTTCCCAAAAAGAGGGACAATCTATATTGTACAAAAGCATAATATTTCTGTTTTTGAAGTTCTTTGCCACTACAGTTATTAAAAGGTACAGAATATTGGAACATTTCGTGTACACAAGCAGCACCCAATAACTCTGCTATGTGATGTTATCACAGTAACCCAGGGATAGCTCACACTATGATACTCACCTTGTCGTCGTTATCGGTGGCAGACACTGTAAAGAAAGGTAGGGACACCGACTGGGTCTCAAGGATTGAATATTCGTAGTAATTGGGTGTCTGCGTGTTTACCCATACAGGAGCGTTCAAGTTCCTGTTGACGTTGACAACATACACATCTGTAGTTGCACAGGATGGACTTCCCCCGTCACTGGCCTGAACTCTCAGCTAAACAGTAATTCATTTAACAATGTGTTACAACTGATTATACATGTAATACTTCCAACAAGCAGTTCCAAAATTGTTTTAATATGTATACAAAAATTATGGTTTAAAGATATTTAATATTATCAGCATAGTTCAATATTTCAGTGTGTGGACAGATCCACCAGCACGTGGACAGATCAACCAGCGAGTGGACAGATCCACAAGCATGTGGACAGATCAACCAGCGAGTGGACAGATCCACCAGCACGTGGACAGATCAACCAGCGAGTGGACAGAACCACAAGCATGTGGACAGATCAACCAGCGAGTGGACAGAACCACAAGCATGTGGACAGATCAACCAGCGAGTGGACAGATCCACAGGCATGTGGACAGATCAACCAGCGAGTGGACAGAACCACAAGCATGTGGACAGATCAACCAGCGAGTGGACAGAACCACAAGCATGTGGACAGATCAACCAGCGAGTGGACAGATCCACAGGCATGTGGACAGATCAACCAGCGAGTGGACAGAACCACAAGCATGTGGACAGATCAACCAGCGAGTGGACAGATCCACAAGCATGTGGACACATAAACCAGCATGTGGACAGATCCACAAGCATGTGGACAGATACATCTGTCACTGTGCTACTTTTGCTTGTAAGAATGTAAGACAAGATGTAGGACAGAATTGACCTAATTAGTTTCCTACTAGCATTGTTATAAAGTTTCTCCTCTGGACACAGCTATACTATTACAAATCAAAACAAATTAATTAAACAGTCTGTTCATCGCAACTTTACTTAACACAGTACAAATTTTTGACCTTCCTATAGTTAACCTACCCGATACACAGTTCCCGCGTCATTGTAAAGGTTGACGTTGGTGGTTACTGCTCCAGATAATGCATTGATGGCAAAGAAAGAAGTTGCTGAATCGTCACCAATCAGAGTGTAAGTGATTCGACTGAATACTGTGGTCTGTGTAATATAATTGTCAAGATCATATAGTTATAATACAAATGTCAACATGTATATTACAAATGTCAACACTGTCTATTTATGTGTATACATGTACTACAAAATTTCAACATGATATAGTTTATGCTGGAAATGTCAAACAATGTATAGTCAGGTGTATAATAGAAATGTCAACATTGTATATAGTTATATGTATAATAATGTCAACACTGTAAAATTATGAGTAATAAAAATGTCAACATTGTATAGTTATATGTAAAATAATGGCAACATAATACAAATGTCAACATTGTATAGTTATTTGTAATAAAAATCTCAACATTGTATATTTATTTGTAATACAAGTGTCAACATTGTCTAGTTATTTGTAATAAAAATGTCAACATTGTATAGTTATATGTAAAATAATGGCAACATAATACAAATGTCAACATTGTATAGTTATTTGTAATAAAAATCTCAACATTGTATATTTATTTGTAATACAAGTGTCAACATCGTATAATTATTTGTAATAAAAATGTCAACATTGTATAGTTATGTAAAATAATGTCAACATAATACAAGTGTCAACATTGTATAGTTACAAGCAATACAAATGACAACATTGTACAGTTATAAACAACACATACAGTGACTAACGCTGATAAACTTAGTCAATATGCTGTAAGTGGTCAGTACTCACAGCATCATCTACGTCTGTTGCATTCACATCCAGGACAATCTGAGCACTCTGACTCTGGGAAATGTCCACAGATTTCTGGGTATTCAAGAATACTGGGCATGCTCTATTCCTTATCACGTTTACACGCACAGTTGCAGCATTCTGACTGGTAAGCTGTGGTATACCCTGGTCCTGTGCTGTCACTGTTAGCTGAAATACACCAAAAGTCAATATTGGAATTTCTCATGATGACACATATCAAAATATAAGCATGTTTTTGCACCATACATTTTAACTTTGAAAGGGATACAAAAAAAAATATTCAGACACCAAAGTTGTTTTCAAATCTTAAATGTTTTAACTTTAAAAAGAAAGCATAAAAGAGACATTTGCCATAAGTACTTACAATGTATAAGGCAGTGTCGGCTGTATCATCAATGAGAGATCGTCGGATTGTGATTTGACCCTGAGAGTCGATCTGGAAGTACTGTAGAGCTAAGCTGCTGGAGGTGATTGTGTATGTGAGTTGGTTGTGAGGAGCCTGCAAGGAGAAGTCACCAAGTATTCTATCAACTCCGTAAACACTAATAGAATATTCCCTTTGGGTGATACAGTATAAGGGAACTCAAACAGAAGGCAGGAATTATCAAGGGAAAGGTTTAACAAGTGTTTCCTGGATTTTCATCCTTACAGTTTGAATTACATGGTGTTATAATTCCAAGGAATAAATTGAAAATCTTTAAAATCCAATAACAAAATAAAATAAAAATGAACTAGAAAAATTGGTACCAGTTGGCGTGATGAACACTATTCTTCTTCCAGCCTATTGCCATGTCGAAACGCTGTACTATTGATTTATGACTTTCCTTTAGTATAATCATTCAAATTAATATTACAATTAATAAATTTGTAAGTGTTGTTGTTTTTTTATAATATAAGGCTATAATTCTGGATGAGGTGGTAAGATTATCGGTCATCTTCAGGAAAACAAACTAGCAGAGATGAAGGAGATACTGTCAATTAAAACTGCTTTACCATATAAACCACTTGCTGTTTACCTTGGTATCAGCATCTGTAGCTATCACTGTTTCCACAATATTGTCATAAGCGTAGGTCTCGAGAATTGTCACTTCATAGTTGATGGGCGCGAAAGACGGGTTATTAAGATTCCGTCTGACATTGATAAGGAGGATGCTTTGTGCAAATTTACTAGGTGAACCACCATCTGTTGCCTGAACACGCAGCTGTGGAATGAAAAAAAATCTTTTTTTAAATCTCAGACAAGCCATAGAGTTGAGAAATCTCAGATGTAACTGATCTTAGATGTAGTGGCCTTGGTAACTGTGTGATAATTAAGATAAACTGATAATTTCTAAAATGTGATATAGAGCAAGTATCCAAACTTTGTTATTGACAAATTCCTCCAAGCTATTGATGCACCAAGTTATAATTGTGCAAAAATCTTGTGCATTTTACCACTCACAAACGTTAAGATGATACATTCTGACATTTAACAACCATTTTAATATTAACTTGACCCTCATTCAATTGAGGCTTATGTACATAAGCCAGGTTTAAATGGACAAATATTGTTTCTATTAATACTAGTCAAGCCTGGATGGACTAGTCTGCAACCTTAACTTAAACATCGTGTATAGATATGATTGTCAGTGACAATCATGATCTGTAGGTTTTTCATATAGGAACATCGACCGTATACATAACCAGGGCCTAAGCGGTCTATGAAGAGAGTGACCTGTCACGTGTTAGCTTATCGCTGTCTGATTGGCTTAGAGGATTCTTGATAGCTTGCTGGTCACTTTTTCCCCAGCGTCCGGAGCTAAAGGACCAATCTCATAAGTTTTATTTTTCGGGTTTACCACCACCACCCCAACCACATACCTGTAAATATGAATGACAGCGGTTTTTAATTAAGATAGTAAATTTATATGAGTTTTATGTACGATATCATATAACGATATCAGGTGTGAAACAACAAATAATTGGGCAATCACAGTTGATACATATGAAGGATAGTTGATACCAGTGGGTTATATATTCGCCTTGTTTTCCCCAAAAATTGGATGATATATTTATTTCACTATATTCAGATATTAATGACAAATTATTCTATTACATAATATTGAGATACAACAACACAGGCGGGAGCAATGTATCCAAAGAGTTACAGCCAGTCTAAGTGGTCCCATTTACTGCTATAACTTTTATATAAGTTACCCCAACATCAGACCGGAGCAATGTAACCAAAGAGTTACAGCCAGTCAGACTGGAGTAATGTAGACAAAGAGTTACAGCCAGTCTGGGTAAAACATAAGAATTATATAAAGTTAAAACATATAAGACGCTATTCCTCTTCGGGTCTGGCCTGCAATGCACCCAAAGAAGTAGATAAGGCGGAAACGGCTCCACCACTACTTATTACATCCCCGCACTCTATTTAGTGTAACAGCAAAGCCTGCACACATATAGAGAACCATGTGATTGCCAGCTAGTCGAGGAATAGCGTCGACACTCTATACCGTTACTGAGTTTGCCCCAGAAATGCCAATTTTTTTTTATGTTTTCAAATTGTATGTCAATGTATTCTTTTGTATGATGGATATATCAATTATGTGTGATGTAGTTTGACTTTTCTATATATGTTATATATACAACAGTAATTAAATGTTGTACATTAACTACTTATTTGTTATTTGTTCTATTTAAAGCTCCTTAAATCTATAACACTACTTCAATGACAAGAAAAAAATACATATATGCTACCAGGACAAAAAATAAAAATAATATTCTTATCAATTGAAATGAAGACTAGAAGTAATACAATTTTTCTGTAATTACCCTAAAGGAGGTTTCCACAGTGTTAAGTATCTGGTTGGTTACTCTGACCTGACCAGTTGTTCTATTGATAGAGAAGTAATTTGGTCCTGTGTCATCTCCAATCAAGGTGTAGGCAATGGTGTTGAATGGAGCCTGAAACAGAAAATAACCAGTAAATACTAGTGACTGATCTAGTAAAAACAGAAATAAAGTACAAAAAAAAACATAATAAAGTGTCGACTGTGGGATGTAGACAACAAAACCTGTCTAAAGTGGCCCCTGTTTATTCCAGATCACTCTCTATACTGTCACTTTTGGTCTCAGCATTTTCCCTTGATAACCGACAGTATTTGAACCCTTTTCTTGACTACTCTCGGAACTTACACTAATATACATTCAGGTCTGGCAAGTATACCCGATTGTTAATCCCTTAAAAATATATCTCTACCTGATGAAAAATATGCAATCTTTTGATTTTCATTGTAAAATATTAAACTTGTTTTTGTTATTTAATATAACATCTGCACTATATTAGTAACACTTAAACATCTATAGTCACAAAGTTGATACAAAACATCACTTATCATACATAAATCAGCCGAATGATATACGTTATACGTTAAAAATGGAAATTCTTAAAGGTGTGGAAGAGACCATGCTTTCTGTGTTGAAGCATTAACGTTATATGTAATTATATATATATATTTTTTGTATCAATTTTAAATAGGTAGAATATATAGATTTCAGAACCACTGCCAAAAATGTCCACTCTGCAATCAGTTTAACAAGTCACAATGCGAACATTTTCACATGCGAGAATTTCAACTATTACAGTATCTAGATTACACTAGTTACAATGTACACAGTGACGTAGAGGTATTTGATAGTGTTAAGAATGTAATATAGATCACTTACGACAATGTCCGCATCCCTGGCTGTCACAACCATCACTTGGTTACCCACAGCTATACTCTCCATGACTCCTGGAGATATTTCGTCAGGTAAATTGTCAAAGATTGGCGGGTTATTGTTGCGGTCAATGTCGATGGTCACCTGGACATTGGTAGAAAATGACGGGACTCCTTTGTCTTGCGCCTCTACAGTCATCTGTCAACAAAACCAAACACAGAGATAAACAAATGGGACAGGATTTTTTTTACTGTTTTCCCAATTCTTATGTTTCAAAAGTTACATTTTCAAAAACAAATCAAATCAGTTACAATATAAATCTCCTTACCATAATTTTTAGGGATATACATCAAACAATTTAAATAATAAAATAAAATCAAAATGACCGGACGGTCACCAAGATAAACCTCTGTACTCTGGACAAAAACTCAAGTGTGAACTTAAACTTTGGATGATAATTGCCAGTGTCTAATTGGGTGTAGAACTTTATGTTATCATGTTGTAAATACAAACAAAATCTGTTTACAGGTTGATAGGATATCTTGTACACAAGGTTTTTACTACAATCTGACAAACTCCCGGACACACAAAGCAATGACCATATACACTCCTCTACTTAATCAGGGGTATAACACTAATTACCTCAAATCTGTTGATGGTCTGGCAAAAAGAGGTGAGCAGGGATTGACGGAGGGAAATCTCCCCAGTAATGGGGTTTATATAGAAGCATTCCAGGTCCTCCGGTCCTTGAGTAATAGCATAAACAACCTCATTGTTAGGGGCCTGTAACAGAGCAGAGTAAGCAAATAGGTTACCACAAAAATATACAGTACAAAATACAGAGCAAGCCAATACAAGGTATAAGTCATCACATATATACATTTATGTCTGAAGAAACGACCTGAAGATAACAGCACAGAGTATTTATAGAGATGATAAAATCCTTCAAGAATATTTGTGGTTAGCTAGACTAAAAAAGTATTCAGTGTTATTTCAGGTTCCTAGTATGACTTACCAAAAGATCCTGGTCGGGAGCATACACCTGCAATATGGTTTCTCCGAGAGCATTTGTTTCCTTTATTCTTCGGTAGTAGGCTGTTTCATTAAATGAAGGCCTTTGGAAGTTGTTTCTTACAGCAACTGTTGCCAAGGTTGTGTTGGTAAGGGGTGGTGTCCCCTGGTCTGATACTTGGATACGTAGCTATAGAAAAGAGTGTAAAAATATTTTGTGACATGATTGTTATATACAAATTTATTGTTACTGATTGTTTCACCATTGCAATATTTGCTGAAATATTTCTGACAACTGATGGTGACTTACTTTAAACTCGGTGGAGCTGGTTGATGTAAGAACTGATTTGACGGTTACTTGGCCGCTGTTCTCTCCAATGTTGAAGAAAGATGGTGCATCATCATCACCCAGGAAGGAGTACTTCAGTGTGTAGAACGGAGTTGCTTGCTATTAAAAAAAGATGATCAATTCCATGTAAACAAGACAAATTGATGTAGCTCATTCTCATATGTGAATTTTAGATCCAATCTTTCAATGTTATTCAAAAAATATGCAAGTGTGTTATTTTTTTTTTGTAAACTTAAAAAGGATCTTGATCATGCAATAAATTATAATTAAAAAACTTATGAAATTTCTTATTTAAAAATTCTTCAACTATTTCCAAATCTCATGAGAAATGGAAAGTCATGCAAAAGCTTAAACGTATTAAAAATAAAGACCTTCCATATGAACACAAAAGGGAGGAAGGTGCTGAACATTTTTCTTTCTTCAAAGTGATACATACATTTTTGAGCTTGAATATCCCGTTCTTTTGACTTACCGGTGCTTTGCTAGAATCACTGTCCATTCCCGTGACTGTGAATAGCAGATCTCCCACCTGTACACTTTGTTGAAGGTCCGACACATAAGGATCACCATTGAAGTAGGGTATATGATCATTGCGCAGGATGATGATGGTGAGAGATAAGGTATCTGCTCCTACCAAGCCACCTCCATCAGTTACTGTGACCACAGCCTAAACATACAAACAAATTTCTTTATCATATACCAATAGTTTGTTTGTGTTTTATGTCCTGTTAACAGCTATGGTTATTTAAGGACATGCCAGGTTTTGGTGGTGGAGGAAAGCCAGAGTTCTCGGAGAAAAACCACTTACTTACGGCCAGTACCTGGCGACTGCCCAAGTAGGCCTCGAACCCGCGACCCAGTGGTGGAGGGCTAGTGGTAGCAGATTGTCAGATGCCTTAACCACTTGGCTACAGCGGCCCCTTATATCAATAGTAAGTTATACAAGAGAAAAGTAGAGAAAGTTGTGATTGATATCGGCTTGTCACATTTCTGTTAAATCATTTAAAGCTCAAGATAACTCAATCTAAACATAAACTTAAAGTGGTTACAAGCGCAGGTCATACTTACAGAAAAGGTGTTTTTGGCGACATTAAGAAGGGACTTCCTCACATACAGAGCATCAGCAGCTTCATTTACGGCAAAGTAAGTGTTGATATCGGAATCTCCATCCAGGATGAACGACATCACATTGTAAGGTGACTGAGACAGAAAAGACATTCCTTTCATCAATAATCATGCAAAGAAAATCAGAATGAGTTAATGAAACCACATCAAATCCATTTTATCTAAGAATGGACCTGCAACCTTAATTAAAAATAGTTCTAAAATTAAAAAAAACTTGTAAAATGATTGTTAAGAGCAGAAAGTTTCCCTGGTTAATCATCTGATAATAAATTTGAAATAAAAAACAAAAATAAAACATTATTAAATAAAACATTTCTGAATTGTGTTAATTTATAATTGAATTTAAAACGACTTTATCTGTTAAGAATAAATGACCCTACAACAGCCAACAATGGATGGTTGGTCGGACAAGCAGACCTAGTTACTGCTTTTCCTCCCCTACATTGTTGCAGATAGGATTAGTGAATTCACCTGTTCATCAGTGTCCTGAGCAGGAAATGAATATATGGTATCTCCAAGGTCCTGTGTCTCCAGAATGGTGATAGAAGTACTCGTTGTGAGAAATCTGGGGGTGATCAGGTTCCGTAAAATGGACACAGTCACTGTACACGTGTCAAACAATGCGGGGAAGCCTCCATCAGATGCCAGTACTTGTATCTGTTACAGATATTGATGTTAGTCAACATAATTCTCCATTACCATAAGAATATTTTACCCTAGTCTCAAAATCTCAAAAGCTTGACGACTACTTATTGCTACATTTGTATTATCTTTTTAAAAATGATTTTTACAAAATTTGTAAGCTTTTAATCCTTGTTTAGTACAGAATATTTTTTAATATTTCAAGAATTTAATCCAAAAAAAAATTCTTCTCCATGTAAGAAATGAGAATCTCGGTATTGTCAAAATTTCTATTACTGGCCCACATTAACCCATCAAAATGATTTCCTCTGATTGGTTTAACTATTTAGAAACAGCTTTCTACTCTTCAAAATCATTACCTTGTATTCATTGAGAGTGGCAACTGACAGGGCTGTTCTCGTGCTGATTAGCCCATTGTTGCTGTCGACCTGGAACAATGTCTGTGTGGTCACGCCACCTATAATGCTGTAGGTGACTCTGTTAAATGGAAGCTAGATAAAGCAGAAAACAAAATCATTCTTAATCTCCTATGGAATACAGCAGAAAACAAAATCATTCTTAATCTCCTATGGAATACGAATGGACAAAACATGGAGGTAACCTCCAAAAAGACGGAACCTTCTCTCCTATTACATTCACAGAGAACTTAAACAAATATTTGTAAAGATTTTTTTTGCTAAGATTACTTACATCAGCATCTCCATCAGTTGCATTGACGGTAGAAAAGACAGTTTGTCCGGCCAGAGTCTTGTAGCTGATGGATGCAGCGTAGGGTTCGCTGTGACAGATAGGGGGATTTACGTTTCGTTTGACTGTAATGGTTACAGTGGCTGTGATCAGTGACTGCAGACTAGGACTCCCGCCGTCTACTGCTACCACTCTCATCTATAAACAACAACAAACAGTACTGAAACAACAAGCAAATAATCCATAACAAAAAATCGGTTTTTTCATGGTAAACTATTAAAACCTGACTGAATTAAATACAGAACTGACAATAACTTAATGCTAATTGTAATCGTTTTTAAACACCGCCACCAAACACAGCCAAACTTATCCAAGTGTAGATCAAGGTTTCATCCATCTAACTACCACCAGCACTGAGTGGAGCCAAGTTAACACAGAAAACAAGTATATTCTATGTCTTTTAAGATATTTGTGTTGACAAATAAGGGGAGGTAACCCCTAAAACAATTATTCGGGTTAAAAAACATAAATTAACCTGAAGTTTGAACCAAATCAATCCAACAAAATTCTAGTCACAACTCGTAAAATGACAAAAAATCAATCCTTAGTGGCACTTTGGAATATTTCATAGGTTCCAAAACTATCAACATAATTGACTAAGTGTCATAAGATAAATTGATTTTTGAAATAAAATAAAATTGGCTCATCTGAATTGAGTTCTAGTTCATAATTTGTCAGCAAATCAAAAACCTTGGCAATCATATCATTGAATTACTCAGTCCGCGATAAAAACAACAACAACCAAGAGTAAAAAGAGTCCGTTTCCCGGCCCAGCTCTACTCACAACGTAGTTTCGGTTGTCTGAAGCATCCAGGTACAGAGGTGTGCGGACACTGATTACTCCTGAAGATTCATCTATCTGGAAATAAGTCAGGCTATTTCCACTGACGTCTGCCACATCAAATGTGATAGTGTTGTATGGTGCCTGGAAAGAGATTTTGAAATGTAAATTATCTATCTGCTCATGTTTGTAGAATTTTCCTTAATCAGTAATACATCCACTGAGAAAAGCTGTTTTTTATCATATTAAAAAGTCAGAAGGACATTTCTTACATGAATAAGGAAAAGGAGTCTTAAACTTTCACAATATGTCAAGATTTGTTTTAACTATACAGGCATTTCCGCCACAATGACAATCACTGTCATTTAACTTGATTACTTACAAACTTATCAGCATCTGTTGCAGGTACAGTTATCACATCAATGCCATGGGTCTCCAAAATTTCAGTGGAATAAGTTGGAGATGGAATGATGGGGCGATTGAGATTACGGTTCACATCTATACGGACAGTGGCAGTGGCACTCTTGGGTGGGGAACCACCGTCCTTGGCAACAACGCGGCCCTGAAACAGCATCCATTACATACATGATAATAGTTGAACTATTGAAATGAACCATAAATATTTTAAACATATTTTTCTAATAGTTTTTCTTGCAGTGATTTAGAAGGAAGCAAATTTTTTTTTTGAAGAAAAGGACTGGAACCTATAACCAAGTTATTTTAGAATATGAATATATAAAAAGGTCTCTATTTTTTTTTTTTTTTTTTATGTCATTACTGGCGATAGACCAACATATGTCCTGCAACACTCCTCTAAGTATAGGCCCTCTAAAACCAGTTGTACGCAGGCCCTGTAAGTAGGCCCTCTAAAACCAGTGATACGTAGGCCCTGTAAGTAGGCCCTCTAAAACCAGTTGTACGCAGGCCCTGTAGGTAGGCCCTCTAAAACCAGTTGTACGCAGGCCCTGTAAGTAGGCCCTCTAAAACCAGTTGTACGCAGGCCCTGTATGTAGGCCCTCTAAAACCAGTGATACGCAGGCCCTGTAAGTAGGCCCTCTAAAACCAGTTGTACGCAGGCCCTGTAAGAAGACATACCTGATAGAACGGCACATTAACCAGGTCCAGGGCACCTATCAGGGTCACATCACCTGAAGTCGAGTCGAGAGCAAACAGGGAAGCAAAGTTTTCATCTCCAATCAGTGAGTAGGTCACCTGACCAAATTCTGGTGGCTGAAATAACAGTTTGTAATTAGTAGACAGTAATATTAAAGTAATATTGTAGTTGGTCACCTCACCTTCATACCAAACTCACACAGATAAATTAGGTCCCAACTTTTAGTTCAAAGTGAGTTTTCTCTCTCAAAAAAAAATTCCATTATGCTTGCTGTCTTCTTCATTCCATTATTTTTCAAGATATTTGTTACAAAAGGGTTATTTTAAAAATTTGTTTTTCAGCAAATTTTCTCATCACCTGAATAATTATGTCATTGATTGACTTACATTGGTATCGCTATCTGGTGCAGAAACTTTTACAATACTGGTGCCCACAGTGGTGTTCTCAGACACAGTTCTCTGGTAATTGCCAATAAACAGTGGCGTGTTCACATTCCTCAGGATGGTGATAGACGCAGTAGCGGTATTGGAGCCTTGGCCTGGTGGTAAACCGTCGTCTTGGACACGAAAGTTGATCTGTAACATATACAGGAAGTTTAGACACTATAACACCCCCTTTCATTTATCCGGTACAAATATTTCGGTTGGACCTGAAAAGAAGTGACAGTCACAGATTGCCACTCGGACTGATCACTGTAAAGTTCTAGAATTTCAAAATCAATTTATCCAGTTTTGCCTGACTGAAACTAAACAGCTGATAATTGTTAGTTTGTAATATTTCTATATCAAATAAGTTTTCTTGGGATATTTATGGTTATATTTATAAAATTCAGTACGTACGAGAGGAAGACATAGGACTGTTGGTGCATTTGACAGAAACCACCAAAATCACACATTTTGAGCCCTGCCTTTAAAGGCACGGCCACTTCCAGTTAAAGTGTGTTAAAGATTTATCACATAATCTTTGTACCCGAATGATAAAAAAAATATGTACCATTGCTTAAATTAAAATGTAATGTGTATGCCATTACATATACCAAGACCCTGAAAGGGAGGACATCATTTTTTGAGAGAAATTTCTTTTCTTTGAGACAAAATTAATAACAATTTTTGAGTTAATCACTGCTTAACTAGGGCCGGTGAAACAAAACACTATCAGACTATCTACAAAGTTTCTGCAGAGATCAAATTCTATATATCTGTTATTTTTCAAATGTTATGGACCATTTCAACTGTAGTGTATGTATAGCTCACAGTCCTATAACCCTTCCAATCTATGCAGGGATCACTCATATCTAAGTACAGTTACGAAAGCATTGTATTTGATATTGTTTCTTTAATGGAAAGAAAAAGACAGTTACCTGATAGTTGTTGTTATTGGATTCCATCAATGGCTTCTTCACTGTTATAAGACCAGTGTAGGTATCAACCTGGAAAAAGTCACCTCCATCTGATGGTATAGAGTTGGTCATCTCATACCTCAGGGCGTGCTGTTAAAATAAACACAAACACTGCAAATAGTAGTTACCCATCACTATTGTTTCGATTGAATTCAAGAAAATTAACATCCACAAATAAATGTTTACATGGAATGTCTAAAATACCAAATGTAATGTTTAGATCATCTCTAGTTAAGTAATCAGTGAATATTTGAAGGCGACAAAGATACAAAACCAGCCAAGATAAACATTAAAATTAATTTAATGCCAAATTCCTGTTAATACCACTCTCTTCATTACTTGAAGGGCGGAAGGAACCAGCAATGATGAAGCTGCTTACCCCGTCAGCATCCGAAGCAGCTAGCTGTATAAGGCTGACTCCGACAGCGTACTCCTCACTTATTTGTCGTGCGTAACTTGTGACGGTGAAGCTGGGAGTATTTGGGTTACGATTGATAGAAATGGTGATATTTGTGGTGGCTGTATCCGCTGGGTAAGTACTATCATAGGCAATCAAGCCAAGCTGTCAACAAACACACCAATGATCAAATTAAATATCAGCGTAGCATTTTTCTGTCCACATCGTCTTAACAACACCCAATTCTTTGCTATAAATAACAGGACTACCTTCCTCTTAGCATCGCTTGGAAATGAATTGAGGCCCCAGCATCTATGCAATACAATAAACTTGATTTTGTTTTATGTAGAATAAGTAATCAAATCTTGACAACAATATCCAAGTACTTCCAACAGAACCTTAAACAGACTACAGTACAAATACAGCAGTTTGTATACAGCTTAGTAGCCATCTATCTACATATATGTCATTGCTAATCCAGCCTTCTTACCGTGTAGGATGTGGCAATATCCTTTTCAATGCTGGACCGCAGACTAATAGAGCCGGTTGTGGCTCCAATTTGGAAGAATTGTGGCCCAGAGTAATAACCAGTGATGGCGTAGGTTATGGTACCCTGTAACAATAAAAAATACAGGTCATTCATTTTTAGTGTTCTCATACATGCAGCCCTAGTCAGGGCTGTATGTAAACTGGTACACTAAAGGACTAAAAGGTGTGTACATAGAGCAATCAATCTTACCTTTCTATCTGCATCTGTTGCCTGTGTAGTGAAGAAGGCAGTGTTGTTGGCCTGGTTGTAGTTGATACCTGTGTTGTAGGGGAGGCTAACAAACAATGGCGAAACGTTGTTTCTTGTCACTGTGACTCTCACTGTAGCGTCATCAGTCTTCTCGGGATTGGACTGATCACTCACGCGAACGTCAAACTGTTCAAGTATAGACAAGCAGATAGAATAATACAGCACTTAGTACTACATTAGGGAGGACAAGAGTGTATTAAATATGTGTCAATCAAACACTTTACAAATGATTGAGTGTTAAGTCATATACATGTACGGGTGAGACAAGAGAGATGGACAGACATAGTACAGACAGGTAGTAAGAGACAGACAGTCAGTCAAAGACAGAAACACAGAGAGACACAGAGAGAGAGAAAGTGACAGGGATATGGACAGACATAGTACAGACAGGCAGTAAGAGACAGACAGTCAGTCAAAGACAGAAACACAGAGAGACAGAGAGAGAGAGAAAGAGATAGGGATATGGACAGACATATAAACAGACAGAGACAGACAGTCAGTCAAAGACAGAAACACAGAGAGACAGAAAGAGAGAGAAAGAGATAGGGATATGGACAGACATATAAACAGACAGTTAGAGACAGAGTCAGTCAAAGACAGAAACACAGAGAGACAGAGCGAGAGAGAAAGAGACAGGGACAGATAGGCAGAGTCAAAATGAAAATACACGAGAAAGAGAGAAAGAGCAATGTATATTAACATTGGTTGTATAGTGAAATATGCCAGGTTTTATACCTACTATGCAAATTGCTAGTGACACATTCATGGTTACTAACCTCAAACAACGCCTGGTTGTTGGTAGAGAGCAGTGCTTTTAAACTGATGACTCCAGTCACTGGTGCAAGGTAGAATAGATCGGAGACTGTGGTTGTTGGGTTTACCATAGAGTACACCAGCTGATCCTAAAACAAAACAAAATTAATATTATGTTGTCCTACTAAAATTACACTGTAATTACTTCCTGTGCTAGCAGTCAAAGGTGTGGAAGATTAAAGCTGAAATGTATGTGTGAATATAAGGTAAAAAATTATTTACCAGTGTATCTAAATCTCAGGTGTACCGATGACATACCTGTGTATCTAAATCTCAGGTGTACAGATGACTTACCTGTGTATCTAAATCTCATGTGTACAGATTACTTACCTGTGTATCTAAATCTCAGGTGTACAGATGACATACCTGTGTATCTAAATCTCAGGTGTACAGATGACTTACCTGTGTATCTAGGTCCGTTGCGTACAGCTGGATAAGGTTATACCCCAGCTGAATCTGGTCACTCACACTAGCAGTGTACAGGGACTGGTTAAAATTAGGTTGATGTTCATTCCTTATAATGGTCACAATCACATTCACTGTGGCCGTCTGCTCACCATTAGGAAATATCTTGGAAGCCAACACTTTCACCTATATAATCAAGGAAAAATCACTTTTACATTCAAGCCATATCAACTATACAACCAAAGTAAAATATCTCACCTTACAATCAAGGTGAAAACCAATTTCACTCATACAACTGAGATGCATCATCTATACAATCATACAACTGAGATATATCATCTATACAATCATACAACTGAGATATATCATCTATACAATCATACAACTGAGATAGATCATCTATACAATCATACAACTGAGATACGTCATCTATACAATCATACAACTGAGATATATCATCTATACAATCATACAACTGAGATACGTCATCTATACAATCATACAACTGAGATATATCATCTATACAATCATACAACTGAGATATATCATCTATACAATCATACAACTGAGATATATCATCTATACAATCATACAACTGAGATACAACATCTATACAATCATACAACTGAGATACAACATCTATACAATCATACAACTGAGATACAACATCTATACAATCATACAACTGAGATACAACATCTATACAATCATACAACTGAGATACAACATCTATACAATCATACAACTGAGATACATCATCGATACGATCATACAACTGAGATACATCATCTATACAACCATACAACTGAGATACATCATCTATACGATCATCCAACTGAGATACATCATCTATACAATCATGCAACTGAGATACATCATCTATACAATCATTCAACTGAGATACATCATCTATACAATCATGCAACTGAGATACATCATCTATACAATCATACCACTGAGATACATCATCGATACAATCATACAACTGAGATACATCATCTGTACAATCATACAACTGAGATACATCATCTACACAATCATACAACTGAGATACATCATCTACACAATCATACAACTGAGATACATCATCTATGCAATCATACAACTGAGATACATCATCTATGCAATCATACAACTGAGATACATCATCTATCCAATCATACAACTGAGATACATCATCTATACTATCATACAACTGAGATACATCATCTATGCAATCATACAACTGAGATACATCATCTATACTATCATGATATATTACCTATAACATCAATATATATCTCCTATGCAATCAAAACATAACAAGTGTAGAATATAAAATATCCCCTATTTAAAGTATAACATTGATTCAATCCATGTCTTTATGCTAAAACTAAATCAATCACGATTCGCAGGTTAACACTACAATACCCTATCAGTTTAAAACATCCATGAAATGCCTTTATTAAAATTGCAAATTGAACTTCCTTTACAGTGACATGATACCAAAGAAACCTTTAGATTTATAATACATACAGTGAAACTCTGTCGCTTTGTGATGTCAGCTGTCAAGGCCTGTTTCACAGTTATCTCTCCGGAAGCAGAATCAATTTCAAAGTAGTCCGGAGCATCACTCTGACCAGTAATGGTGTACACAATACTGGGCTGAAAAGGAGAAAAGTCAAGGTCTGCTGAACTTTCTATACACCTTATATATAACACATCTTTATAAACAGTGGTGTTTCCGACACTAAGTGATTGTACTATTATATAGCAGGCTAGTGATTCAACAAGTATTAGAATGTGTTTATTGCATGATGCACATCCAAAATGTGATTCTAGAATTCTTCATATTTTTTAGTTGAATTTAGTAACATTCAACAGAATTCACATTTAATTGAAGTTTCATATCCCTTTACTTTGAAGTAATCAGAATTCACATTTAATTCCAGTCTCGTATCCCTTCACTTTTAAGTAATCAGAATTCAAATTTAATTCCAGTAATTCTGTCATATAACTCCTTTTTAAGGACATTTTAACTGATATAGTAAACAATTGTAATTATATGGTCTAAAATACACCTAACACAGTGTAGTGTGACCTTTACACCTAACACAGTGTAGTGTGACCTTTACACCTAACACAGTGTAGTGTGACCTTTATACCTAACACAGTGTAGTATGACCTTTACACTTAACTCAGTGTGATCTTTACACCTAACACAGTGCAATGTGACCTTACACCTAACAGTGTAGTGTGACCTTTACACCTAACACAGTGCAATGTGACCTTAACACTTAACTCAGTGTGACCTTTACACCTAACACAGTGCAATGTGACCTTACACCTAACAGTGTAGTGTGACCTTTACACCTAACACAGTGTAGTGTGATCTTTACACTTAACTCAGTGTGACCTTTACACCTAACACAGTGCAATGTGACCTTACACCTAACAGTGTAGTGTGACCTTTCCACCTCACACAGTGTAGTGTGATCTTTACACTTAACTCAGTGTGACCTTTACACCTAACACAGTGCAATGTGACCTTACACCTAACAGTGTAGTGTGACCTTTCCACTTCACACAATGTGACCTTTACACTTAACACAATGTGACTTTTACACTTAACACAGTGTGACCTTTACACCTAACACAGTGTAGTGTGATCTTTACACTTAACTCAGTGTGACCTTTACACCTAACACAGTGCAATGTGACCTTACACCTAACAGTGTAGTGTGACCTTTCCACTTCACACAATGTGACCTTTACACTTAACACAATGTGACTTTTACACTTAACACAGTGTGACCTTTACACCTAACACAGTGTAGTGTGATCTTTACACTTAACTCAGTGTGACCTTTACACCTAACACAGTGCAATGTGACCTTACACCTAACAGTGTAGTGTGACCTTTCCACTTCACACAATGTGACCTTTACACTTAACACAATGTGACTTTTACACTTAACACAGTGTGACCTTTACACTTAATACAAATGTGACCTTTATACATAACACATTGTGACCTTAACACTTATCTGTTCGTATAGTAAAATCAATGACAAGTTTATTTTACATTTGACTTTCCTGTTGGCTAGCTATTATCATATATATAATGACTTACCTGTGGGTTAGCTATGACGGTCTGTACAGATGATCCCACGGCTGCATTCTCTGAAATAGTTCTTGTATAGCTAGGAGCAGCAAACTGCAGAGTCGGATCCACTTCCACGAAAACAGTGCCAAGTACAGATGTACTTAGGGATGGGTTACCATTATCATTTGCTGTGATCGTCAACTGAAAGATATAATAAGGTGCGTGAAGTTTTCACAAAGGCCACTGTGGTGGTATTATAAGATATTTTTACAGCACTTTGTCAGGACCATCAGTAAATTATTCCTACCAAGTTTCAGTTCTATCGTTTCATTAGAACTCAGGTTTAAGTTTTAAATAGTAAAAAATGGCTGTTGTGGCAGCCATATTGGATTTGTGATTGGCCGTAGAATGAAATCCCCTTCCAATTTAAGTTGAGAATTTCATATAAAGGGAAATTGACAGTAGATCGCAACCAAACACAATTAACACAACATGTTGTAATAAAATTTGACCTTCACATTTATTTACTATGTTTATCATGTTGTTTACTCATGTTTGCGAAAACGGCAAAAGGTAAACTGCAGCGAAATATTTCTCAGTATAGAGTAATTGTGAAAGCTATCATTATATGTTGGTAATGACAAGAGCTAATTAGTGTTTCTGTGCTACATGTACCTATTTAATGGTTTCTACTTGACTACCATCTGTATTTCATTAGTTTGGCCGAATACCAATGTTTGCACTATGCTCCATTGAGATTCTCACCCTGAATGGACTGACGCCAGTTCCAACAATGGATTTCAACAGACTGACGGCACCAGTGGAGGGGTTAACGTAGAAATACTCTGTGGCTGTGGCATCTCCCGTTAGTTCAAACTCGATCCTGTTGTTGGCATTCTGCAACAAGATAATGACCATGTGTACAGTGCTATTTTTTTATGGTAGCCTTAACTTTATAATTTACCAGCGAAAGAAATCTGCCAAAAAAACACACATTCATAAACATTTGTTACATAACATCACTAAATACCTTACTATGTTAACGTTAATGACATAACAATGTCACGTTAAGACCCAACAATGTCACTTTATCGAGACTAAACAATATCAACACTAGTTTCATACCCTTATTCCATCAAAATTCATATAGACACAGCAGTATTATCTTGAAATGATAATAATATCTGCAGGATCTCCGTACCACTGCCAAAAACTGTCACTATGCTTTGGAAAATGTTTGTCTAGCTTAACTATAGCTTTGATAGCTTTCATTACTGAAAAGAACACGTAACCTTGTGAAACTTTATTTGATAAATAATAGAGGTGAAATAAACAAAATATAATCAACAACAGTGCTCCAAGTGTAAAATCGGGATTTAAACCCAGGACCTCTGTGTGATATACAGATACTACCGGAGCTCTAACTGACTGATGCTGAGCTACCTGGTCTACAGTGTCCTGGCCCAATGGTGATCCAGTTACCCGGTATATCCAAAATAAAATTGATGGGAAATTATAGTTTATAGCAAAAACCACACTGCCATGTAACAGGGATCTTTAAAGAAGTAAACTCAGCAATAAAATGAATTACTTTGTAGATGGGGTTTTAAATTCCACTTGCAGATGTAAACATGACTTAGGGGTAGCATCTTGACCCCAAGCTTGGGCTAGTCCCGACACATCTTAACTAACATCAGCTGATTGTAACCAGATACCGATGTTAATTTCGTAAATACCAGGCACTACCTATTGTGTACCAGCCAATCTACTTATGAGTACTTGTATTTGAATGTAGAAGACAAACCCTGACCACTTCAGTGCCTTATAGACAGGTAACCATCAGTGGCAGAGACATTGAAAAGGGATGACTTACTGCTGGGTCATCGTCCGTGGCGGAGACTGTGAAAAGGACTACTCCAGATGCCGTTGTTTCCAATATGGATACGTTGTATGAGGGTAGATCAAACCTAGGTGCCAGGAGGTTTCTCACCATGTTTACCGTCACCAATGCTGTAGAAGTAAGTGGAGGGCTGCCTCCATCTTCTGCATGCAAACGCAACTGTAATATAAAGAGGTCGTTAGAATGGAGATTATTAGGTCAACTTATACACAGCACTCAAGGAAAGTACAAAACATGCTTGTGTCAGCAAAAATCAACATCTCTCGACATAAATGTTCCTATTTATTTTTAAATAAATGAAATAGTTACCGTGTAGGTTTCCCCAGAGTCAGCCTGCAGATTGGCAGCAGATGTCACTCTTATAGTGTTGCCATCAAGATAGAAAAGGGAGGGTGCCGCACCATCGCCTATAGTCGTCACAGTGAATGTATTGAACGGATTCTGTGTGGAAGATAAAGATTCTGTTAGTTTTCAAGGAAACTTTAAGTGTCGAAACTCCATGTATTCACATCTGAGCAACACCTAATTCATACTGTACAGAGATGTATATGCATGGATAAATTTTACAATTCAAAAAGTTTCAACTGTCATAACATAAAAGTTACAGGTATCTTTTAATGTGCACACCCGGACATTTGTGTCAATTTTGTCCTCGTATTGGAAACACTCATGGTTATATTCTGTGTATTCTAAAAAATATCTGTCCTTTACTGGCGAAATCCCGCCAGGTGACGAAATTCCAACAGAATGACTATAGGTATGATATGATTCATAAAGATATTTGTCATCATAATTCACCTTCATTGCGGAGGGTGAAAACATTGAAAGCTAAACTGGAACAGTTAACAGCAACAGTTAAAATGGTAGATACATGATTAAGATGAAAGCCTGGGTTTAGAAACAAAGCCTGCAACAAGATGTAAGAAATGTAAGTGTGTAGTTACCCTGCTATCGATGTCTGTCACAAGGATGTTACCCAGGTTTTGGTTGTCCACCACATTCCGATTGACATTGACGTTGTAGTTTTGATTACTGAAGGTGGGAGTATTAAGGTTACGGTGCACCGTCACAGTCACTGTAGCACTGTTTGTTGCAGCTCTTGACGGCGTTCCAAGGTCAGTCGCTGTCACAATAACCTGGATGGAATCAAATAAACGTTTACTGAGCTGACTAGAAACAGCTTCCAATATATTTTTTAAGTACAATCATAAAATTTCTGATGTTATAGATAAAATGAATTCTCTACTAAACACCATTGACCTATACTTACATTGTATGTTACATCCTTATCTGTGTCTACTCGAAGATCCTTCTTCAAGTAAACAACGCCAGTATCCTCATTCACCTCAAAATATTCCGATCCCTTCACATCGCCCACCAACGCGTACTGCACGTTGTTGTTAGGAGGCTGCATTACAAACAAAGAATTAGATCATAACGCTATAAATTTCTCATCAAATCAGATATTAACCCTTTCAACCCTATGAAACTTTAGTAGACTCTACCATGCATTGACCTGGATGAGTCCATTATAGTCTACAGTGGTGAAAGGGTTAACTCAATCACCCCTGAAATTGATGAAATTAAAACAAGATGAGCAGAAGTGCAACATAACTGACATAGAGTTTTATATATCATAAATAAAATATTTATGCCTAGACATTTGTTCCTACTAAAAAAATGAGCTCCATTACAATTTTATTTTTTAAATATGCTGGGTATATTTATGTCGTATATTACATTGCTCCGATTAACTGACTTCAGAGTCAATACTATGTCTAATGGTAGTCCAATCCCATATAAAGTATTATCTACTTACTGCAAACATAGTACAGAAAGGAAATGATGACCATAATATTATTTTAATATTATCTGAAAATTGTCAAAATGAAAGATATATTGCTCAATTAACAATCATGCTCAATTAACAACCATCTTGTATTCTGATAAATTGTATTTGTCATATGTCGGTGAAATGAAGCAGTTCAGAACCCCAACTTGAGGAAGTGTTTAGTGTTTCTACGTACCAGAGCATCTACATCTGAAGCCGACACCTGTTGTATACTTTGGGAAAGATATTCCGTCTCCAAGATGTCTGCGTTGTAGCCGGTGACAGTAAAAAATGGTGCAGCGAGGTTACGTGTGACATTAACGTAGAGGATCTGTGTGTCAGTCTTGGAGGGTGAACCTCCGTCACTGGCCACTAAACGAATCTGTTGGATGCAAACAATGAAAATAAGAGCCGTTATTCTTCATTTAAAATTACTATATATAATCATAAAACTTCCAACAAAAACAGAAATTATTGAAGATTCCCCTTTTTCTATTTGTTAAACAATGAAATGTCCTAAAAATGGAATATAATTCTGATACTTCTGTTTCAGAGACAGAATCATGTTTACAGATTTACCAATAATTTTGATATAGCGAAGCGACACAATTTTTTTCTCACATTTTAGATATAGTTTCTCCCGTCTTCCTAGTTGGACAGTAAACTTGATAGAGTTTATTTACAACACAATTTCTATACAAGACTTTTGTATTTGCACACTTACCTTAAGATATTCTTCCGGGAAAGTGGAGAGATCCCCGGTAAGCGTAACCTGTCCCCCCGTTGGATTTACAGTAAACAGATTTGTTGCTCTGTCATCTCCGATGATGCTGTATGTTATCGTGTTGAAGGGAGGCTGGAGGTCAATAAAGTTCATATGTTTATCCAAGTTAAAATGAAATTATCAAAATTGATATATTTCCTTACAAAAAATTTTGCAGGTCTCATTTGCCAAAATATCTCCGGGCAAATGGTGGCAGTATAAAAAGGTTTTACTGTATATTTCAAGTAAAATTACATTCACAACAGGACTAGACAATAAGGTAGCCCGCTAGTCTGAGACTAGTGAAATCTCCAGCTGAACTAGTGGTTCTAAAAACTGCTATAGTAGAAATATGATATTACTTACCATGTTGAACAATACTAGTTAGTGGAATTTGCACATGGAATAGTAAAATTGGAAAGTGCTAGCCCAAATGACTAGTGGTTTTTATATATAAAATTCTACCCCTGCTGAGGGAAAAAAGTCTTCCAGATACAACCAACATGGCTAGCCAGAATATACCGACTAAATCATTTCAGAGCCAGCCAGAACTAGAAGAGTCCTTTCAAATTTCAATTGTTACACAAATTACACAAATTTCGTACAACTTTTGTGAAAGTAAACAGTGAAAATTTCATGTTATGCAGTATTCTAAAGCAAACAAGGAAAAGTTTTGCAAGTAATGCATAGTCCCCCACCTAGACAAGTTGAAAATGAACAAAAGTCAATCACTCTGCATATATTGGGACACTAGACCATATACTTTAGTATGCTACACTCTGTGATCCTACATTGTATGTACTTTCATGCAAAATATGGACATTGTAGGTTACAGAATATAAGCGATATGTCAGGGACAAAACTGTACACCGACGGACAGACTGACGGACTGACGGACAGATACCAAACCTAACATCTCCTCTGATAAGACTGGTGTGGGACCAGTCGAAGAAATTACAATCTTTTATAAGCAAACTGTTGTTATGTGCTCACCCTGGTATCGGCGTCATTTGCAGTGACAGTATAGATGACGGCTGGTCTAGCAGCATTGGAATTTAACCGGATAGATGCATCAGGCAAGTTGGAGAAGATTGGTGAATGATCATTCCTGATGATAGTGATGTTGAGTGGGATATTACCAGAGCGCAAGGCCGGCACCGCCAGATCTTCAGCATAAATAAAGTACTGCAAAAGAACAAATAAACAAAATCACAGAATTTTAATGACATAGCTGACCACAATATCATACAACTAGTTCAGTACACCAGGTTAGACACAGGCAAGTGATTATTAAAAGGGAGAAATTCAAAAATGGTTCTTTATACATTTGCCTTCATGAGGACAGATTTAAACCTGATATTTTTTAGTGCATTCTTACAAGAAAGCTATTCTGTGTCTCCCCAAGAAGAGATCGTCTGACTGTCACCAATCCCGTCTGCGCGTTGAGAAGGAATCGCTCTGGTGGGCTGGTAAAGTAATACCTCACAGTGTTGTAAGGGGCCTGAAGTAAAACATCAACATTACAGTATAGTCAGTGTACCTGTATGCAGAATTTTAACATCCAAGACAGTTCTATTCCTGTACAAATTGTCATAATAACTATAAACAACAGATACTTATACTAGATCCACATGTATTTGAGAAAATAAAAATCAAGATTACAAAAATTCTTACCCTTTCAATTTGACAAGATTAACTTGATGACTTTTGAGAATATTTTTAACAGGTGCCATAAAAATGGAATTTTCAACCCGGAACAGTGTAATATTTTGGGGTTTTATATTTCAACTGTTACATTGTTTAGTCTTAATTACCACAATGTTAAGTCTCAGCTTTTGACACTGTTAAGTCTTAACTGACACATTGTGAAATCTTAACTGTTACATTGGAAAGTCTTAACTGACACAATGTGAAATCTTAACTGTTACATTGAAAAGTCTTAACTGACACAATGTGAAATCTTAACTGTTACATTGTGAAATGTGAAATCTTAACTGTTACATTGTGAAATCTTAACTGTTACATTGTGAAATCTTAACTGTTACATTGTTAAGTCTTAACTTTGACATTTTAAGGCTTAATAAACACATTGTAAAGACTTAACTGTTACATTGTAAAGTTTTTGCTTTTGCATTGTTGAGTAATTCAAATAACACATTGCAGCTGAAAAAAGTGCAAAGTTTCTTTTTCTGGCAATGTAAGACACTTACTGCCAGATCTGAATCCGACGCCTGGATGTTGATGACAGAATTATCGACAGGTAGGTTCTCTAGGATCACCTGGGCATATGACACTGTATTGAAGCTGGGTGCGACAAAATTTCGTTTGATGGTTACTGTGAACACTTTCACATCCTCCCTCCTAGGACTGCCGCCATCCCGGACTCGCACTCGCAGCTGGTGGGAGATGTACACGTTATTTATTAGCGTACTTTTTATTAGAAGTAGTCACTGTATAGTTTAAAATTTCTTATAAACATCACAAATGACATTGGGTAAAAATGTTTTGATTTTTTTGGTGAGGTCTTGTGTTAAATAACAGTACAGTACAGATTTAAATTAGGATCAGTGGTAACTGGTGAAATCATACTTTAACAGCCTACATCATCATACTAAAAAGCTTCTAGGTGATGGAATACACCCATAAATAAGTAATATAATGATCTGAAACAGGCATCGGTGAATATTTAAATAACAAGAAAATGTCTGTAAAACATGAATGCCCCCTTTGTATAAAGTTCGATGAAAATCTGTGAAGAATTAAGTTGCTAAGTGTTACTTTACATTGAATCGAGATGGGAAGCGATGAGACGCGACGGGATGGGATGGACATGGGCAACACTATATGCGCCCCCCCCTCCTCCCATTTTATGGCGTGGGGCATAAAAAGGAAATACAAAAAAATTATGTGCAGCAGCTTCTTTCCAATTTTTAAAAACATATTTTGTAAGTTATAATAACACAGATATGAGCTTAAAGTCAAAACCTATACAAACCTGGTACTCGGTTGTGGACAAGAATAACAGTGAGTTTCTCAATGTTATTACACCAGTGGATGAATCAATTTCAAAGAATGCAACAGCATTACCGTCACCGAGCAGGTCAAAGGTTAGAGTGTTGAACGGTGCCTGGAAATGATATTAAAACAAAATGACAAAATGTACTGATTATCTCTGGACTGAAAATTTACATACAAACTAGCTAGAGCCAAAGTTACACTGGAATGATCTGGCTACAGTACAATATATTTGCTATTTGAAAGGACGCTAAAATATTGTACTCTCAGAAGTGGAGGAGCATCTGGTTATAATGTTGTTTGCAAAAGATGCGGAGTTGATAGGTTCAAGTCAACAAAAGAAATCAATCTAATTTACCACCGTGTCTTGATCTGTTGCCTCAACATCGAACACCTGCCCATTGACGGACATATTGTGAAAGATTTCGCGTGTAACCACGGTGTTGGTGATAATGGGTGGGAAGCTGTTTCTGTTGACCGTAACCTCCACAGTGGCTGGGATATTAGCAGGCAAAGAGGTAGGGGTACCCAGGTCATTGGCCGTCACTTGAAACTGGAAACACCAACAGGGAAAAACATGTCATATAAAAAAGGAGCAAATTTCAGCGTTTTCATTTCTGATAACTCTGTTTAATTGTTTATCTATAAATATTGAACATATAAAATAAAACGATTTAACAAAAGTTAACCCTACCGTGTATCGAGTCAACAACGCCGTGTCCAAAGTGACGGACTTCTTCAGAGAAATGGCGCCTGTTTCACTGTCAACCATGAAGTATTCTCGTCCTAGAGCACTGCCTGCTGCTTGGCTTATAAAGTAGCGAACTGTGTTGTGAGGGGCCTGCAAAGTAAACACATCTCATCAGGACAAATACCATTGACAGGGGAACAAATACCATGGACAGAAGATCTTATAAAGTAGCGAACTGTGTTGTGAGGGGCCTGCAAATCAAACATATCTCATCAGGACAAATACCATGGACAGAAGATCTTATAAAGTAGCGAACTGTGTTGTGAGGGGCCTGCAAAGCAAACATATCTAATCAGGACAAATACCATGGACAGAAGATCTTATAAAGTAGCGAACTGTGTTGTGATGGGCCTGCAAAGCAAACACATCTCATCAGGACAAATACCATGGACAGAAGATCTTATAAAGTAGCGAACTGGGTTGTGATGGGCCTGCAAAGTAAACATATCTCATCAGGACAAATACCATGGACAGAAGAACAAATACCATGGACAAAAGATCAAATACCATGGACAGAGCAACTACTGTTGGAAGCTATCTACATCAGAAGGAGAAAAGTGGACTCAATGCATTGATATCCAGAGTTTTAAAACAAGAGAACAGTTATTGATAAATCAGAATTGCTCATGAGTGCCTTTTCACCGACTCCAACATGAAGAGTGCAGTATATTTCAGGCCTTTTGAGTCTTGCAATTAAATTGAAATACTTACCCGAATGTCCGCATCTGTAGCAATCACAGTCTTGAAAGTTATACCCAGAGATTGTGTCTCACGAATGGTGGCATTATAAGTAATTGGATTGAATACAGGAGCAAACAGGTTTCTGGTGACGGTGATGGCTATCAAAGAGGTGGCCAATAAGGCGGGAGTGCCACCGTCTGTAGCTACCACACGCAACTGGAACAAACCACACAACAATTAAAAAGGAAAAGCAATGGACCAAAAATATCATCATATACAGTTTTAATGTCTTGTATGGGATAAACAATATCCCATGTCATCATGTAATATGACATCATTTTACTCTCAAATCTCACAGGATTCATTACTTATAAATTGTTTCTGTTAGTTCATGATGAAGAGCTACAGAGTTACTTACATTGTACACAGTGTTAGTGTCCAATGTTAAGTCCCGTTTGACCTTGACATTAGCTGTAGTAAGACCTGTTGTGGCAATGTCAAAATAGACTGGTGCGAGGTCATCTCCTATTACTGCCAAGGTTACGGTATTGAATGGAGCCTGTGGAAAAGTAAAACACAAGAGTCACAATCAATTTATATCTTGTGAGAGGAAGTAGAAAAAAACAATTTAGCTGTAAATATAAAAATAGTAACTTAAGATTGTAGATACAGCAGATTCACTATAACTAACTTACATCTGTATCACTGTCCTCACTTACATCTTCATCACTGCTCTAAACATATCTTATCACTGTCCTTGACCTACATCTGTTTTACAGTCATCCACTTAGACTTGTTTCCTCATCCTTGACCTATATCTGTATCCCTGTCCTTGACCTACATCTAATCACTGTCCTTGACCTACATCTGAACAGTCCTTGACCTACATCTGTATCCCTGCCCTTGACCTACATCTGTATCCCTGTCACTGGCGATACATGTATAATTATCTATATCAGTCATTGGCCAAAATATTGTATCCCTGTCCTTGACCTACATCTGATCACTGTCCTTGACCTACATCTGATCACTGTCCTTGACCTACATCTGTACCCTGTCCTTGACCTACATTTGTCTCCCTGTCATTGGCTATACATGTATAATTATCTATTTTACAGTCCTTTACCTACAATTTATATCACTGTTCTTGACCTACAGCTGTATCACAGTCTTCGACTTACATTTGTACCACTGCCTTTGACCTACATTTGTATCATGGTCATGAACTTACATCTGTATCACTGTCTCCGAAGGTGATGGGAAGAATATTATTATCAACAGGACGATTCTCTGGAATAGTCACAGCATAATTTTGGGCCCCAAAGAATGGAGCATTCCGGTTTCTAAACACATTGATGATGACATTGGTGGCAGACAGTGACGTCTTGGACACAGTTCCCATGTCATAAACAGAAACACTCATCTACAGCAGAAAAAAACCCATTAATGCACAATTCTATTTTTATTTGCTTTATTCTCTTTTTTTTATATATATTTATCATTTTTTATTGTTTTACTTAAAACTAAAATGTTAGATAATAAGAGCTGAAGTACAATTTTGTATAAAATCCATGAGATGGTTATAATGCACCCTGAGTAATATTTTATATATATTTGGTCAACAAAAATGTTATACTCTACCGTGAATTGTGGTGTCTCGGCTGTATCCAGAACTAGAGATTTCTTCACATAAATAGAACCACTCTCAACATCAATATCGAAGAATTCAAGTACAGCAGCCGTAGCAGTCATGTTGTATCTGATCACATTGTTAGGTGGCTAGAAATACAACACAAAACCTTCCTTGAAAATTGTATGAATGTTGAAATTCAAAATAAATGCACTGATCAAATTACTTAACCAGATATTGCTGTGATTTTTATTTATGTGTATGTGTGCCCTTCCACAACAAAAACCAAGGGAGAAGTATGCTCAACTTTGAAGTTGGGGTGCTAGTTGTACAACCAGCATTGTGCTTATGGACTGAAAAAGAAGTTATCTCAAATATCTTTCACTAACTTACCTGCAAAACATAAAATCAAAAAATCTGACACATAACCTTGTATGTCCGCCATGCCATTTTAAATGCTTGAAATGTATTTATATTTCACTGTTGCTTCCGATTTTCATACATTACCTGGCTGTCAAGATCCTGAGCGGGTACTGTAACAATTGGTACGCCAAGGTCTTGTGTTGATGGAATGCGCTGAGTAATGGACGCCTGCGTCACAGTTGGATTGAAAAGGTTGCGCTCGATTTTTAAGGTTAAAGTCGTAGTGTTTTCTTTAACAGGACTTCCATTATCATAAGCCCGCACTCGTACCTGTAAACAGACCCACGTTGTTGATCATGTTTTATTATGACAGGGCAGAAAGGACTAGTATTAGATGATATCGTTGGTGTTACTATTTTTAGAAACATCAGGTTAATATTTACTTTATGACATCATTTCAATTCTAACGTCTATTAGCCAAATGCAGTATTTTTTACTTAATGATTTCCCTAATTGTCATCTAGTTAATGGATAAAAGCATGATATCTTCATTATTCATTGAGTATGTGTTACAGGAACTGAAAAGTGCTACTGATCTGGACAAATACTTTCTCGGGTCCATATAACCACATATTCGCCAGGTATGTATACAACAGTGACAGGTAGATAATACTTACATAGAACACCTCTTCTGAGCTGCCTGCCAGTGCAGATTTGACAGTTATAACACCACTCGCTTCGCCCACTTGAAAGTAAACTGGTGCACTTCCGAAACCAATCACTTGATAACGAACGATATTGTAAAAAGAATCGTCATCTGTGGCTTGTACAGTGTACACAACATCGTTGATCCCTGCATCCTCCTGTACAATGTTCTCGTACGGTAGGTTTTGCCACTGGGGACTGAAGTTATTCCTATTTACATTGATGGTAATGGTCGCAGTATTGTCACCCACCTTAGGAGGACTGCCACCATCTTGAATACTCACAAGAACCTAGATTACAAAAAAAATGAGATCTTTTGTAAAATCAAAATCAATTAAACAATATGTTAACATATATAAAGTACTTGTTAACTTTGCTTTTAATGACTTTCAAAAAATGAAAATAATCAACACATCCATATTAATATAATATCATTTCATGGTTGTTAACACATGTACACAATTGCTCCATAGACATGAAACAAAATATCCTAATTGTATGACATTGTTAACCGTTTTATGGAATACTGTATACAGGGAAATTTCCGCTAGTTTAATTTTCGCCTTTTTCACCCGTAATGGCGGGAGGGCAAATTCATCATTATAGTCAATGTAAGTAAACAGTATAATAAAAATGGCAACTAAATGTGGAGGGCGAAATTACCACAGGGCAAAAAGTTGATTTTATGCGCAATTTTTTTCCGGTATACAGTATATCACTAGTTATCCTGTTTAAAATTTATAAACTTAAATGACGTCTATAGCAGCTTCTTACTGTATATGTTGTGTCTCTAGCTGTATCCTGCAACAATGATGCCTTGATTCGGATCTCTCCATTGTCAGGGTTGATGGCAAAGTATTCTTCACCCTTGCCTGTCCCAGTAATAATGTAGGTCACCTGGTTGAATGGAGCCTGTAAAGATAGGGGTCAAGTATGAACACTCAAATGCAAGGCAAATCAATTGTAATTCGTGTGAATTCATCCATCAACATAACTTACAAATAACTAAGCACATTTAAACATGGAGTTTGAAGAAACTAGCACAGAAAAAGAAGAGAAAGTGGAATAAAGTAGGGGTGGATGCAACGGGGTGGGGTTGGAGTAGAGGGAGGGACACATAATGAGGTGGGGTTGGAGTAGCGGGTTGAGAAAATGCAATGGGGTGGGGTTGGAGTAGAGGGAGGGACACATAATGAGGTGGGGTTGGAGTAGCGGGTTGAGAAAATGCAATGGGGTGGGGTTGGAGTACAAGGTTGTAAAAATGCAATGGGGTGGGGTTGGAGTAGGGGGTTGGGACAATGCAATTGGGTGGGATTGAGTGGAGGTGGGGAAGGACCAGAATGAAATTTGGAAGGATCATGTATTGAAAATGAACTGGAGAAGAAGATAGCATAAGAGAGAACAGAGTCAATTGGGAAGGAGGGAGGAAGTATGAATATATTTCCTGTTACTTTTGGTGTCTTAAAAACTTCTTGTAAACATTGTTGGGATCACAATCAAACATTACAAACAATGCTCTTTTAAATTACTAAACCCACTGTGACAGTGACACCAAATATCAGCCTGGTATATATAAACTGAGTAATATCAGCCTGGTATATATAAACTGAGTAAGATGTATTTAAACATAAGGACGGTAAATTCCTTATATTCTAAATCCTTTCGAATCAGTTAAAAAAAATCATGTATTCACAAAAAATGAGGGATTTATCGTATCGTAAACCTGAGAGAGAACACAAGAACATCATCCACACCTACCGTATTATCACTGTCTAATGCATCCACATCATACACCACAGTTACAAAACTGATGGTCTCCACAATGTCAGCTGTAGCCTGGTATGATGACCCCGCACCAGGTTTGATGAGGAGAGGTTTTTCAAGGTTTCTGTCTACATTCAATGTCAGGCTCGAGTAAGCCACACGAGGAGGCACTCCTTCATCATAAGCTATGATGGACAGCTGCCAAAATGAATTTAACCCAATATTAGATTTTACACTATAAATATACAACTGAAATAAATGAATTTTCGTCAATCTTTAAATTATGTAGAGAAATAGTTCAGCTCTGCCAAATGTAACATTAATATATGTTTTACTTTATTAATGAAATATTTTCTGTTAACAATCTGAAATTACGTCATCAAGTTTAATGCTATATATGGACCAAGGTATACACTTACCGTGTATGTAGCGGTGGTGAGACTCTGTAGGCTCTGAGCCAGAGTTACTGCCCCTGTATTACTGTTCATACTGAATACGTTGCCAGTATTCCCAGACACAATACCATAGTGCACTACATTGAAGGGAGACTGTCAAATAGATAAGAAGAATTGTTAGTCTTTTCCAACCTACTTTAAAATCACACATATCAATTTTGTCTTTGTACTCTTCAACAAAGACAGTGGATAAACAGGTGAACAAACAAATAAAAAATTAGAAATATTAAAAAAAAAACACCATCATCCGGAGTAAGGACAGATTCAACACTTGATAAATTTATTTTGAAAGACTGAAGGGTGAAAATTAAATAAGAGCAAATTTTAATATTATATCGCAGCAATTTTTAATTGTGATGAGACGATACAAGGTATCTATACAATTGCATACCAAATAAAAACAAGTTAAAAATAAAAAGGCGATAGCCACCTACCTTATCATGTTTCATTTTAATGTATTATTCATAAACAAAATCGTAAAGTCAATATATTTTTCAAAATATTTGGATAGGTTATGTGAAGAACATCGGTACTCACAACTACGTCGCTATCTGTGGCTGAAACATTGAACACACTGGATCCTGCAAAGGCATTCCTAGAAACAGATTGCACAGTTGGCAGATTCCCAATAATTGGGTCAAAATCGTTGCGCTGGACAGTGATTGTGACTGATCCTGTTTGTTGCGACGACAATGAAGAATCACGTAAAATCACCCGCATCTGTGTAATAAATCACAATACAAATGTATGCATGAAATGATGAGCGTCACTGATCAGCTAGTCAACACAAGGACTATACATACAGTATCAAGCCTCTACACTTGCTAAACTTAAAAGTATTAAAAAGTACTGACAAATATTATAGAAGTCATATACAAATGATTACATAACAGCTTACACAAATGTATCTGTAGCTTCAAATTTTCTTGTTTTTTTTTTTTAACACATACTGCTTAGAGCTTCATTTCACAAGGCCATTTTTTTGCACTTTTTTGTCTTTGTGTAAATTTGTGGGATTTAAATTTTCGTTCAAAATATCAAAAGGCAACCAACCTAAGTAACTCCAGAAGGGCACAAATTTCCAGTGCATATATTTTGTGTATTTTTTCAGGCCGTGGATACAGCAAAGAAAAGTTTTTTTTTTACAAAGCATTAATTCTATATACAAATTTATTGATGACATTTCCAAACACATACTTACAATATAAACTTTATCGTTGTCCTCAAGGGTAAGAGGTCGTATGACACTGATTTGACCATCATTTGAGTCTATTGCAAAGTAGGTCAAGGTTGCTGCATCTCCAAGTGCCTCATACACAACAGTGTTATGCGGTGCCTAAGAAATAAAAACGGCCAATCACAAGACTTGTAAGAACATATTTTTTTAATTTTTTTTTTATTTCCGAAGGGAAACACATTCAATTAGTGGTTCAACTACTGTACTTTGATTTCAATTATTCATCTAAAAACCTTTCGTTAAGAAATTTGAAAGAATTTATGATGACCTAGCCATTCTCTATCTAACGATTTTAAGATAAAACCTTGTGTCAAAAATCTTAAGTTTCCTCCATCTACACTGGAATATGAGTCATCTGGACTATTAAAAATAAAAAAAACATTTCGCACCAATTAACTCATTAATCTTTCAATTTACAAAATTAGGAAACAATTTAACCAACCTGATTAATCTATCAGTATGTGGGCAGCGTCATCGACTCCCCACCCACCTTCTAGGTCTGATCCATCATTTACGTACGTGCAAAACAACTAAATGTATGTACGCTTATAGAGGATCGGAATTGACGTTTGATTTTAATATTACCAACTTGTACCTATTTTATACCGTTGTGTCATTTGTCCGATACTATTCATTGAATTATCAGAAATAGAAACTTACTGGTTGTGATACAGAACCTTTCTACAATTCATACTTACCAACCTGAAGAACAATATTGATACATAGGTTTACATACTTACTGACCAAGTTATCAAATAAATTACTACTGTACTGGAGAATAGGTTTTAATCCCACTGACACTAACCCTCGTACCATCAGTAATAAACTGAAATATCAGAAATGTATATAGGTAAGTGAATTTGAAATGAGTCCACTTTAATCAAAATGCTGAGAAATATTGAGACTTACCAATAAGTCATCATCACGGCCTTGAACTTGTATGCCAATGTTTGAGCCTACAGTCAGTGTCTCCAGAATCGTATGGGAATAGGACAGCTGGACAAACTCCGGTGCATTCAGGTTCTTCAGCATGTTCAAAGTGACAATTTGCTGACTGCTTAGGGGTGGCGAGCCATTGTCACTCACACGCACCAAAAGCTGCAAAACGATTTTTGTGAATGATACACTTTAAAAGACAAAGCAATATATCTACTCTACAAGACAGATTTGTAGTGATGCAGTGTCTATGACAATAATGAACACCTTTATTGATGGGAAATATTATTTTGGAACGTATTCTGTTCAATGAACAAAGCTACTTTCCTTTCAGTCAAATATTTTGAAAATGTTGAGTTACATAGTGGATTTTACCTGGAAGCTTTCCTCCGTCACAGACTGTACAGACGAGCGAGTGACGATACTTGCTGTGTTTGTGACTGTGTTCACTGAACCAATCTCAAAGTATGTCAAGGCTGTGTCAATTCCCTCCAAGGTGAAGGTCAGCTGATTAAACTCTGGAACCTGTAAATGCAAAGATACAGAAAACTTGTAACAATGGTCGTACAGGACCTTTCCCCAATACCCAAGCCTACATATGTATGGACTGTACTTAAGGCTAATACACACACCTACATAGAGTTATATAAACATGTATAGATTTATATAGCGAGTGACGATATTTGCTGTGTTTGCATGTATAGATATATGTATAAATTATATATACATGTATAGATATAGATCTCATAAGTAATAATGACAGTATCATCCAATATTGGCGCTGGATCTGAAGGAACAAATGTTGGTTGTATGCGTATTACTTAAATACTATATATGGGCAAAGAATTAATAACCACAGTGCAGACTAAGAAATGTGTCGAATTTTCAGGCCAATCCACCCTTTATCAAAACAGGAACGTGAACATTTACATATTACAGAGACAAGCAGTCACCATGAAACAATAAAACATGTATAGCTATGTGTTTATTTAAATTTGAGGATCATTTTGGTGTGCCTCTTGACTAGTCTTGAATCATTTTACAGCCCTTTGTTAATTGCAAGATACACAATTATGTGACGAAAAATGAAAACATATATTATGCATAATGTCAGATGAAATTTTTCAATCATATTAAATTTCCCTGCTATCTAATGACTACTTTCTCACATTTAGGAAAAACCACCACCGAATACTTACACCAAAATTTGGATCTTGAGCACTAAGTGTGTAGACGGTTGAACCCTGAACAGTGTCTGACCTGACAGTTTGTGACAACACTGTGTTTGTAAACGCTGGAGCTGCATTACGGACCACAGATACAGTAACCGTGGCAGTCTGAGCACTTTCTCTCGATGGGGATCCCAAATCGTAGGCATCAATGTAAAGCTGAAAGAGAAAGGAAAGTTTACTGCTTGTGGGCCTTTTTCTGAATCTCAAGTAGGGATTTGATTTTATGTTATTCAAGCCAATTTTAAACACAGAAACAAAATGAAGATCTTTTACTTGTAAAGATAAATTGAAATGTCTGACAATTTTTTTTAAACTGAAAGAGTCATTCAAAATTGTTATCAATGACTACATTTGAAGATTTCATATTTTCTTTTGAAAAGAAAATTGCAATATAAAAGATTATCTCCCTTTCTGCATTAGGTTCCTGAACAAACTTTGCATATCAAAAACATTGCAATGTTTTTTTCCATGGATCCTCCTACAGTATGTCAAATAAAAAAAGAACCAAGTGAAGGAAAATCAACCTAAAAAATCAGAAAAAGTTTTTTTGGGGAAAAGCTTGAAAATTTAAGATTAAAACGCATGAAATGTGATAGTACTAACCAGGTACACATTATCGCTATCTGTTCTAAGATCTTGCTTGACAGAGATATCCCCTCCGCTGGACACTTGGAAATACTGCTGAGACTTGGCTGGTGTGACAACAGTGTTCATTTTAAAGTTGATAGTATTGCCTGGAGACTTAATGTCACGGTCTTGTATACCTCCCGCCAGATTTATTCCTGCTAAACTGGTACCAAGTGTCTGTGTCTCCAACACCTGATCGTTGAAGTTGGTCGTAGTCCACTCAGGGTTAAAGAAGTTACGAAGGATTGTGACATACACATAGGCAGTTCCTTCACGGGCAGGATCACCATTGTCTCTAGCAACTACCACCAACTGCAAGGAGAAAAAACAGGTACATGATTTTTGACTTCTATCATCTACTATCCGCGATATTTGTAGTGCTCATACTGTCTGTCGTCCCACCAGATAAAAAAAATGACGATGTCGGTCAAACCTCGGATTCGTCGAATACCATGTATTCCTTGAACTATTGACCTGGACTCCACGAGTTGGAGTTAGCAGGGTTTTACTGTAGCATTAACTGACAACTATTATGAATTACTACATGTACTACAAATAGATTTCTATACATTGAAATTCTATATAATTGTCTATTTATCGTTAGCATGCATAGATGTCAATAAAATACAAATCTGTATATTTGTCTATCGACAACTACTATGTATAAATGTCTGCATATTCCAAATCTGTGTAATTGTCTGTAGGTAAATACTACGTATAAATGTTTACATATAACAAACCTGTATATTGTCGATAGATAACTATTCTGTACAAATTACAAACCTGTATAATTGTCTATAGATATCTATTCTGTGCAAGTTACAAACCTGTATAATTGTCTATAGATAACTATTCTGTACAAATTACAAACCTGTATAATTGTCTATAGATAACTATTCTGTATAATTGTCTACAAATCACAAACCTGTATAATTGTCGATAGATAACTATTCTGTACAAATTACAAACCTGTATAATTGTCAATAGATATCTATTCTGTACAAATTACAAACCTGCATAATTGTCTATAGATAACTAGTCTGTATAAATGTCTACAAATTACAAACCTGTATAATTGTCTATAGATAACTGTTCTGTACAAATTACAAACCTGTATAATTGTCTATAGATAACTATTCTGTATAAATTATAAACCTGTATAATTGCCTATAGATAACTATTCTGTACAAATTACAAACCTGTATAATTGTCTATAGATAACTATTCTGTATAAATGTCTACAAATTACAAACCTGTATATTTGTGTAAAGTCAATATGGCAGTATATAAGTGTCAACGTGTCTTACTGTATACAGATCCTGGGTGGGAGTTGCCAGATTGCCGGCTGTGTTGATTTGTCCATTAGAGTTGATGGTGAACAGATTCGAGCTATCAAGCAAGGAGTAGGTGATGAAATTTAACTCAGGCTGTGGAAACAACAACAAAACAGATATTATAATTGAAAAGATCTATTTATCTCATTTTTAGAATGTTGTGTGTTGTAAGTTTTTTTGCAAGAACATTTTTCATCAGTATTGTCAAGGAAATAGACATAGCTGTAGATTCCATTGAGGTCCATTTTGTATATCTATTTATTTTTCTCCAGCCAAACATTCCCAAAACTATGCCATTATTAACAAGCGAGTGATGGACTAGCTGTTACGGAGTAATGTTCAGTTATTCATCGAGAGGAAAGATCCCTTTAACCTCATTCCATCAGACATTCTTAATACTGTCAACATAACTTATTTTTGCGTGAATCTCATTTTAGCACTTTTCGTATAAGCATATAACCTTAACCGAAAAGTGACATTAACAAGACGTGATATTAGGGGAAATGTACTGTAATTAGAAACCATGCCACTATGATGCCCGGCTATTCTTCAAGTTCGTTCCAAAAGATAGTTTTCTCTTATTTCAGTCAGGCCAGTCACATGACTGTCATTGTTAGCTCTAGATAGTTCTGGTCAGTGACATCGTTGGGCATATTCAGTAATGGCATTTCTAAGTGTCAAGATATTATTGTACCATACATATCTATTGTAATGATGACAATTAATAGGGCAAGTATGATCATTTATTACATTTTTGCCAGTGAAATGTCAGATTCTATCAACTTGATAAAACTGATATCTTTCACACTGTGACAAATATCACATATTGGTATTGACCAATCATTACGGTATCTTCTATTCGCTGCATTCAAAGGCAAAGATTTTTTGTTCATATTCAAATGAAGCGATGGTTGTTATGGTAAATGTTTGGTACACACACTTAAGTATTTACATAAATATACAATTAATAACATTTTTATAAGCAATCATACCAGAAAAGAGCAGAAAACGTCAGAATTGCGGTGAGTATCCCATTCAAAAAGGCCTGCCGCCTTGTTGTCAAACGTGACATTAGAATATGACACTAATTATTATGCTTCTGATTCCCGCCCTTTTTTAATGCATTACATTTTTTCATGTTTAATGCTTTAAAAATATGATAAATCGAAAATGTAATGGTGTCTTCAGTAATAACATTTATATTTCACTCGTATGGCTAATATTTTGATATTTTTCACGAGTGCGCAGATATCCTCTACATATCGGACACAAATATCTTTCCATGCCAACTCATCAACAAATCCCCATCTCAAAAGAAGCGGTTCAGATCTAGTAGTATTAAGCTTAGTAGTATAGACTAACTCAAGTTTCATTCTATCCCGATTCCAACAAAACTAGACCCGTATGACATACACTTCTAATTAATGCGAAATTGATCATGTTGGAATTACTGAACAAATTTTAAAGTTTGTGACGTAATTATATTACAATTACAATCAGGAAAGTGGAGAGTAGTGTTGATAAGCCATGAGTTAATAAAAAACAAGAGATAATGAGGGCTGGCAAAAATCTAGGAGGTAGACACTAATCATGAAACCGACTCCAAATATGGCTTACCCAAAAGGCTCCTCTATTTTTCAGAGTCTAAGTGCTAAATCATGATCCGGTAGCTTAAAATTGTAGCTGATGTGCAGAAACATGATGCAAAGATATAAGTTTGTTAACTCGACCAAAATATTTGTCGAAGGTACAGTTCTGACATTGATGACTGATAGAAATTTGTATTGTTCATTTGTACGTGTCTTCAGATACATTATCCTGATAGAACTAGATGAACTACGGCCATTGAATCACTATGGGACAAGGTACAGTAGTTCCCTGTTATACTGACACCTTCTGTCCCATGCCAAATTTATATGTGTACCTGTGTGTTGGCGTCGGAAGCTGCAACTGTAACCACGCTTGTGCCACTTGGGACATTCTCATTGATGCTCTGCGTGTACGTCTGGGCGAAAAATATGGGTGGAGCTGTGTTTCTGAGGACTGTAACGGTGACTACAGCATTTGATGAAGCACTTCTCGGTGTTTTTCCCTGATCCTGCAGGCCTACTGTAACCTGCAAATGATATTGACAAAGTCATATATCAGGTATTGACAAAGTCATATATCAGGAAACGGATACCTGTGATAGAACATAAAAATCATTAAGAAGTAAATTTGAGCCTCATTCATACACAACTGCTTCCAATCCAGGTGTCTCAAAGTCTAGCCACTGTTTTAAGGACAGATCTCTCTATTTCCAATAAAAGGTTTCCAAAGAAATATTTACGATTTACCGTCTAGCCATTTTGCCTGGGAATGAAGGAAGCTTGATGAGAGTGGCTTTGCTGTATATCAACTGTGTTTCAAACCTACATTTATGTAAATACATATCGTTCAATGGTATGAAGACTTTGTGTATCATTTTGCCATATAGGCACAAAAATGAACAAGGCAAAAAGGGTTGATTATCTTTAACATATCACGGCGATTACTTTTAATATCTAGATTACAACTTAGAAGCATACATATACAAATAAATTTATTATCATCGTGAAATATTGTTTTGGGATTAAATACCAGTCACATTGATTGCCTGTGTTAGACTTACGGTAAAGGTGTTGATGGCCTGGTTGTCAGCAGGAGAACGTTTGAGCTGAAGTTCCCCAGTGTCGGTGATGATGAAGTATTGTTGGGCTTGGGAATCACCCACAATACTGTAGGTAAGCTGGTTGTTTGGCAACTGAAATAATACACAATGCAAAAACATAACATCATGATTATTTAAATAATATACACTTGTAACAAGTTTCTTCTATTCATTTTCTACTTAATGCTATCTATAGTCATGTAAATGGTTTCACTCTCAACTTATTTAGCCATACTAGTTATGTCAACTGGTTTACTCTTCATTTAAGGAGTCATGCTACAGTAAAAGGTATCTTCTTTCGTTAAGAGCTCCACATGAAGAAACCTGTGTAATATATATTATAAAGCTACACAGGATAGATTTAAGAAAATTACTCCTTTGCTATTGCTGACTTATCACACAATACATGTACTTATATTAAAAAGATAACTAACATAAACTACAGGTTTTATGTGTACAGAAGCATATAACTTTCACTCTAAAGGAGTAGTATTATGTGTACATAGCATATGACTTATAACTCTTACCGGTACACAAATTACAGGTAAAAAGTGTTAGGTAGCATATAAACTTAACTCTAACAAATATCACAGGTATAATGTGTAAGGTAGCATATGGTCCTTAACTCTAACAAATATCACAGGTATAATGTGTAAGGTATCATATATCTTTAAGTTAAATGTACATCATCAATATGTGGAATGGGACAAATTGAATCTACCAATTGATATCCTGATAAACCATCATAGTGTTGTGTAATTGCCTCACCTGTGTATCGGCATCGTTACCACTCAGTTTAAAGACAAACTGCAGCAGGGGTGCATTCTCCAACACTGTTGTAGCATAATTAAACGGTCCAACACCGTCGAACGAAGGATCAAACAGGTTCCGCGTCACACTGACTGTAACCGTACCTGTTGCCATTAGACCACCACCGTCAGTAACAACCACACGTAACTGTAAAACAGAATCAATTTTTAGCATTATATTTATAAACATGCTTGATCGACATACTTATGGATTACTTTTACTATGCTGGCTTTTCGATGTTAAGTAATTCAAAAACTGCTGAAAAATTTGTGTGCAAAAGGACAAAATTTGTAAACATTGTTGAAAAATTTCATTGCCAAACCTTGTGATAATGAAGTCACTGCGCTGTGTAAGGATAAAAAGTACTGTGATTGATAAACCAAATGGTATTAAGGGAGATGAAAAGTACATGATTGTACATGCTAAGATTCTTTGATCCAAACATGGCAGTGCTGCTACAAAATTTCTGTAACAATAACGAGGAGCATTTATGGAAAAAGTGAACAAAAACTCCCAAGTTATCAAATATAAGTTAAGTTACACCTAAAGCTAGTCATTATTGGGTTTTTATTTGCCACACTTTGTCACTATTTTTGAAGATAAATATCCCTCTTTTTCACTCCAAATTGTTCTACATCATCATGGTTGTTCCTCAAAGCTCCCCGAAACACAGGACATGTATGTACTACACCCATATGTGTCAAGATCTATAGTACACTTACATAGTATGCATCGGAATCATCGGTCTGCAGTGAGTTGGCAAGTGTGATAGCACCGTCTGAGGCACCGACTTGAAAATGATTTGGAACTCGTCCATCCACAATCAGCGAGTAAGTCAGTTGTCCGAAGGTACCCTAAATCAAAAGATACATCGGACATGATTAGACCCAATATTGATGGATTATACAGGGTATCAGCATCTGTTAACTCATTCACCCCTGAAGACATATTTGAACTCTTCCCATTCAAAGGTTGGAATAGTTCATTATTAGTCAATTTCAGTGGTGAATGAGTTAAACCTCTGCCTTTTTAAATATATACAGAACTGAAAGAACTTTAACTCATTCACCCCTGAAGACACGTTTGAACTCCAGTTCAAAGGTTGGAAAAGTTCATTATAATTTTTGTCAGGGGTGAATGACTTAGAAAGTCAGTGTCTGTGGCTGTGTTTATAAACAGAATTTACCGTATCAATGTTTGTGGCTGTGTTTATAAACAGAATTTACCGTATCAGTATCTGTGGCTGTGTATGAAAACAGCACATTGGAAACTGCTGCATTGCTGTTTACTGTTTCTACTTTGGAAGAAGGATTGAAAAATGGTTGGCTGTTCCTGTCAACATTCAACGTCAATGTTGTAGAGGCACTCCTGATAGGCACTCCGTGGTCGCGACCCTCCACATTTATCTAAACAAAACAATTGTAACTTGGTACAATGGTAAATTTAAAGCGGCCCAAAAAACATGAAAAATATTTAAATTTACAATGCAGTTATATGATTCATCGACTTATTTCTTATTCCTTTCATGAGAAAAACTTGCCTGTGCTTCCAAGGAATTGAATTAATTAACTTAAAAATGAATTATGTCATCTTTAGAAAAACATTTCTATCAGAATCAAATGCAAAACATTGATTTAGAATAACTTCTCAATACAGTAATAAATGCCCTGGTATTTATTGATAAATCATCAAAAAGACCATTTCAAGGCAGACAATGGCCTGGACGGAGTAATTATTATTGATGATTCTTAAAAATGATACACTTACTGTGTAGGTGCTTGCTCTTGTGCTGTCTTCTGTCAAGGATCGAGCGAGAGTTATAACTCCTGTATCTGAATTAATGACAAAGAGATTGTCACCGCTGTTTGGGTTGGCAAGGCTACTTGAGGTGACACCTGTGATGGCGAAGGTTACCCTGCTGTTTTCAGTGTTCTGAAATGTGGAATAACTCACATATCAAAAGCCAATTCAAGGAGATATTTAAATCACAATTTACCCCATTTGAAATCAGTCCTTTAACTGGACATGAAAATCAATTTAGAACAATGAAAATGTCAAGTTAAACAGGAGAAGAGAGAAACGCTCCTTTGTTGGTATTTATTGTTGTGTACCAATCAAGTGCTAGAGATATTTTCATAGTTTCAACTGATTTGATAAAAGACACTCTGAAAACAAGAAGGGAGAAAATATAGGCTATTCAGAGATTTATTATCAAATTTGAAATCTCTGATAGAAATTTTGACCTTGGGATATTATGTGTTTCCTACTCACTCCAGGATCTGCATCTGTAGCGTCAACATCAAACAAGACGAAGGAACCAACGGCCACATTCTCCAGCACAGTTCTTGTTGAAGGGTTGACTGACAAAACAGGAGGGGCATCGTTCAGATCCTGTTAAGGTATGAATAGTGAATAGAGATAAATACACAAACCTTTAGATAAAATCTGATCATTTTCTCCGACGGAAAGGTAGTAAAGATCAGGTGATTATCTACACCAGTAACTCGACTATTTTTTGGAGTTCACCTACCATAACAGATACAGTAACGGTAGTTGAGACTGATGCCAGACCACTGGACTCCCCTTCGGTGGTTGTCACGGTAAACACGTAAAGAGGCTGCACTTCAAAATTTAACGCCGTGTTGAGTGATATCTGTCCTGACAAACTAATCGTAAAAGGTGCAAAGTTCCCAGTAGAAAACTTGTAGGTGATGGAATCAATAGTATCTGCATCCAAAGCCTGCAATATAAAACAACTAATACAGCATAACAAATCAAAGCATACTTTCTCACTAAAACAACTAATACAGCATAACAAATCAAAGCATACTTTCTCACTAAAACAACTAATACAGCATAACAAATCAAAGCATACTTTCTCACTAAAACAACTAATACAGCATAACAAATCAAAGCATACTTTCTCACTAAAACAACTAATACAGCATAACAAATCAAAGCATACTTTCTCACTAAAACAACTAATACAGCATAACAAATCAAAGCATACTTTCTCACTAAAACAACTAATACAGCATAACAAATCAAAGCATACTTTCTCACTAAAACAACTAATACAGCATAACAAATCAAAGCATACTTTCTCACTAAAACAACTAATACAGCATAACAAATCAAAGCATACTTTCTCACTAAAACAACTAATACAGCATAACAAATCAAAGCATACTTTCTCACTGAAACAACTAATACAGCATAACAAATCAAAGCATACTTTCTCACTGATCAAATTTATAACGTTGGTAACCAGCCCAAGTCATTTGAAAACAAAACAAGAGATCCCAGAGGGATCTTGGTGCCCACCATTGTACCATCTTCATTAGTTCTTTCTCAGTTCGATCTTTTCTCTTCTTTCCTCTAATCTGTTTGATTGAGTCATGTTAACAGTAAATGCACATTGAGGTAACTTTTGATCTTAACTTAATACTGATGTGTATGAAAGCCAACCTTCAAAGTGAGTTTGTCATTTCACATATTTACTAGTACAGAACTTAATGTGAAAGAAATAGAATCGATCATTGCAATATGAGAAAGATCTGTTTAGTTCTTCCTTTAGCCATTTTGTTTTTATGATCAGTCTCAAAATATAACATGCACAACGAGGGATCAAGGGGAACCTACATATCAAATTTGAGAAAGATCCCTCAAGTTATTCCTGAGAAATAGTGCTAACAAACCTTCAATGTCAAAAATCGAAGATGGCTGTCGTTAGGCCATTTTGTTTAACTGATCAGTTTCAAAAGTAAACATGAACAATAAAGGATAGTGGCACTGAAGCACTGAAGCACTGGCCCAAATTAAATGACATACTGCATTGGTGGCCAAACTAATTTTGGGAAGAAATATTTCCACAGCATTTAACACAATGCTTCAGTACATTTAAATTACACAGTACATGACAATGTTTGTAATATGTAAAACAGAATAAAACAATATATTTTTAATTCTTCAACCCTAGTTAAAACCTGACATGATCCATGTCAGGCACTGCTGCACAACAAGGGAACAAGGGGAGCCTACACATAAAATTTGAGAAAGATCCCTCCCATACTTTTACTTCCCGAGAAATAGCGATAACAAACTTTCACTATCAAAATCAAAGATAGCTGCCTGTCGGCCATGTTGTTTATCAATTTGGGAGGGAACCGGAGTACCCATGGTGAAAGACAACCAACCTCCCATGTATTTAGTAGAATAATGTTTGCAGATCTTTTCCAAATATCATTTTCAGAAATAATTACCATCAATATTGCATTATCTCAGTCTCTAATTCGTATTCGTGGATACAATCTGCCAAATAAGGTTCCCAGAAAAATAGTCATTTACAGTAGGTATTTGTATTGTACTTTTGGTGGGGATCTAACCAGTGACCTTCAGCTTCCCAGTCTGGTGCTTTTCAAATTGAGCTAAAGAGAAATTCCCTCTGGCACAAAGCTAGAAAGCAACTGTGATCATATATACAGTTAAAACCTGCCAAACCAGTCCCCTTTCTAAATGTATTCGCCCTCAAACAAAAGTTCAAACAAGGACATATAGCTCCCTGCCATCACCAGGAAGCCACATATATCGTATGTAACAGGAAACGAGTATCGTGAAGTATGCCGTATTTACTATTTGCATGTCCAAGAAACAATGCAGTAGATGAAGAAGTGCAAGTTAAAAAAAATAAAAATTGGCTCCAAATCTGTTGTTATTACGGACTAAAGTGGTTGTTATGGAAGTGTAATGATAAAAGGGGTAAGACAGTCGGGTATATGTATATAAAACCTTACCTCAACCATGATGACATTTGTGCCGGCTGGTAGGTTTTCATTTATAAAAGTGGTATAACTTGCTTCATAAAACAGTGGAACATTATCTTGAACATCCAGGACATTGATAGTGACAGTTGCAGTCCCAGTTCGCTGAAAATTAATTCCTCTGTCAGTGACCAGAGCAAGGATGATGTGCTGAGTTTGCGTTTCATAATCCAATGCTTGAGCCGTGGTAATGACACCACCAACAGAAGTGATCGAAAATCTAAAACATGAGAAAGTGAAATAACGAAATCAGATCCTGTGATATGAACACAATGTATAACAGACATTTCATAACTGTTTTTATATTGCATATTAATAATATCCATGTTGAGTCCATGCAGATCTCTGTAACACTGAGAACAATGCAAGACTTATCTTGATTGAGCGAAGATAAAAAGTTGAGCTTCACCGAGAGCTACCTAAATATAACAAGAGGTCCATAGGCCTTAACAGTCACTTGAGTGGTTAAATACATAGGTTTTTTTAATGTGACTAAAAACACTAGGACATGTAAACCAAATATGACTATTTTTACTATAGATTCCACCAGGAAATGATGTTGGGGAGTGACTAACAAATGGAGTATGTAGCTGGTAACAATCAGAAAAGTCTTCTCCAACCCCCAATATTCAAGTTTTTGATCATTATTTGAATCACAACATACTTTAACAAAGTCTTATGACCCCTGTGAAAAAAACTCATTTTGTTCATCTCATTTCACCTCAATTTGTTTGGATCTTAATTTTTATAATGCAAAACGGCCATCACATGATATTTATTCCAATTGAATGAACTCTACAGAAGCATTTACAGACAGGTATCTTACAAAAAAATAACATCTACACAAACAATGTACGGATTAAACGTGTGGCAATGTTTGAAGACAGACTAGTCCCTTTGTCAAGCTATGACTGACTCGTGTATAAAGTAAAACATTGATACAACACCTAAAGCAACTTTCAGCAACAGGTAACTTACAGCGAGCCAGTGGAAATGGGGGAAATTGAGAAATCAATTTGGCCATTGTTTCCTTCATCATTGTCAAATGCCTAAAACAGAAAAGACTGTTAGTATACTAAAAAGACATATTATAATTTTTTAATCATTCAAATCAAACATCTATGTCTAATAATGTTTTCAACTGTCAACTGTCTTCAAAAATTTATATGCCAATATTACACAATCTATCACAAGAACTTTAACATGCATTAACAATAATATTTATATAACAACAGAATCTTAATACATATACTTTTTATATACATGTACTAATGTTGTAAAAATATCAATATAATTACATTAAAATAATTGAAAATATCTTAATATGAGAACATTTATATAACATCACTACAAAGGTCTTTATAATACATCTACATATTATAACAAGGTTAAATAGGTCTTTATAAAATCATCTATGTAAAATATTACAATTTAAATAGATATAAAAATGGTTTATCACAATTTCCAAGCCAAAATCAACAGATTATGTTAAATTAATATTTGATTACAAATCTGCACAAAATCTAAATTAATTTAGCAAATGAAATGCCTCACAATCAAAACCGTTTTTTTGCGGATATCCGTGAAATATAAACCTACCGTAACTGTCCCAACATTGGCACCGAGTTGGCCTTCGGAGACTTGGAAAGTATACTGAGCTGGGGAGAAAAACGGCTGGACGTCATTGATATCCGTCACCACAATGTTGACCGTGGCGGTGTCAGTCTGATTAAAAAGAAATAAAAAAGTATTATGTACCATCACAGCATACTACAATATATATTTGTGATACCTGACCAATTGGTCCTCTTTATTAGATTCGGAGTACCAGCCCTTCAATCTTGACTGTCATTTCAATAGATGCTTTAAAAGCTTGGTATAATCATTTTCTAGTATTGAAATATTTTGCTTATTAACGTTGCCTTGTATCATTGCTCTGATGTTATATCCTCTACTGTATTGTTTTGAGTATTGAATATTACCAGGTATTACCAAAATAATTTCCATTTATGTATATTGCACTATAACTGTGACTTGCCTTTGGTGTATTCAATGAACTATGATACAAATATCGGGTAAAAATTCACAATCATGAAAGAAGCCAAAAATTAAGATTTTTATTTTTGTATTTTATTTCCCAATCAAATGTTTGTGATCTTTACTTTTGTCTACATGTTCTGGCCTGCTATGCGGCCATCATCGCTAGGATACTCAATGGTTTGTGATCTTTACTTTTGTCTACATGTTCTGGCCTGCTATGCGTCCATCGTCGCCAGGATACTCAATGGTTTGTGATCTTTACTTTTGTCTACATGTTCTGGCCTGCTATGCGGACATCATCACCAGGATACTCAATGGTTTTACCCGTTACTGAATTTATTTCACAGTTTTACCGATTACTGAATTTATTTCAGTTTTATCCATTACTGAATTTACCCCACGATTTTAACCATTACTAAATTTACTCCACGCTTTTACCCATTGCTAAATTTACCTGACAATTTTACCCATTGCTGAATTTACTCCAGGTTTTTACCCATTGCCGATATAACCATATAGTGTTTCTAAGTCTGTGCTAACTCACCAGTGATGTTATGTCAGTCACCACGACACCCAATGTATAGGAGCTTCTTGTTTCCCGATCAAGCTTGACAGTGTTCGTGATCTTTCCACTGCAAAATCAAAATCAACATTTACTGATTAAATTGGCTTACATTATCTCCTATCCTACCCTATCCACACTTAAAGCCTGAACTGTAAGTCTTTTAAAAGGCAGACATTGTTACTTACTTATGTACACACTTGAGTTAACATAAGGCTGCATCGTCAGACGAAATCCAGTACAATCTGAATTATTTTACTTCTAAAAATTGATTTTCTGGTTTTTCAAGCTTATATATCTGGTCCTATTTCCTATTAAGATGTGAGGATTTTACATTCCAATCTGATAAAATATCTCAGATTTTTTTATTTTTTTTATATATATATTTTTAAATATATTGACAATTAACAGCAAGGCATAACATAAAACTGTACCAATATAGTCTAAATACATTGTCACTATTGTGATTGGTGAGAGATTTTGGTTTCAGATACTGCATATCATTTAATCATACCAAAAATAGTTATAAAATTTAACACCTAAATGTACTAACCAACACTATTAATATAATGCTGAAGGACAAACTCCCAGTATCTGGTTGATGTAAGTGACTAAACATTAAAAATATCCAATATGGAGGAAGAAACTTTACTGTAGGAGCAATTATGATGCAGCAAATGTTTCTTATTGAATGTTGGAGTGAATTGTACATGTTCATATTGAATAAACAGGGGAAAATACCAGTTTTAAATGATATCATTCCATATTCTGAAAAGTTCATGTTCACGTATCAAAAACACTAAAAAACACTATTCTAACAGAGTATCATGATCTGTTTCCAGAACAATGATCTATATATGATGATGGCTTCTGTAGATTAGATAATGTACATGTATGATGATCAAACATTGTCCTTGATACACGCAGGAAAACACTAGAATTAAATAGTTTTAAAGCTTGAATTAGTAGGGACCTTTTTCCTTGCATTGTGTTAAGTTTTACAGAGAACTTACGTGGAATCGATTGCAAAATGTACTGGGTTGTTTCCACTATTGATGCTAAAGGTCAAAACTTGACCTTCAGGATCAGATGCCTACAACAAGAAAAAGAAAAGTCACTCAACAATGCACAAATCAACACTCCAAATGAACCAGGACCGTTCTCATCTTTATATTGAAATAAACTCAATTAAGAATGCTTTACTGGGAGACATGGGGCCTTACTGGAACAGTGAAGACAGAGGAGCTGATGTCGGCTCCCTCGCTGACAGTCACAGTGTACGTGTTGGCAGGTATAACTGGAGCCTCATTACCAGAGGGTGTAATGGTGATGGAGACAGCCGTAACCGTCGACCTGAAATCATTCAACCGTAGAATATGTATAAAAACATGGTGTTTTAGCTACTGTATACAGGATTCTTTCCTCCAGTTAAATATTCACACTTCACCTGTAAAATGGTATGCTGCATACTTATATTTGGCCTTGTAAAAACTCATTGCAGATGTCAAAAAAGGCGAAAATTAACAGTGGCGAAAATTTCCCCCTATACACTAGTAGATTATTACAAGGAAAACTGAATCACAACATGTATTTCAACACAGGACAACACGATATTGTAACAATAAATTGGTTTCAATTGTAGAATGGATTACTGTGTATTCATAGTACATTACAGTGCTTTCATTTTGTGGAAATCACATTTTCACTTCATCCACAGCTGAAATGAATGTACCCAAGTAATTCAACCTATATTAATACTTTTGTTGGCCGGGATGTAGGCAAGCAGGGTGTTAATGTTGGAGGTAACGGGAGTCAACATAGAAAACCCACGTGGTTGGGCAGGTAACCCCATACCTTTTCACGTCAGATCGGGTAATCAAACCCTGGCTGCCTTAGTGAAAGGTGAGTGCTCTTTCCACTGCGCCACCCGACCACCCGGATATTGAGGTACCCCAAATGTAAGTTGTCTTGTAGTGTTAGAGAGCTCATTAGGGCAATCAGTTATTACTGGTCTTGTGCAAGTTTAAACCCTATGTATCAGGTCTATGAACAAAAGAATGAAATTCCGATCTAAAGAATTTTATTTGAGCATTTCAGAATATACCAGTAAAGAGAATATTTGATAGTTTCCTGTTGATAATACTCAATACGATTCATTTATATGACAGAATCTGATATTATCAGCCCCTCCCTAATTTTGTCTCTCCCTCAAAAAAACTATGTTAATTTTTGTCTCTGACATAAGCAAATTAGCTAACTGGATGCACAAGAGATGGGGGCTTATTTGCAGTCAAATACAGTAATTATATGGTAAGATTTGCTAACAAAATATTATCAATTGTTTGATTAAGTAAATATCTTGGAGCAAATGTGTACCAAAACAACCACGTATTATAAGAAAATCTGTGGCTTTAAATGGAGTGAATAGAAAGTACTTTCTGGTCTGTCAATACCAAAAGTGATATATCTTTAACATTGTGAGAGATGTCACTTTTTATATCCGTCCCAGTGTTAAGATATCAGCTTTATCTATTTAGTAGAATTCAATTTCTAAATGACAAAAATGGCATGAATTGCAATATTGAATTATTTTTCTGGTTATATTATTACAAAATTATATCACAAGGTATCAATTTTTCAAAATAATCTCCCAATAATTTTTTTTTTTGTGTATGTTGGTAGGAGACGGAATGCACACAACTCGTGAAAACTTACCGTCTGACACTGGGAGTGTTGGGCGAGTCACTAGCTTCAATCTGTAGGGTGTAAATACTGTCCTTTGAAACTGTCCCAGTAACAGACAACTGGCCAGTTATTGAATTAATAGCAAATACATTGAGTGGATCACCATCTATAATGGAGTATCGCACCAGGCCAAAGTCTCCGCTGTCGCCATCAGAAGCTGTGATCTAGAAAAGAAAAAAAATCTCAGTATGTTTTCACTCATGAGTTGTAACCTTATCAGTTCATTTAACATGTATTGTTACTTTTGTCAGTTCTCTTATCAAGTATTGTTACTTTTCACTTATCAAGTATTGTTACTTTTCACTTATCACGTATTGTTACTTTCGTCAGTTCACTTAACATGTCTTGTTACTTTTTACTGATCAAGTATTGTTACATTTGTCAGTTCACTTAACATGTCTTGTTACTCTTGTCAGTTCACTTAACATGTCTTGTTACTTCTGTCAGTTCACTTAACATGTCTTGTTACTTTTGACAGTTCACTTAACATGTCTTGTTACTTTTGTGAGTTCACTTAACATGTCTTGTTACTTTTGTCTGTGCACTTAACATGTCTTGTTACTTTTGTCAGTTCCCTTAACATGCCTTGTTACTTTTGTCAGTTCACTTAACATGTCTCGTTACTTTTGTCAGTTCACTTAACATGTCGTGTTACTTTTGTCAGTTCACTTAACATGCCTTGTTACTTTTGTCAGTTCACTTAACATGTCCTGTTACTTTTGTCAGTTCACTTAACATGTCTCGTTACTTTTGTCACTTCACTTATCAAGTATTGTTACTTTTGTCAGTTCACTTAACATGTCTTGTTACTTTTGTCAGTTCATTTAACATGTCTTGTTATTTTTGTCAGTTCACTTAACATGTCTTGTTACTTTTGTCAGTTCACTTAACATAAACATAAGCAAAGTATCAATTTACTTAGCATGTATGTAAATAAAAGGGTCATTAATTATTAAAAATTATTCAAGCTATAAGTAGCATTTTTTTTAAATAGACAAAATGTATTACTATAGTGTGTAACAAATATTTCATATTTTTTTTTAATCAGCAGCAGTTAAAATGATAGAGACATGTTACTTACTGAAATAAGGGTCGAAGGTGAGGAAGAATAATCCCCTGCTACAACATCATCTGTGTAACCGGTTCCTGTAAAGACTGGATCTAAGTCATTGACATCCAGGACAAAGACTGTCACGGAAACATCTGTAGACAATGGTACAGTAGTGTGTGTCTCCGTTACTGTCACCTATAAAGCAAACAGCATTAAATTAATAATGGCCAAGGGAGGTAACCCTAGGGTCTTGAAACATCTGTAGACAATGGTACAGTAGTGTGCGTCTCCATTACTGTCACCTATAAAGCAAACAGTATTAAATTAATAATGGCCAAGGGAGGTAACCCTAGGGTCTTGTGAATATACTTGCTACAATTATTTCACTACTTTATTTTCTGCGAAACAATTCAAAATATTTTGATGAAGAAGAAATAGTTTTGTTTATGAAAGTCATGACTCTGTGAACAATGCTGTTATTACAAGTGCTAATCACAGGACATGTATGACTGCAGGGCCCTCTTTGTTTAGTTTGACAAACTTTTTTTCCCAATGTGATTGTAATGACAAATACATGAACATTAACACGAGTTACAGCTGTTGTACAGCTAATTAAACCATTCCTGACTGCATTCCATATAAAAACCTTACAATAGTTATGTCCTTGTATTTAACTATTAACTGCTCTGAAAACATGGACACACATGTACTAAAAATCTACTAGACTCACCGTGAATGTGACAGACTTAGGTGCATTAAGAGCTTCGTAATCTAGGGCTCCAGCAACCACAATGTAGCCATCCGACGTCACTCCGAAAAAACTGGTCCCCGACACAGTAAAGCTATACGTTCCATCTGTAGGATCCGCCTGAGAAAGGAAGCTAGACTAATTGAATAGTTCTTAAGATCATCTATATTATCTAAATTTTGAGACATTTCTATATGTCTTCATTATTCTTAATCATAACAAAGCTGGCGGTCAGGCTTCTTTCCTTTTATAAGGGACAGAAATAGCTCTCAAACTGGAACAGAAATAGCTCTCAAACTGTTCTTCATTTCTTTTTACTTCAATTCCATGCAACACTTAATTTGACATAGATAATCATTATACAAAGAGTTATTCCAAGAACACAGTATATATAGTTATTTAAAGAGCCTGTAAAAGGTCCAACAAAAGCCCCTCCACCCCGACTTACCAAATCAGGATCAGTGACGATCAGCTGTAACAGTTGGGTTCCTGCCTGATTTAGTACCACTGTGTTGATGGGCGAGTTTTCAGCAATATAACCAAAGCCTATTGGCTGCACAACTGGTGCATTTGCATTCGCAGGATTTACTTTTATTGTCAGGGTTGCCCCAACACTGTTATTATTTCCTGTTATACCAAATTCTTGTGCCTAACAAAAAAAAACAAAAAAAAGATATAAGAATACACAATAGCAACGTAACGACATTAAGTTTTTTTGTCCATACACTATCTAATTAAGTACTAAGTACCAGATAATGTAACAAATAACAAGTTACACAGGTAACGTAGCGAGTATAAGGTAATGAAGATCATGTAATGTAAACAGGTAATAAGTACAGAGTTCATAAGAGAAAGAGTACCAGGTAATGTTACAGGTAATAAGTACCAGGTAATGTTACAGGTAAGAAGTACCAGGTAATAAGTACCAGGTTAATGTTACAGGTAATGTAACAGGTAACGTAACAGGTAACAAGTACCAGGTAATATAACAGGTAACAAGTACCAGGTAACGTAACAGGTAACAAGTAGCAGGTAATATAACAGGTAACAAGTACCAGGTAACGTAACAGGTAACAAGTACCAGGTAATATAACAGGTAACAAGTACCAGGTAACGTAACAGGTAACAAGTAGCAGGTAATATAACAGGTAACAAGTACCAGGTAACGTAACAGGTAACAAGTACCAGGTAATATAACAGGTAACAAGTACCAGGTAACGTAACAGGTAACAAGTAGCAGGTAATATAACAGGTAACAAGTACCAGGTAACGTAACAGGTAACAAGTACCAGGTAATATAACAGGTAACAAGTACCAGGTAACGTAACAGGTAACAAGTAGCAGGTAATATAACAGGTAACAAGTACCAGGTAACGTAACAGGTAACAAGTACCAGGTAATATAACAGGTAACAAGTACCAGGTAATATAACAGGTAACAAGTACCAGGTAATGTAACAGGTAACAAGTACCAGGTAATATAACAGGTAACAAGTACCAGGTAATATAACAGGTAACAAGTACACAGTAACAATTAACAGGTAATGTAACACAGGCAGGTGACAAAGACATTCATATACCTATTGTATTATTATGATAACTGAGTTTTCTTCAATTTTTGTATGAGAATGTAAAAACCAGACGTTTGATACTTGCTGGTTATAATACACACAGAAATATTTTGCTTTCAGGCTATAACCAGATCAGTGAAGAGGGGTTTTGATAATAAAGTTTAACTACACAAAAATGAAGTCAGGAAATTTTAAAAACTATTAGAAAATTAGATAAAAGTAAGCAACATTACCGAGATAGACACTTTAAGCTCAGGCTCGGTGGCTATGTTAAGGGGAGAAACAACACTGATGAATGTGGTGTATAAACCATTGCTATTTGTTCCTGGCGTCAATGTAAATCTGGATTCTCTGTTCGCTGGAAATGCTGCAAAAACAGAACATAGAAATAATACATTGACACTTAATGCACAAGTCTGTTCCATGAACAAATTTAACAAGTAACCTTTGTTATATATTCATTGTACATTATTAACAAGTACCTGTGTTATATATTCATTGTACATAATTAACAAGTACCTGTGTTATATATTCATTGTACGTAAATAACAAGTCCCTGTGATTCACCTGTGTTATAAACTCACTGTAAAATAAAAGGTGTTTGGGTATTCTCCTCAAACATGAAAATGTGTTTGTATATCTATTACATATATTTTCCCTTGGCTTTGACTTTTGTATAATTTAGTTTACTTTTTCTGGTTGTGTGGAATCATCATTTTACAAAATTGTCTATAATAATGTGGGGGAGTCACATACTTTCTAAAATGGAAAAAGTGATCGGGAAGTTCAGCGAGTCCCTGTCCCGAGCCTGGATATCAACGGAATTCACAGTATCTCCTTGTCTGTATACTGTCAGAGCCTAAAACAAAAACAACCATCAAATATAAATCAACACATGCATAGATAAAAACAAAACAAAATACAGCAACCTGCACTACACCAAAAATGTACAAACAACACGTATCTTTACCACACCAGTACTGTTCAAATCACAACAGTTTGTAAGCAATCCTTCACAATTTCAAACTTTAATGTGATCATTGCTAGTTTTCTGTAAATGATTGAGACAGACCTGTCGGCCTTAAGACAATTTCAAAGGAAGCTTATACACAGCAAGATGATGTCAGCCTGTGTAAGAATTTCTAGATGTGATTGGATTTACCCAAGAAGATATTTTCTCTAGCATGTGATCAGATCATTAGAAGTAAACCAACACATTGATGATTGATATAAGCAGGTGTTGTTACTCACAGCAGTGGTGCCCGACACAATGGTAGCGGTGTATTGCGGTACTATACAATAACCATCTTTCAAGGTACATCCTGGATACTCAAATGCTGGACTAAGGTCATTGGCGTCCAGATTATGAACCGTCACTGTCGTCGTCGCAGTCCTCTGTGTACCAGTGGGAGCATTATCCTGTAACAATACTCCACATTAAGACAGAGTTCACAGTTATTCCATAAAACATCATAATTACTGTAAACAGGTATAGTTAAGTGGGTGTCTTATTTTAGCACTTAATATTGTGCCAACTTATGATTGCACTTTATACTGGTTCTTTTCCTAGTTTTTTTGTAGGTGAACCAATTCACCAATGTACTAACCTGTTTAAATTTGAAAGTGCACTAAAATTGGAGTTCACAAAAAAAAAGTGCATTTGTAAACAGTAATTATGTTTGACTTATAATTAGCCTTGAAAATCAGCCACATAATGCCTGTAATACCCTTAAAATAGTTCAGATTAGTAAATAATGCTGAGGATTACATGACTTAATTTCTGACTTAATATGAACCAATCCTGGAGTTAATGACAGCATTGTGGGTTTTTTTGTCTATTTTTCATTATCAGAAATTCGTTTAATAGATGTCAATCCATTCCTAGGTTAAACATTTCAACCTCGCGATTCGCCCTAGGTTGACATCTTGACCTGGTGGTAATTTTTGTCCAATGTTTCAACTTACTGTAGCTGTGATTCCCACGAGGTAATATTTGTTAGCACCAAGGGATTCATAATCTAAACTTGTAGTTATCCTCAAGTAGTTTGCATCCAGGCTGAACTTGTCAGAATCAGTCCCCTACAAAACAAAAGTCAAATGATTCTTATGAGTTTGTATTTGTTAGCTATTAAGTTATTCTTGCATCTGTCATTCATGATTTAAAAATTAACTCTAACGAAAATAAGATACAACTAAGAACATTTACCAAAACAGTATACTATCCAAATTTTGAACATGTACAAATGTAATAATAAATGGGATTTAACTGAAACAGAAATTGGAAGGCAAATTTCTCCATGTTTTTTTTCTCTTTTTTTCTCTCCCTGTTATACATACTGGTACAATTCCGTAGGAGACCTGTCGATTATTTCCAATGTCCATGTCTATGGCATAGATATCCTGGAAAATCGTTGTGCCACTTACTGCCAGCTGGAAGGCAAGAAAATGAACACTTAAACATGAATCTTGTGCATTTCTTATAATATTTAAATACACTTGCACACATACTGAAGTTATCTTTCTATAAGCCCAGAAGGGTTGAATTATAATCTCTTGAGTAGGGGTGGGCTTTTAACAGTACAATAAAATACGGTTGGCATTTCGACTGAACTGCAATAAATATGGGTGGGCTAATTGTTAGACATGGGCTTATTTCCAGATTATACAGTAATACCATTGGTGAGACTTGGAGGAGACATACTTATAAGTGACTTACCAGTATGTTGTTCACACTAAAATATATATCTCCTTACTATATTTATTAAAATTGAACTATTTCAAAGGCAGCTAATGCACGGAAACCGATTCACCAATCAGAAATCAGTAGTCTCATCAATTATGCATAGTTATACACACACCACAATGGAGATCAAACTCAGCATGAGACTTGCTATATGTATGTGCATACAAAGTTTGATTGAAATTAACCTTTTGCTGGGAAATTAATGCACAATAACCAATTAGACAATATGAATCAAGTAGCTTCATTTAGTATAGTCCACTATAAATGTGGTCTCTGATCTACTATGTTGCAAGGAGGCAGTTACACCAACATACCACCTGCAGCAAACATGCATACATCACACACATATAGGCATAACATTGATACCCTCAGCTGTTCACATGACACTCAAACCTACTAATCAGACCTAAGTATGCATGAAAATACACAGATCACATTGGCATCAAACATAGTCCAAAACTTACCACTATGTGTGTGCATACATAGTTTTGGTTAAAATCATGAATCATTATTTTACATATAATAATAATAATAATAATAATAATAATTTGACGTTCTTATATAATGCTTTATCTCAACCTAGTTTGTAGGTCGTCTCAAAGCGGTTCACAAATTATTATCCGTGTTTATAGGGCCTTTGCAACTAGCCAATATCTTTCTCGACTCCCTGGGCATACAGCACGTGCTGCCATTTCGGCGCTCACACCAAGCATTCAAAAATTCTGGCTCTGCCAAACCACATTCTCATTTACAGCTGAGTAGACTGGAACAAGCGGAGTAAAGTATCCTGCTCAAAGATACAACACAGTGCCGTGCCGTGACTCGAACCCGCAACCCTTTGGTCACGTGCCCGGAGTCCTAACACTTGACTACCGTGCCTCCTACATATTTATTTATGATAAATATAACCATGCACTAAACAGACCTCGTCTACGTTGGTGGAGTACGGAAGACCTTGAAATACAGGACCATTGTCATTGATATCGTTGATGGTCACCAGGACATTGTAGGTGAGGGATGTCTAAAAACACAAAATAAAAATCGGTTCCATAAAATATTTAAACTATAAAATATTAGATATCTCTACCATTCAATATTTTGTATCGACAAATAAAGGTATCATTACTCCCATAAGATCACCCCTTACCAATTCTAAATTGTATTTGTCCCGTCCCTTTGGTGATGGCAAGTGAATACAAAGACAGAAATTGTAGCAAAACTTGATATATAAAACTGTGACCTTTCCATGTATGATGAGTTTCCACATTGTCATGAATTGATAGACTATAACCATGAATTAAGGTAATATTTACTATTTAATCCTGACAGAACATCATAGTTCATCGTAATTGACTTTAATTGATAATCCTTACTGACAAATCATAGATAATCTATACTAACAATCATAGATAATCCTTACTAACAATCATAGATAATCTTTACTGACAGATCATAGATAATCCTTACTGACAATCATTGATAATCTTTACTAACAATCATAGATAATCCTTACTGACAAATCATAGATAATCTTTACCAACAATCATAGATAAACTTTACTAACAATCATAGATAACCCTTACTGACAATCATAGAAAATCCTTTCCAACAAACATAGATAAACTTTACTAACAATCATAGATAACCCTTACTGACAATCATAGATAATTCTTACCAACAATCATAGATAACCCTTACGATCATAGATAAACCTTACTGACAATCATAGATAATTCTTACCAACAATCATAGATAAACTTTACTAACAATCATAGATAACCCTTAATAACAATCATAGATAATCCTTCCGATCATAGATAATCCTTACTAAAAATAATCGATAATCCTTACTAACAATAATCGATAATCCTTACTAAAAATAATCGATAATCCTTACTAAAAATAATCGATAATCCTTACTAAAAATCATCGATAATCCTTACTAAAAATAATCGATAATCCTTACTAAAAATAATCGATAATCCTTACTAAAAATCATCGATAATCCTTACTAAAAATAATCGATAATCCTTACTAAAAATCATAGATAATCCTTACTATTATAGATAATCCTTACTGACAATGATAGATAATCCTTACTAACAGTCATAGATAATCCTTACTATTATAGATAATCCTTACTGACGATCATAGATAATCCTTGCTGGCAATCATAGATAATCCTTACGATCATTGATAATCCCTAATGACAATCATAGATAATCCTTCCTGACAATCATAGACAATCCTTACCAACAATCATAGATAATCCCTACGATCATAGATAATCCTTACCATCATAGATAATCCTTACTGGCAATCATAGATAATCCTTTCCATCATAGATAATCCTTACTACCAATCATAGATAATCCTTAATGACAATCATAGATAATCCGTACTAACAGTCATAGATAATCCTTACCGACAGTCATAGATAATCCTTACTGGCAATCATAGATAATCCTTAATGACAATCATAGATAATCCGTACTAACAGTCATAGATAATCATTACCGACAGTCATAGATAATCCTTACTGCCAATCATAGATAATCCTTAATAACAATCATCGATAATCCTCACTAACAATAATAGATAATCCTTACTGACAAACATAGATAATCCTTACCATCATAGATAATCCTTACTGCCAATCATAGATAATCCTTAATGACAATCATAGATAATCCTTTCCAACAATCATAGATAAACTTTACTAACAATCATAGATAATCTTTACTAACAATCATAGATAATCCTTACTAACAATCATACCAGATATTTTATTAAGCAATAGGCAAAAATGCCTTTGTGCATTACATAATAACAATCCACATAGGTGGTACAGGTGGAGTGGAACATGAACAAAGAAATATATTTGTAATTGGTATAATACATATGCATGCAGCGACAGGTACGAGGACTTGTTTTCAAAGTACCTGTATTTAGGCAACCAGATATCCATTACCACGTGTTTCATAGCAATCGAGAAAGTACATATTGTTTGTATAATGTTAAAAGTTTGTACCTAAAAACTGCTGTGTTACATATGTGATCAATAGGAGATAACTCTCGATACACTTGGCTCGGAAATCAAATAAATATTTAACGAATTGAGTATGTGTGTAACCAAAATACAGAATTTTGGATTAAGTTGCCAAAAACACATACAGAATTAATACCCAGTCACCCAGAGTTAATTATTAAAAAGAATATTATTTCTGATCTCGTTTGCCTTGAAAACATAAATTACTAGATTTCTTACAATTGCAACATTAGATGATGTAATTAAATCCACAAATCTTTCCCATAGATAATCCTTACTGACAATCATAGATAATCTTTACTGACAGATCATACATAATCCTTACTGACAATCATAGATAATCCTTACTGACAATCATAGATAATCCTTACCAACAATCATAGATAAACTTTACTAACAATCATAGATAATCCTTACTGACAATCATAGATAATCCTTACCAACAATCATAGATAAACTTTACTAACAATCATAGATAATCCTTACTGACAATCATAGATAATCCTTACCAACAATCATAGATAAACTTTACTAACAATCATAGATAATCCTTACTGACAATCATAGATAATCCTTACTGACAGATCATACATAATCCTTACTGACAATCATATATAATCCTTACCGACGAATCCTGTACATTTTGACATTGCAGCTTAAACTCCACTACGTCGATGTCATCATTGACACTTGCGGTTGAACCCTGCATAGAAAATACAACATTTTATGTTACTTAATTTATTATACTTTTAATTCTACACTTCATTTATTATACTTTTAATTCTTCACTTCATTTATTATACTTTTAATTCTACACTTCAAATTTACATTTTGTAGGCATCCTCTTGAAATATCAAACAAATTATAAACTGGAATAGCTCAACATAGGAATGAAATACTTCCAATTTCATATAAACAAAAAGTTATAATAGGGAAGTGAAAGCCGTTTTATTGGTTATTTTTATTAATTCCACATTATCAATTCACATTTTTTCCTCCATCTTTGTTCCAGCATCCCCCTCTCTTACTACAAACTTCAAGCATGATGGATGATAAGTATACTTATTACTTATTCCTAAAAACAGTTCTTACAAAAGGCTGGAACAATTACGTTGATTCGACTTGGAGCAATGTTTGGGTGGGGGGGTTCCTGGTCTACATAATATTTCAGTGACAGGTCTGTGTCAACAATAATCAAATATAAAGAAAGATGCATATTTTATAATGTACTGAACAAGCCAGGTAAAGTGGCAGGAATAAAGATACATACATCTCTGTCAATTGGAGCGATGAGTCTGATGAAGACACCGTTCGACTCGCCATTGTTTGGGGCGGACAAAGCCTGATCCACAAGCTCGAAGTGGGTGGATCCTTTTGGGCTGTTGGGATTGGGACTAAATTCATCAACAATAGCTAGGGTAATTTGATTATTGCCAGGAGCTATCGTTCCAAAAACTGTACTGTATGCAGTGAAGGCCGGCAAATTTGTCAGATCTACAATAGAGATAAATATAGATACAATGAAATATTTACATTTTACAAGACACATATGACAGACAAATATTGTACACGTTCACAGTTCATGTTATATAACAGTATGTATTCAAATGAAAGTAGAGGAAATAATCATAAATTGTAGCACATAAGTTATAGTATATGTATATGTGTGTGCCTGTTTGTGAGTGTGCTGGTCGATATAGGGATTTATACATACAGTATATGTTACTGCTTGTTTAGTGGTAGTCACTTCCAGCTCAAAAACCAGCTTAAACAGCAATTAGTGACTACCAGCAAGTAACCACTATTTGATTGTTTTCATGATTTACTATCATGGTGACATCATAAGACAATATATATGGAATATGAAAGTAGTACTAGACCTTAAAATCTGAACATAAAAGATCAGATTGATTAACTGTATCTGGCAACTTTTGTAAGAAATCTGCCAGAGACCCACAGAAAATGGATGTACGTACCGGCTGCAGTGGCTTCATCGAAATTTATTCTTATTGTTGGGTTGGAACTGTTGGATTGCTGGGTTGTCAAGTCACAAGCTGAAGGAAGAGCAAACGAAGTTTATATAACAAATTCTACACAAAATCTGTTAATATATAAACCAAACATTATTAGGACAAAATTACCTGTTCAAAATGGAATATGTGTTCATAAAGATCAGTAACACAAGTTCAGGGAAATACATATTTGTCTTTTTTTTATATAGAAACCATTCATATGTACAATACAACAAAAAGAAGCAACTGGGAGAAAATGCTGAAAATGGAGACAAACGTGACACAAGAATAGCCCCAAAACAGCTGTTCATGAGAGATCAGCTTATGATAAGTTAAATATTTTCCAGTGTCATTTTTACAGCAAGGTTAAGAAAAGTGATTGATTTTTCCTACAACCATTTCTGATTTTGGAACATTGGTGATAAATGGAAAAAAAATGTTTATAAATGTTTATTTTACAACAAGAGGCCCAGAGGGCCTGTATCAAACACATGGATATCTAAGCAATCATGGCAAACTATTCTCCAAATGAGATCCAAGGGAATATGCCAGACCACAAGGCCAATCCTTGTAGCATATCTGTATTAGATTTTTCATGCCCAGCAATTTCATGTATGGTTATGGGGTGGGGATCTCAACTATTTCCAAGTTGTGACTCAGAAACTAGAGTTGTGGCCAGACTCCAGGATCAATTCTAATATCATGACTGCATTTGTCTCTTTTTGCCCTGCATTTGTATTTATAGTTTTGGGGTGGGGATCTTAACCATTTTGAAGTTTGACCAAGGGTTTAAGTCTCCAAGGGTGGGGCAGACCCAAAGGCCATCCTGGAAGTATATGTGCATTCATCTCTTTATACTCAGCAATTGTATGGTTATAGGGTGGGGATCTCAACTGTTTCCAAGCTATGACTAAGAAACTAGGTCCATAGGGGTTAGGTCATACCCCAGGGTCTATTCTAATATTCTAATATCATAACTGCATTCTCTACAGAAGTCGTTTATAGCAATATAGCCAAAATGCCCCCTTTTGGCCTCGCCCTCAGCCCCCAGTCAAATATGGTTGATGCCCATCTCTTAGTTCCTAAGAAGAAGTCGCTTGAAGCAATATAGCCAAATTGCCCCCTTTTGGCCCCGCCCCTCAGTCCCCTGGGGGGTCAGCCCAACCAGTTGTACAATTTTGAACCCCCACCTCCTAAGGATGCTTCCAGTCAAATATGGTTGATGCCCATCTTTTAGTTCCAGAGAAGAAGTCGCTTGAAGCAATATAGCCAAAATGCCCCCTTTTGGCCCCGCCCCTCAGTCCCCTGGGGGGGACAACCCAACCAGTTGTATAATTTTGAATCCCCGCCACCTAGGGATGCTTTCAGTCAAATTTAGTTGAATTCCAATCAGTGGTTTAGAAGAAGAAGTGGTTTAAAAAAATTGTTGACGGATGGACGATGAACACCACGGTATGGCATAAGCCTTTGGACCCGGTGAGCTAATAATAATGGAACAACTGACATTAATCACTCTTGTTGTCTTGGATGAAAGCATGTAGATGTTTTTTGGTGTGGGAGGAAACTGGATTATCTCAAGAAAGACAACATGACCAGACAGCCAACCTGTTACATTTTCCACGTCCGATCAGATAATCAAACCTGTCTTGGTGAAAACCAAGTGCACCATCGACTGTGCCCCCGATTACAATTGGTGTTTATTTTATCAGATATTCAACTGGTGGTGTTATAATGCTGAATATTAGCCACATCATACAGTCCGTCTTTAGTTCACAGAGTAAACTAGTACTGGGACCTTTCAACCGAGTACAGGGCCCATTAGGGCACCCGTTATAGTGAAAGTATACGCACAATATATATAAGAAGCCTAACTAGACACCATAGTATACAATCATGTATGTGCAATACTAGCAACTGGTCTTTTTTTGCAAACCCTGTGTTTCCATGGCAACAGTAATATTATGTAGTTTTATAATCATCACTGAGAGATGACCGAGTTATTGTTCTCGGTAAATACAAACAAACATTCAACCCTAATGGAAATGTCAATCAGACCACGACATAAATGATGTTCTTATAAAACTAACTAACAACGATGTCACGCAAATTACAAGCACAATCAGATCTCCACAGCTACACCCCAACTTTTGGAACAAATGTTACGATCGGACCTCCAGTGTATCACATCTTCTCAATCTGAACTGCATGGTCGCTGACTGAATAGAGCTGCATTTTACTGTTTGAAACTCAATACATAAAAGTGTTTATAGCTATTTGATGAAATACCACATTACATATCCCCACAAAGGTATCTCATGTTCCTAGAACTTCAAAACAGACAGATTTGAAGGCTGTTTATCTAAGAAGCGTTTGAAAATATTTCAACATTTTTATTGTGCTAGGCTAAACGGGTTGTTTGAGATCAGTTTTGAGGTTTAAATCAGGGGGAAATCTTCAAAGCAATTAAGGTGTCTGTGTCTCAACAAAAAAATCCTCTGAACACCTGAATGTTGAAGCTACTTTTTGTCAAATTAAACTCTTGAAAGAATGTCTTCTTGGTTTGAAACACAATTACATGTAACGAAGATCATTAACATTTTTTTTTGTATTCTCAAAACTAAACACTGGTATAGCAAATAAGACTTCATTATTTTTATTTGTGTAACTTTGGAGCAAGCCATCGACTTTTTTGTCATAAATATTTGTAATGGAGTCGTAAGGATAGGAGATATGACCTAATGAAGTTGAGGGTGGATAAGGGAAGGGCTTACAAAATAACAGACTTTAGGGTGGGAAATGGAAGGGGTTACAAATTAACAGACTTTAGGGTGGGTATAAAAAGATAGCCAGAAAAAAAATCCAATGGATCCTAATGACTTTTAGTCAGAAATAAATAGGTAATTGAAATAAATAACACACCGTATATACATAACCATATGACTATATTGGACTAACTTTTGAGGTTTCAATAAAAGTCATAAAGATGACATTTAACCACGCTCACTGTATTTTACTATTGACTTTAGGTAAATTCTTCCACATGACAACCAATACATTAAAACTTACGACTTGGGTTCGGGTTTTGACCGGCTACATAGCTAGCCATCACTAGAGCTGTGACTAGGAGCCCAACTGAATCCATGCTGCCTGTGACAGCCATGGGTGTGAGCGCCACTAACCGCCCCTGTAAATGAAAAATACAATCAAACTCATGTCTACAAAAAAACAAATTCAAAAACATTTCAAGTTTGATTTTTTTGGGGAATTTCAATTTATTTCTTTTTTAATTCAGCAGTTACAATTATACCAAGCGACAATCATACAAGCCTAATTGTAACAAGATAAAAACAATTAATTTTACAATTAAGTCAATAATAACATCAAAAACAGTAACATCTGACAAATGAACGAAGGATTCTGCACAAGAGTTTTCAGTAATGTTGCAATGTTGACAGATGGTTATACATGTGAGGACTTGTAATACTTTTTCAAGTGAGACCGATGCACAGCCGACAATGGTCAGAACCCACAGTATACTCGGGAGTAAAATATAGATATTTACTTGAAGTAAACATGATAGCGTGGGAATACAAAATATTCTATCAGGCAAGGGTAAAAGATTTTGGCATGTTTATGAAATATACGACGTAACGTACAGACTTCTGACCACAGCTACGTAAATTTGTACCAGTTTGACGACAATGTACACATTACAGTAAAATCTTTCATCAGAATTTATTAAGCACAATCAAAAATTAAGACCAATATTTTTTCTCTATTTCACTGAAGTTAAGTATGTTACACAGCAACGTTTCATTTTTCTAGTTTTATTTGACAGACCTCTATTCCTATATAGTCCCACCCAGTAGACAGACTCTATACTACAGTGTGCACTGGAGCACGGTGTAACCTGAATGAGTCGACCAAGCCCAGCGGATACACCTAAACAAGCTACCTGTTTGACAACTTACGGGTGCTTCAATACAAAAATTGGAGTGAAAACCAAATACATTACTGCACTTCTGAAGACAGCACATTGTTAATGCTATATAATGTCCATTGTTTTCACTGACATCAATACCCAGAATGTATGTTACTGTTGTTACAATGTAATAATGTATTACAATAAACGGTCTTCATCTATACAAGGGTCTACAGACAGACGTAAAATAATTTAAACACTGATACTGTCAGTTCTATTTTTGTTATTAACTGAAAAAAAAAATATACCTTTCTCAAGCTATTTTTTACTTAAATAATGCCTAAATTTTATTTGTATGAATGTGTGAGTGATTACCATTTTTCCAAAAAAAATAATCAGTTCCATTTTCAGTTAAATTTCAATTTTACATTTAATTGTATAAAATCAATTTTATCAGAAAACATTTTCCTTAATGTAAATTATATAACTTTTAAGTTTTAAAATACCTGGCATATTTTATAATATATTACCTTATAGTCATGTAATTACCTTAATATTTAGTCATATAATCAAAAATATTTTTTAGAAAAACTTCAGTTTGAACATTTTATATGTCTAATGAATGATGATATACATAGTGTACACCAGTCAAACTTTTGTAGTATGGTTTTCAAATGTAAAAATTTATCCAAATTAAAACTTCACACAGAAAAATCAATACAAAAAAGAAATATATATATATGAAATCTTAAAAGCGTTTTACACCCTTTAGCTGGATTTGTCATGGGGCCCCCCGTGTAATCAGCTTTAACGAATGCTTAATTCTTGTACTTTTCTTTCTTTCACGAAGATGTGTAAAATAAAGGCCGTCAAATAAATGTATCCGAATAATTTTGATGCTCACTATGTAGCCTTATTCACTCTACCTATCCTTTTTAGGTCTACATGGTCCCCTACCTGCTGTTCAATTAACACTTACGGTATATATTGTTGTAAATACAGCTATGTACTTTAATCAATCAACTGACATCCGATCACAAATACGTTCTAATTATTTCTAATTATAATCAAAACATCGGCTGTAAATGAAAACATAAATCTAATATTACATCCGACATTCGGCTAACTGGCATTCATGTTAGGGTGGTTCTCCAATACGCGTGCTTAGAAGCATGAGCCGAATATATTCCCAAACCGGTAGCAGCAATGTAAAATGTATAATTAAATTCAATATTTACCTGATTTTCTTATGTAATGAAATATCCGAAACAATATAAGTCCGATCTTGTCTTCTTAATAATATTGCAGGTCAGTTTCGGCCACTGATGCACTCCAAACCACTCTGATGGTCCGTACCCGTGGTTGCAACCTCGCGGAATCTCCACCACACCTTGAGTACGGTCTATAACAGGTACAATAATATATGCTAAGGTTTTCATTATGAAAAGCCCGTCTCTTGATACTATTTTAAACCTCAATAGGCTGAAGACCACTCAAGCGTAGTTGACAAACCGGTTCTACAAGTGGAGCGAGTTCTTCACATAGGAGTTGCCTGTGGTGAAGTAAAAATAACAACCAATCAGAGAAGGGGTTTCCCAAATTCGTGAATAGATGAACATGGATATCACGCAGGCACTGTTTCGTATTTTCTCATCCTCATTATAACATGTAAAGTAAACACGGTAATTCCGTGGTAATATGTATGTCCTGAAAGTACTAGCCTTGTTGTTATCCCACTTAAAATAATATTTAAAGTGTTTCATTTTTTCCTTACTCCTTCAGAACGACCGATCAGATTCTAACAAATTGTTAAGTTGTATCAGTCCGTGGTTTTGTATGGGGGGAAGGACGTGGAAATTGGCGAATTAACAGTCGGCTTTAAGTCTACTTCACTTAAAGACTACGCACATTGTTAACTTATTTGGCCTGAAACATGTCTGTGGGTATCATGGAGGCCGGGCCTACAATTTTATAATTAAAGTCATTTTTTCAAGGAACAACTACGCGGAATAAATTTGGTTTGATTCATGACTTTATAACTGAAGATCACGAGGTTCCTGAAGCAGAAGAATGGGAAAACTGCTATGTATGCAGTGCTAAATTATATTTATCTCGAAAATATAATTGCATTATGATATTCAAAATATGTGTTTCTCCATACAATCAGAGACATATAAAAAGTATTTTTTGTGACGTCTCTGATATACACAAGTTATAACATCTTGGTTCGGTACTGAAAATCACCCGTTCCACTCCATTGGCCTATACTTAGGTGTGAAATTCATGTACATACAAATAACACTAAAACGCCTGTGTCCATTGCTGACAGCAGGAGGCCCAATACACACCTTTAAAACTGTTTCCATGTATGATATCAAAGGGATGTCAGCAGGTGAGCAATGGGGTACCTAACTTAATACGTAGATTGGTGCGGATTATGAGTCTTCCAATTTTCTATTTAACAACAATGTCCTCAGGCTAGATAACGGTTCCACCCAGGCAAATTCAGCCCCGCATGCTACAGAGCGGGAGGTACAGACCGGGGGGGGTGGGGGGAGGGGTACAAATAGTCGAAGAGTCGACAACGGTGAGTTAACGGTGAGTTCAGAGAAAATACGCATATAGCACACATTATATGCAAACCACAATCAGTACAACTGCATCACCCGAGAGAAAAATGCTTGATCATGTTATGCACACACATTATATTTCTGATCAGGTGGTTCAATGATAAATTTCTTATTTTTGTGAGACTTGAACGGGCAGGTTCTCCCTCTGCAAGATGCTTAAAATTGGTGAAAAATGTCAATCTGATAGATCACTTACACATCTATTATCTGTCACAGCCAGCATCACAAGATACCATGTCATCAAATACATTTGAGATATGACATCCATCTGCTTCGAAACCAATCAAAAATATCAAACGATACAGAAGTAACAAGGCTTTATACAAATCTCCTACATGAAAAGTGGTATCACATATATGACATACAATGGCTCATCTGATTCCGCCTGAAGTAGTTCAACTCGTCAAATGATTCCTTATTTCTCAAAACACATCTAAGCTCTGGACCTGCAGCAAAATCGTGAATTAAACCATTTACCGATCGCGATTATCCGATTACCTGCTCATTGAACTGCAGTGTTCCTTGTTCTGGGTTACAGAGAAATGTACATCATACATCACGGAATAGAGCATCAGTGTCAGAAAAAAACTCAGCATTTTTTACACAGCTCGGAGTAGATGCATTATATCAACAATTATCGTCGTGTACGTCGTTAGCGTCCGAGGAAACAATTCCAAAGCGACAGTTCAAGAAGTATCTCAAGCCGTACTGGGCAGAGGATATCGAAAATGCACATGATATAGCTTTATACAAAAGAAGATTATGGATGAACACAGACCACGAGGAATGGAGCACGAAACAGATAAAGTCTATAAGGAGGCTAAAAATGGATTTAATAAGTCTATAAAACATGTATATGGACACTGTTAACATCGAGTACTCTAACCCAGTTAGACGATACTGCTGAATAAGACAAACAAAGTGTCGGATATATGTACAGAGCTTACCCCCGGGAACGAAGTTAAGAGAGATCCTATAGGTACTGTTGACATTTTCGCGGACTCTTTTTAAACTCAAAAGAGAAGAATGATTGTAATCTACCATTTTCTTATGTCGACGTTCTGGACTCGCCATCTACATTTTAATGAGATTAACGGGTGTATACGAGAGCTAAAATTGAATAAATCACCGGGTATATAGACAATATCACAAACTATCAATTGTATTCGAATATCTGGGAAAGTACCAAAAACCTAGAAAGATGAGTTCCGATATGCAAAGGTAAGACATAAACATAAGAGCGATCCGAACAACTACCGACCGATTTCCCTACTTCCTGTAGTATATAAACTAATGGAAATGGTAATTAGAAAGGCCGAATTAGAAATCGCATTATACGCTGGATAGAGACGGAAATAAGACTTTCCAAACAAACAACAACAAGGATTTCAGAAAGGAAATAATAAAATAATAATATACAGCATGTATATAGCGCCCTATATAATTTGTAAAATTACTCTAAGGCGCTTTACAACATATGGATAATAGTAATGGTTATAATTGTGAAAACAAACAATAAAGGCTTGCAATCACTTTCATACATTTAACAAGCAATGTGCACATAATTGAACAAATAAAAGGGTGGTATTTACATGCCATCTTTGCAAAGATTCTAAAATGCAGACGTGAAGAGGTGAGTTTTTATGTCCCTCTTGAACTTGGCTAGGGTATTTGACTTCCTAATAGCAGATGGTTAGCTATTCCACAACGTAGCCGAAACCCTCCCAAAGCATCTGTTTCCGTAGGTCACAGTACGAGATTTTGGGACACACAACAAAGATTCTGACTCCGACCGCAATGATCTCGACGGCTGATACAGGGTAACAAGTTCCTGTAGGTATTGTATTGTTTATTCACTTTCAGCCTTACGGCCCATAAGCATTACAGCATAATACAGAGTAATTAATGTGTACATGTACAATAAGGGTGTCGAAAACATTACACAAATATTGAATAACATGTAACATAACCTACATTGTACAAGACAAGCTGATTTGATAGATGGCGGACAGTTGTACGCACATGAGAATACAAATGACAAAAGAAAAATATTAATGAGATGATTAATTGAAGTAATGTACATGATTGAAAGATTGGAAGAATCTCAATCAAATGAAGTAAGAAGTAATCAGTTTTNTTGCACAACGACATATTTTAACCTCCATGAATGTATTTATGAAAATTTAGAACAGAATATCAGTGTGTATGACTGTATGTCGCGTTCCTAGATACGTACAAAGCGTTTGACACTGTTCACCACAGAGGCACATTACACAATCTAAGTTGTAGTAAGCTTGTTTAGAACGTTGTGTAATTCGTACCAAGGAATCTACAGGGCTGTTTATAATAGTGTTCAATCACGATGGATCAAGGTGAATAGGTCGGTACAGCAAGGTGAAGTTATATAAACTGTTTTTGTACCTCATACAAATAATAAATGTCCTGCTTTGTGAATTGGAAAAGTCGGATGCCGGTGCGAGAATCCTATCGGTCAAGTGTGGAAACCCCCATCTTGTTGACGATGTCGCGCTCATCAGTACCAGCCATAGAGCTCTCCAAGCTCTGCCTACCATCACAAAAGCCTATGCTTCAAAGTGGAATTTCACATTTAATGCGTTGAAATGTTCTACGATTTCATTAAAAAAGAACGTCATACATTTTCCATGGATGACCAATGGAGATATTGTTCAAATCGTAGATTCCGACGTTCACCTTGAAGTAAACATATCATCTGACCTCATGTGTTCAAAGGGTGTGGAACATGATCGGACATGTGTGAAACAATATTAGGTCTAAACAGAATAACCAGTGGAATTGAAAAGAGGAAACTTAACTTTCTACCGTATTTAACAGATAGTCCTCCAAATAGCGTGTCAAAAGACACTTTTATTCGTAGACTTATACAATACTTCGAATGCGATGGAGGTCCTGTGAAACAAGGAGGATTTGTGCTAGATTATATAATATCCTTCGAAAATACTATACTGATATTATAAATCTCTTTATCACATAATGTACTGTTTTATCCAGTGAATATTTACCCATGTAATATGACCTATCAGCCCTGTGGTTGGTTGTAAGTTCCAATTGTGACGTCACGCCTTTTACATTTCAAGGTTGCATGAAAACTCGTTTTACACGAATAAATGCCAAAACAATCTTAGACTCGTTTCATAAACCTCATATGAAATGGAAACTCATGTAAGATCCTATATGTCCAGGGTAAGAAAGGGGTGGAGGAACTTTCTTTCTCTTACCCTGGACAGGTGTATCCGCACTTTTACCGGTGTGAGATTAATCAAAACACGAGGCTTTTCCGAGTGTTTGGCAACTAAAGAATCTTTCCCCGAGGGTTGAGATTCCACTATCTCACCCACAAGGGGGTGAATGATTCTTTTTCTCTTACCCTGTTCTTTTTCTCTTCCCCTGTTCTTTCATTGTGTATCATATGCACAATGTAATGATAACGTTACATGCTAAATTCAGGGTTGACGTGACGTTGATGGATTGTTGACGTGACGTCATTGTATTGTTAAAGTGACGTCATGCCATTGCTAGGAATAGGGAAATCCCCCAGTCTCAACCCTAGGGTGAGACAAGGAAATCTCACACCGGTAAAAAATGCGGATACACCTGTCCAGGGTAAGAGAATTACTTGTGTCACCCTAGGGTTGAGACGGGGGGGGGGGGTTCCCCTATTCATAACAATGGCATGACGTCACTTCAACAATACAATGACGTCCCGTCAACAATCCATCAACGTCACGTCAACCCT